GTCGGCGTCCCATTGTTCTTTCAAGTTAGTCTTTAGATTATAGTGTCGCGACCTATTTTTAGGTCGTTTAATGAGGAATCAATCTCTTATAGACATATTTTTTTGGTATCTTCAACCGTTTTCGCAGCGTACGCATCGGAAACCCAAAAGGTAACGTTTCCCCGTTTTTTCTACGCTTTTATTAGGCACAGCACGAAGTTTTATATATAGGCCTATAGCATCCTCGATAAATTCACCAACCAACACAAAAATATTTTTTCAATTAGAACCAGTAGTTTCTGAGATTAGCGCGTTCAAACAAACATACGCTTTAGCTTTATATATTAGTATAGATATAGATAATGAAATATCACGTGTAATTTCTCTTTTAACATATCAAACATGAATGTTATATTAGTTGATCCTGAATGAGACTGTATGTACATTGTACATACAATTGTTGTTACTCACAGTCGCAGGATGCTCTACCCCAATATTTGACCAGTCATTCTTACAGTTCCGCGAATAGTTTGTTTCGAAATTACCATGATTCGTGTCTCATCTAAGACCCATCTAAGATGCTATGGAATGCAATGATCGTAACGAAAGTTGATGAATCGTATTGAAGTTATAGTAGCAGTAGTAATTAATTTACTAAATAATTTCTTAGTTTTTTTGTTATGATGTTTTCGCATTTAAAACTAACCAGACGTTTGCGGCTAAACCAATGTAATTTTAATTTTCAACTTGCCGCACTTATATCATAATGTATTATTAAATGATAATCTAGGCACATTTAAATAAAAAACTTTAACGGTTTAAAATGCGATATATTAGTTAAACTCATTTGAAAATGATTTTTAACTTCGGCCCGACGTTTCGGATGCTTTGCAACAGCCGTGACCACGGCGCATGACCATATATCGCGTTTTAAACCGTTAAAGTGTTTTATTTAAATGCGTACTACTCGCGTAAACTATACACAGTATTTAATTTAGGCACAGTCTGTGACGTCATAAGCCATAAAACGTCACATTTTATGCTTTATGGTTTTTTAACAATACGACTCCAAACTTGAAGAAGCCGTTAATCTTCCTGAGTTAAAACTTGTCATTGATTGATTCATAGTCCAATTATTTGAGCGGGTATAGGCGTGTTCCACATAGAATGATAGCAAGTCTATTTTTGAAAATTCACAACGTGTTCCTGAAACCGTTACCTTGGAATGCCCACGTTCACTTAATGAAAATAGCATCAATAAAATTCGAAAGACGTTAAGACGCATTCGACGAAATGAAATAGTTCGCGAATTTTTTGAGAACGACTAGTGTAAAATCACATTTTTCCTATGTAGAACACGTGGTAAATAACTTTACAAAAGTTATGTATGTCTTCTTCTGATCGATTGTATTCACAGGCCAGTAGTCGATTTGAATTCTGTGCTGTGCCTGAATGAAACTATTAGGTTTCCCCAAGTTTCCCAAGATTTGAGCCCAGGACCTCTGTGTTTAGACAGAGAGAGACCAAGACATGGAGACAGAGTCATTTGCGAACGACGTAGCAACGAATGTTTTGAATTTTTCAGTTGAAATTATACTGAATCCTTATAGACATAAAATAGCATAGATAAGTTAATGTATGTGTCTATTAATAATTGCTTAACCCTGGCTAAAAAAATCTGTAATTCTTCTGAGATATATCTTTAATTTATGGAGTGCTAAAATATTTTTAAGTGGATTAAATTAATTGTTCTTGGTTAATTCGTTATCATTTCTATAGTACTAAAATGAAACAAGTAATTGTTTACTTATAAGACAGCCTTAATGAGGCTTAATAATAATGATTGTTTGTCATTAAAATAATTTGACATTAGTTTACCGGATTCGAACCCATTGTGTTTTAGCTTACCATTAGATAGTATATTTACAACTGAGATAATGGGAAAAATAATTTTAACGTCTCCCAATGCGACTCATTGTTTAGTATCTGATTAATTATTGGAATATGTATGAAGTAACAATTATTATGTTAATCTCTTTGTCAAAATGTGTTTCCATTCTGTTGAGATCATAATGCGTCATTACTCACAATAGACTTGGATCTAATGTAATCTTAGGCTGTGGTCTCCTAAAGATACCATAAGCAGAGATAAGTAATGCACGAATTAAGTAATAATAATGTTTAAGTTTAAACAAGAAATTTGTTAAACTTTAAATTTTTATACGAAAAGTAGAATCTACAGCTTCATAAGAATCTTAAAACGCGAAATATACAAACTAACTTTTTTTAAATATTTTAACGAAGACTCGACGTTTGGCAAATTTCAGTAGCGGGGGTCGGGGGTAATATTTTTAACCTTAAATTGGTGAGCTGCAAGTTTTATCTGGTTTGTATAATATTTAAGTGTTAAAACGTTAGAAATAATACTCAAAGACGTCTAAATTTGTAAGTAAATTTTCTTTTATTTCATCCGATATAAATACAACCTCTTTTTAGATATATATGACTTGATATTTCTTACACGCTCTCCAGGTTTCGCCAGCTTTGCTAGACTTAGTCCTAAATACCCGCTAAAATGAACCGTATTCTAAATTTAGAAAGTAACAAACTGGCTCACGATGATAAGGCGTCACAATGCGTAAAATATTTGTAACCTAAAGCGTTTATAAATGACCAGTGCCTTATTCAACGTTGCAAATGTATTGTAACGATTAAAATTTAGGACCCGCTATTACGTTCCATTGTTTCGATTCGCATGCTATTATGCTGGCGTTATCGTTTGATTATTCATTATTGTACAATCGCTGTAGTGTATATTTTTAATAGTAGTTATAGAGTGAGAAACAGCAGTAAGCTTAGAATATTTTGTTCAGTGTTTGATAGAAGGCGAAATGAGTAAATTGTGGGTTCCTCTTCGCTTTCATAATTGCTATCCTTGTAAACTAACCGAGAAGTAACTTACTTAATTGATCAGTTGCGACAATCTTTATTTTTTATTAGCAAATACGTTGCACATTTTATGTATTTGTAAAACTTAATGCGTTAAGTCCTGTGTTTAATTACCGGGAGTAGTACACAATTATATATACACTATTAACTGCTTTAAACTCGAATTGTATTTTTACAATTTATACCATGACCACGTGAAACGTCGGTCTGTATTGGATTTTTATATTATTTAAACAGCGTAACATCATGCACCAATTAAAGCCTAAATATTCGATTGTAGTTTGGTCCTACTGTATATTTTAGCTATCGATTCTTGACCACACGTAACCTGTTCATTACATTTAAACATAATAACATTATCAAACTCGATCTTATCAAAGGGTATAGCTTATTTTAAGCACGTACTTGTGTCTGGTCCGTCATGTGCCAAATTAGAATCGTAAATATTGGTTTTAACGACTGCTAAGTTTTTATTACGTAACCACAACACGTAACTATGTGTTAACATTTACTAAAGCAAAAACATTGCGTTAGTTAATTTTTATAGCAACCCTTTTTAAGGTATATACTGTGTATAAGCTAAGCCCAAGGTTTATTATATTTATGGGTAATTTTTTTTAAATCTCTAGTACTCATTAGTCCGCGGCTCCACTGTGTGTTTGGTCGGTTAAAATCCGATAACCAATTTGCCCCTTATGGTCTGGTGTAGTGGATATCCGACGCGGGTTTTGCCAGATAAAAAATTGCAAAATTGATTACATTCGCACTTACGTAATATAATACTACGGTCACACAAATGCCTCAAGTGCCACATTTATACAAAGGTATAAAACGTTTTAACTTTAATATTTTTCACATGAAGGCACTATATAGAGCAACAGCACGGAACGCTGGCGACGCCGGTTCAAGTCCTGCCCGAGTCGAATATTTTTTCAATTTAATTTCGATTTAATTAACGTATTTAACGCTATTTTGACCAGTTGACTTGCTGTCTTTTTAATTCCTTACTAGTTCAGTTCAGTGTTATAGCCGATCTAATAATTACTTTAAAACAGAGGTCTATTTGCGACGCAGATTTTATACGCTTTTCGCAGCGCACGAAACGGCTCGAAGATGAATAATTTTCCCCGTTTTCACCACATTTTTCACTGTATTTTCGGTTTTGTTTTATGGCCTACACGATAAATAGTCTATCTAACACAAAACAATTCGAATCAGTAGTTTCTGGGATAAGCGCGTTCAAACAAACAAACTCTTTAACTATGTAATATTAGAATCGATATTAATTATCAACTATTAATTAAAAAGCAAAGGACTTAATGTAAATAACCATACAATACTTATGAAACCTGTTATAAATTCGCTTAAACATTACCTTCTCGGAACTAAAAGAATTCCAACCATGCGAGCTTGGATAAATTTGGACTATTCCTCGTAGTTGTTAGGCAGGCCAAAATTATAACCAACAAGTCATTTAGCTTCGCTGATCTTGAGCAGATGGGTTGATTGTAAACATTTTACTTTAGGAAACTTGCCTGAAATATGTGGAATTTTGAATCACGTGTACTTATTATTTTTCTAGGTAAGGCCCAAATTAAAACTATGTCAGAGAGATACCCGAGCCATATAACATCTTGCCCTATTTTGGCTTTGGTTATTTACCAGGACGCGTGGTTTGTTACCAGGGCGGATTTTCGACATTCCTACCACCCTTTGAATATCCAGATTTCCAAATGAATTCTAACATGTTATCGTAAAATTATAATTCGATTAAAATCATGTTGGAACCGTTGATTACTAGCCATATATTGCTCCAATTAGTTAACCAAGTTATTAATTTAAGTTTTTGTCGATTTTAAATGAATAACTATATATTTGCAAAATTACAACGAAACAGATACACAACACATCCCTATTTTGATTATAATTTTTCATTCTACTTTCCAAACGCTAGCGACAATATACTTGAAAAAATCTAATACCTTGTTAGGACCGTAGCGTATGAGTTTAAAGAAATAAAAAGACTACTAACAGCAATAAAAACATTTATATCTTAAATCTAATTGGTCCAATCAAAAGAGGCCTTCGATGTCTCCAGTGGTGGTGTTCAAGTCGATGTCGTAGATACTTGGACGTGTTGGAAGACCAGGCATCTTGGATATCTCACCCACCATGGGTACTACGAAGCCAGCGCCCACGGAGACGAAAATGTCGTTGATACGGAGGGTAAAGCCAGTTGGTGCTCCCTTGATGCTCGGGTCTCCGGTCAGGGAGTTAGAGGTTTTTGCCATGCATATTGGGAACTTGTCGTAGCCCTGCGTAAGAACTTAATATTATTTCTTATAATAATTATACTAGCAGTCTGATGTTATAGCCTTAGGCCTTCCTCTATAACAAACAAAAATCTCTGTCTGAAGCACTAGTGACAGTGACGTCATTATATTGTCTATTGATGTACGACAAATTACAACAATTTTAAAATTAAACACATGACTATGTTTGGAAAATTTAATAAATATATCTTCCATCTTTGTTGATTTTTGTCTTTGTTATAAGTTTTTAGCAAATATTAAAAAATATTTAGATAAATATAATTTTAGTACCTTCTCAGTAAAACGTTTGATTTTCTCAAGAACGTCATCTGTGTATTCAATTTTGCCAGCTCCGTACATCTCGAAGGCGATCTTCTGTATCTTCTCCTGTATGGAGAGGTCTAGTGAGTACAGGTAGTTGAAGTTGGATGGTGATTCACAAGCTGCTATGACTGCATCAGCCAAGTCCAATGCACCAGCGCCACCTTTCGCCCAATGATCGCAAATAACAGCGCGGTAAGCGCCATTTTTTATAGCAAACTCTTTTACCATGTTAAGTTCGGCTTGTGTATCATTGCTGGAACGTATTTATTATTAAATAAAATACTTTTAACTATAGTCAGCTGTTACAGTAGCAGGCAGTAGTTACATTAGATTAAAAATAACTTTAATATTTTTTACATGTTATTGCACATGAAGGCACTATATAATTTAAAGATCGAAAATAAATTGAAAAAAAAAATTTTTTTTTTTTCGACTCGGGCTGGACTTGAGCCGGCATCGTCAGCGTTCATCGTCAGAGCAACAGCACGGAACGCTGACGATGCCGGTTCAAGTCCTGCCTGAGTCGAAATACTTTTTCAATTTATTTTCGATCTTAAAATTAACTAATTTACTTCGCGCTTTAAACCGTTCAAAATGTTTCACTTAAATTTAACGATCGACCATGAAAACATACATAACATGAACATACTTTTTAAATACATATTTCTATATACTTGTGTGTTAAACTTATATGTACTATGTAAGGAAAATAATTTTGACGTTATGGATGCTTATTATGCAACCCTGGCCACGGGTCAACTAACGGTCACCAATATTTCATGCCCACAATCGTTAAAGGGTTTTCTTAAATATGTACCACTTGCAATTCATGCCTACCTGGTAAAGAGTTCATTCAAACATAATTAAATTAATAATTACCCATGTTTGTTGATGGCTATGACGACTGGCACGTTGAATTTGTTTCCGTTACTGATGTGCTTGGCCAAGTTACACAATCCTTTGCTGAGGAGGTCCAAGTTTTCCTGAAAATATTTTAATATCGATCAGTCACTAATCCAACAAGTCTAAAGAAGGCTTGAACGGTGTCACTACTCATTCCGAAGTTATTTATAAAAAGTATGTTAGATGCATAATCCCATAATGCAGCTACGCACTTAAATGCATTTAAATTAAATTCGTAGCTATCACCCCCCCCCCTCGCAATACTTAAATCTTTCTTTACTAATTGTTAGTTTCATATTAATATCGTTTTATTATCAACTAGTGGTGTATGTTTGAAGCACTATTTAAATTAAAAATCGATTATAAATTAAAAAATGCTGCATTTGTATTTGAATTTCACGACTCGGTAGCTCAATTAGTTAGAGCAACAGCACGGAAAGCTGAAGATGCCGGTTCAAATCCTGCCCGATATAATAATTTATATAAATTTATAATCGATTTTTAATTTATATAATGATGCATCTTTTGATCTGTTTATGTATCTTTACAATAATAATATATAATAAATAAATACCTCAACGTAGACCTGGTGCAGTGGGAGCCCAGGACTGACGGTGGGTCCACCTCCGTGCATCTTCAAGGCACGAACAGTGCATACGATCACAGCGCAATGTGGCTTATCGTCACCGGCCCTACACTTGATATCGAAGAATTTCTCCATTCCTTAAAAAATATAGACAATAGGTCTATCAGTATCAGTAATTATTTTTTGTTTATTTATTACTGTGTAGCTTTAAAATCAACAAAAATATACTCTTAGAAAGTAAGTGCCTAGTAGTGAGATTATTCATATCAGGTAAGCCATCAGCATACATTTCTCCTGAACGATGTCGCTAAATTAGGAGAGTGGAATTTCCAATTTCTTTTCTTATTTTGTACACATTCGAGGCTCTATTAAAATTATTACTATATACAATGTACGTATGACAAAACTGTATGCAGAAGATGCATGGGGCATTTGATGGAAGATGTAACCAAGCCATGTAACATCTAAATAAGATACGCCATTACCTATTTCTGACTTTCGGGCCTTTCTTTCGGACATCTGGAATTCTACAGACCTTAACCGTTACGCGATTAAACTTACTAAACTAAAATCTTACCAATATCAGATCCGAAACCGGCTTCCGTTGCCACATATCCATTCTCCTTGACAAGTTTCATGGCGATTTTGTCCGCAAGTATGGACGAGCAACCGTGGGCAATATTCGCAAAAGGTCCTGTATGTACTAGCACTGGTGTGCCTTCAAGTGTCTGCATGAGAGTTGGCTCGAATGCGTCTTTGAGGAGGACCATTAGAGCTCCAGTTACTCCCTACAAACAAACAATATAAGTACTTGATATTCCTACTTGCTTAAAGATTAGTTGTATAGATTGTTATTAGACAACTAATAGAGGATGTTTAACATCAATACTACTTACAAGGTCATCAGCAGTTACTGGGTTACCCCGTTTATCGAGTGCTACGACCATGTTGGCGAGTCGCTCCTTAATATCCTCCACATCTTTTCCAAGAGCCAGCACAGCCATTATTTCGGACGCGACGGATATGTCAAAGCTAGTCTCGCGAGTAAATCCTTTTTCAGTCGGTGACTGTCCGATTGTGATCTTACGGAGGTATCTGTCGTTGAGGTCGACGACTGGAAAGAGGTTTGTTAAGTTAGCACTAATTAACTAAATAAGTGAATTTGGTATAATGGTACCTGGCTACTAAATATTGAAATTAAGACAAAGAAGACAAGAAAAGGTTAAGGCCAATATTAATTATACTTAAAAAAGAGTTGTGAATTTCAGTTACAGAGTATTAAATAATATTAGACTAAGCATTTTAGTGAAAATTCAGTCAGTGACCTGGTCAGGACTGATAGGGGACTACTAAAGTAATAGCTATTATCTATACAAATAAGTATTAAGTTTTCCTTGATATATGTATAAGTTAGACCCACCTCTATTCCACATAATCTTGTTAGTGTCGATGTCTAATCTCGCGAATTTCACCCTCTCCTCGGAAGTAAGGGAATCCGGATCAGTTTTGTCAATGCCAAGTTTCTTCAACCTCCTCAATTGTATAGGCGAGAACTTCCTCACGCCCTTGATTTTTGGTACCAAACGGTCGTATAAGGGACCGTCCTTTTGGGTCAGTTCGTGGAATATTCTGGCATCCATTTGTGCGGCTAGGAGATTGTTCGCGGCGGTGACTGCGTGGATATCGCCTGTTAAGTGAAGATTGAAGTCTTCCATAGGAATAACCTGGAAGAGGTTTCATTTGTGATTAGTTTCTGATTGAGATACATATAAATATATATATTTTATTATATATATGAAGTACACTACGATAAGGTGTGTGTAGTTTTTAGATTGGCGTGTACACATACCGACAGACAAAAAAATAATGATTTTAAATGCATTTTACCATTCTGTCACTATTTGAAGATTACTCAGATTTTGATATTTTATTTACTAGTCCAGGCGGAACATTTCTATGGATTTGGTATATTTATATAATATTGTATATTATTGAAGTTATCCACACCTGAGAGTAGCCTCCTCCAGCGGCACCTCCCTTAACTCCAAAAGTCGGTCCTTGGCTGGGCTGACGCATGCACGCAAAAGTATTGCGACCCCGATGCGCTGTCAACGCTTGTACCAAACCTAGCAGCGTAGTACTCTTCCCTTCACCAAGTGGGGTTGGTGTTATACTGTGGAAAAATACTTTCTTAGGATTCATCTAAAGAGTTTTACCAAACACCCCTATTTAAATTAAGTACGGTGATGTATTTACACTTGTTTCAGAATTAATTAAATTTAGGCCTAATAGAAAAAATGCTTACTTTTCCTACCAAAAAGTTTACCAAAGCATAATATATTTAGTAATATAGTTGTAGGCCGATTCTTATCGGACTTATTGATAATAGTATATTTTAGGTCTAAATTAAGTTACTTTGAGAACCTAAGTCGCGGGTCACACTGTTCGTTTCATATAATAAATTATAAGCTAATCAAGTTTGGAGTATTAAAAGCTATTTTTATTTATTTTGAGGTAAACATTACTTTTACTAACCCAGCAACAACGATGTATTTCCCACCGCGCTGGTCCTTCAAACGATCGAGTACTTTGAGCGATATCTTGGCTTTAGTGTGTCCATATTGGGAGATTTCACTCGGGAACAGACCAAGTTCATCAGCCAAGAGACTGATGTCTTTCGGCTTTTGCGAACGTGCAATGATAATGTCACTGAAATATTTAAAAGAAAAATATGTTGAAATCCTGCTTAAAAGGTCATTTTACTGGTCCACTGAACGATTTAATTCATTAATTAGTTTATTCGGCTTCTGTACCTTGCCCGAGCAAAATAATTTATTATTTCGTTAGGATTCGAACCCAAGAGCCTAACACAAAGCTAGGCTATACGCATAACCTTTAAGATACTAACGATCTAGAGTGCTGTGCTGTGAACTTAAGCAGTGTTCATACTAAAACATAACATTTATAGAAAAATCTAAACTGTAACTACTGAGTTACCCATTCCTTTAATTAGAGAGACATCCTGGATTGGAAGACTGAATAATAGTTTTAAACATAGATAGGTTTTTTTAATCAGATTTCAACGCACAAAATGAAAGTGTTTTTGGTGGAAACTGATGTAAAATATTTACATAAAATAGCCCTTTTACGTCTAAGTAAAATATTCTGTCGACTTATTTTAGCTTTAGCTATCGTGGTAAATAGAGGGGACAATGGACCCCAATAACTAGATACCTCGGTGGAGGAGATAAGGTATTGAGACGAAGAACTTTCAGCGGCCAAACGGGTGCAATAAGTCGATCGACATGGCGTTGAGCCGCGATCACGGTGTTGCGCATGAGCATGGCCACGGTCATCGGCCCTACACCACCAGGCACTGGCGTGATGTGAGACGCGACCTGGACTGCTTCTGCGTATGCAACGTCACCCACTAAGCGTTGACCGCTGCTTTTTGTTGAGTCTGCGGATTAAGTGTTAATTGTGTATTAGTAATTTGAATGATTGATTGGCAATATTTTAATTGTATGATAGAAGACTGTCAAGCGTGAATTTCACTTGATGGTAGGTGAAATACTCCAGCCGTATAACATCTAAACAAGATGTGTTATCGACCTATTTTGGCTTTGGATATTCTAACAAAACTCAATTAAACTTGACGACTCTTTTATCTGTGTATGGCGTTTCCTTCCGGACAGAATTTGATATTCCTACCACCCTTTTAATAACCAGACTTCCAAACAAAGTCCAACATGTTTCAGAAAAGTTATAAATTGATTGGAAAAATGTTGGACTGAACCCAATACCTGTTGATTAGCCATTACGAAAAACAACAAATAAAAATAAAAACACGCTTAACGTTTCGGACGCTTTGCAGTGGCCGTGGTCAAGGGAGGAACACGAATTTGTATTTATATGTACACTAATCGCGTAAACTACAAACAATACATAACAAGTAACAAAAAATAAGTGGTTTGATTAATTAACTACCATTTCAAGTACTTTTTAGCAAGCAGGAGTCAATACAATGTAATTTAATGGTTTAAAACTAGGGTTATTTCATTGTTTACTCCTCATTAGTATCTGTACTATTGAGTAAACTATATAAAAATCAAATACCTTAAAAGCCATGGGAATATTAACAAAGTAAGTTGAAAAAAAAGATGGACTAACATAGGGTCGAAAAAAGGCATTATATTAGTAATATAAGGTATCGCATTTAATAAAAAACTATGAATATCTAGTTAAACTTGTAAAAACAACCAGAAACTGGTATTATACGATTACTTACCTAACCAATTAAGTGTTTTTTCTATTGAAACTGTTAAACCGGCTTCAGTGCCGATAACATTTTTTACGAGTAAAATTTTCTACGTTTCGAAGCTGTGTATCGCAGTGTATCATTTTCGTGCAACATTTTTTAAGTATGATATAGAACTGCATGCGAGTACGTATTGCTTTGTTCGCTTCGCCGGTGAATATTTTGAAAACAATTTGAATTGTGTAAGCGATGTCCGACAGTCATTAATGTTTATTAGACAGAGAGGAAACTTCTAAATATTTGTAAAAAATTTCAGTGAATATTTCCTTAATTCCCCAACGGTGGTAAAGGTTTTAAATTTTCCATCTACTCTTCTAGACTTTAGCCTTTAAAATACTGATTCGAGTATTGTCTATGGTTTACTTGGTAGTATTCATTTAAATAAAACAATATTAATGGTTGAAAACGCCAAATATACTATAATATATTTTTTTTTAATTTAAAACTACAAATATATTTCGTACCGTTAAGTGTTTTGTATAAATACTAAGCTGAGCTGAATTTGTTAGACAATAGTAACTAATAATCATCATCAATCATCAGTTTTTGTAGACCTGAGATATTACCTGGGATAGGATTGATACCACAGTCGATGACTACGGCCCCTGGCTTGATCCATGATCCGCGAACCAATTCTGGCTTTCCGATACCAACGACCAGGATGTCTGCGGTCTTAGTCTGTAAATGTATGGTAAGGGTTTCACAAATATGTAATAGAAAATGCTGGTGATGTAAAGTTACTCAGACAATTTTACTCAGTTTTAGGGAGATGCAAGGAGTCAGAAACCAGCAAAGACTGTGAAGAAATTTCAGAGTAAGTTCGTGATATGTTTTTTTATATTTCTTATTAAAGAGGAGGGCAGTCAAGCATGGGGTTGGTCTGATGGAAGCTGAAATACCCGAACTATATAACATCTCAACAAAATGAGCTGTCGACCTAATTTTGCTTTGGATATTCGGAAATCTACGGCCTTAAACTGAAACTTCACGGCGTTTTCATCTGTAACCGGTGCCCATTTAATACTCTGATTTCTAAAAGAAGTTCAACATGTTTCCGAAAAAAAAAATGATTAGAAACACCATAAATTGATTGGACCTGGTGGGGATCGGCACATGACCCGCTGATAATTATCCATAATTGCTACCACTAGTCCAGCGAGCCTGTTCTTGTTATAAGTCTGGGTACTACACTCTCTAGGGTCTAGCCGGCTTTAGCTTTAGGTAATTTTTGACCTTTAATATCTGATTAACTTTACTATCTAAGCTCCACCATTTTGCATTCTATTAATATCAAGAAAATTACGCACCACTTCGCTCAAATTCGCCGTCTTCGAGTGGCAAATGGTGACAGTAGCATGCTCCCACTTAAGCAGCTCAGATATAGGTGTTCCCACAATACGGCTACGACCCAGAACCACCGCACGTTTGCCAGCAATAGACACTCCAGTCCTCTTGATTAGCTCAATGCAACCAGCAGGGGTACATGGCACAAAACCAGACAGGTCCCCGAGTGCTGTTCGACCTTCGTTCTGAGTGTTTAATCTGTAAAAATTAAAATGGCATGTTTGTTTTGTAGAAAAGTGTAATTACTTCTTTGTTTGATTGTAAATTTACTTTGAAACTCAAACTCTTCGATTCATATTATATTCCTTCTACCTATCAAGGCCATTCATAAGCTTCTTTTGTTATCAACAAATATAAGAAAATACATTATATAATAGAAAATTTAGACAAATGCGTTTGCACACCTAGGTATATTTTCATTTAGTATTTCTATAAAATAATTATGTCTTAAGGCTCTTGTGAACAACTTACCCATCAACATCCTTGTATTGCGAAACAGCGTCAGTAATAAGATGGCTGTCTATCGGGTGAATGGAATCGAGGGGCATCTGGACTATAATGCCATGGACATCAGGAGACTCGTTCAGTTCAGTGAGTCTTATTAGGAGCTGTAAACATTTTATTTCTAGTTGAAGACAATAATATTAATACTTATAAACATGTTATTTGATTTAATTATAAGTTAAGAGTCTAGTCATCTTCTCGATGAATATTTAGAGGGAGACGGAAAGAAGAATGTCCATAGACGGTAAAAAAAAAACTAGGGTAAAGAATATCGACAAAATTGTGCAGTAAAATGTAGAAACATATATATTAATATGAATAACTCGTTGGATACTTAAATGTAATAATTCAAATAATTAAATGGTTTCAAATTTGTGGGGCATGGTACGAACAAGTTGGCTTTTTTGTATTTTTTACAGGGAATTTGTTGACAATATATTACAGGTCCTGATCAAAAAAAATAGGGCAACACGTTATCACGCTTCCGAGATTCAAACCCAGATTCCAAGGAGTTTGTTATTAGTTGATCTTAGGCCGAATCTTAGGTTCGATTCATCATCGATCCTTTCGTTGGCTATCTTAAGAAAATCTTGACATTTACAGAGCTCAAGTACCGTAGTTATTATTGGTCTAAAAAAGATGTTAAGATTGACAGCCAAGTTATACAATGAAATTTATAGTCAAGAATTAAGAACATAGGTCAAGATTATATGATGCAAAACTAACGTTTAGATAACAATTGTAGATATTCTAGAACTGAATAGTTCTTATGTGTAGTTCAGCTAGATAAGAATTTATTGAATGCCGCAAGTTATTTTCGTAAACAATTACGTTGACAAACGATAAACAAAAGATTATTTCTACGTCAAGGTCTGGGTCGCGTTATCAGTAAGTGTTTTTATTGCGAAAGCTTGTTTTTTAAGATTGGCTCTTTTGACTGTTCTTTTATGATAGGGGAGAACAGACGAGCATGGGTTTCGCATGATAATACGTGAAATACCATAGCCATATTAAAACAAGATGCACTATTTTCGCTTTGGATATCCGGAAATCTACAGATTGAAACTGGAAAACGATTAAACTTAACTGCTTTTTCATCTGTGGGCGGTGGTTCGTGACCCGGACGAAATTTCTATATTCCTACCATCCATTTATTTTCCAGATTTCCAGACGAAGTTCGACACATTTCGGAAAAATTATAATTAGATTGGAAAAATGTTGGACCCTGTGGGGATCAACCTCCGTCCCTGTGTTGGTTACCTCAGCCTCTGTGCAGTCTCTCGGCAGCTTGATATGCTCAGCGTGTATGCCAATGTTTTCAGCGGCTTTAAGCTTCATCCTGATGTAGACGTTGGAGTCCTCTCGACCTCCCACCTGTACGATCGCGAGTCTTGGCTTGAAGTTAGCCACCTGGCTTCGCATTTCAGCAACTTGCTTACGCAGATCATCTTGGATTGATCTAAAATTAGAAGTATTTTTTTATAGTTTGTCTGAAATGTGAGAGTACTCGGTTATTTATTTTTGGTAATTTATGTAAGTAGGTAAATAGCCAAATGGAGAAACAGTTAATTTTATTTAAATTTTCATTTCTCAAATCTTATATAAAAATATACCTAATGTTTGGATTTCTCCAAACAAAAAAAATTGCAAAATTATATGTAAAGTCAGTGATAACATGAAAATAAATTGTGTGAGCACTATCTGTAGTTAACGCGAGTAGTACATATCAAAATAAAATAGTTTTAACGGTTTCAATTACGAAATATATTTGTTAAAATATTTACGATTTATTTTATCACACCCGACATACAGATTTTATTTAATTACGAGAGGCCTGGAGGGTGTCCCTAATGTCAGAGTAAAAACTGGTACGTTAGCGTACTATCGTGTTTTAAACAGTTTTAAAAAAATGGGTTGACCTAAGTTTTCAATGTTTCTTAAATAATAAAAAACACGATTTAATGGTACTTGCTCTCGAATTTGATTTACAAATTATAATTTAAAAAATTACACTACATCCTACAGGCTACAAAATGTAAAATTTTAAACCAACTTCATTTAGCGGCGGTAGTCGGTCAACATCGTACAATAGAAGTAGTACAATTATTCATTTAAGTTTCTTTGTAGACGATAAACGATAAATTGAGTTCCTACCTGGACACTTCGAGGCCCGATATCTTTTCTGCAACCATTTTGACAAGTAGACCTCAAGCAAGCCTATCCGCTACTGAATTATATTTTACTAGATAAATGACATATTCCGATAACCCCATGACATCTTGATGAGTTATTTGGATCAGACATGAACCACTTCAAACCTCCCCACTGTTTTATATTGCAATATATACGTAAATCGTTCAATAATTACGCTAATTTAATAATATAACAAGTTAAGTTTGCATACATAAAAACAACATTGCGTTAGGTATTCCAAAATTGCAAGCTAGCATAATAGCTTCCGAGGTGTTAGGTGACCGCCTCTATTGATCAATGGTTAAACGTCTAGCTAACGTTTAAATAAGACACTTTAACGGTTTAAAACGCGATAAAGTTAAACTTATTTGTTTATTAGTCGTGATTACGGGGAAACTGCTACTGCAGGGCATCCGAAACGTTGGACCGTAGTTAAAATTATTTCAAATAAGTTTAACTAATATATATCGCGTTTTAAACCGTTAAAGTGTTTCATTTAAATGTGTACTATTCGAGTAAACTACAGACAGTATTTTCCAGTATTGCTCGAAAGTAAGTCCTGGGTTCGTATCCTACAAAATAGTTCATTCGTCTCGATCCGCTTCGCCCAGTGACCGATCTATAACATTATAGAAGTCTGATCAACGACTCTCCTGTAAATAAAATCTCATTATATTAATTTCGATACTCATACCCGAATACTACATTATATAAATTGTGTTCGTGTGTACCGAATTCATCTAAGATGTAACATGCTACAAGAGATATATATATAGAATTCTGTCATAGTTTAATTAGTTTAAAATCTTAATATTCTTCTTATAATTATGAAAACGCTCCGAATTCAGTTCTTTAGTTTATGCGAGTGGTACACATTAAATAAAACATTTTCGACGGTTTAACGAAAATTGTAATACTCAATTAATTCTATTTTGTCTAAAACTGGTGGTCTTAATTATACATTAACGAACCATGTCGTGCTTAAATCTGTTAAAATGTTTTATTTGATACGCTACTAATATTCCCATCCAAGTTCTTAAGTGTTTAATTATCATAATTATTACATAAGCTTCAGTTATAAGCCAAAATGGAGTTAGATAAACAAATTGGTAAACAGTATTAAACTTATAAAGCAGAAATCTGATTTATTTAGCCGACTTTACAACAAAAATGCTATTTATTTGTCGCCATGAATTACCTCATACACTCTTCACTAAACCTTCGCACTGGTATTTTAATTACAGCTTTAAACAAATTCAAAACAAGCTTCATGTTAACTGAATGACATAGAACTTTTGTTTACAAATCTATTGAAGACAAATGAACGAAAGTTAATAATGATAAGCGACAATTAAGGTCTTCATTATCGCCTAAGTTAGATAAAAGTGGTAATGTCTGTTGATTTTAATAACATCTCTTTAATTATTTCATCGGACACTTATAAATTTAAAGGCGCCATATGTTTATAGTAATTAGTAATAGTATTCTCTACATGAAATACAAAAATGAATGTTCACCTGCTGTCGACCCATTTTGTCCTTAGATACTCGGAATATGAAAGCTAAAGTGTTTGCATGGCGAACTGCTTATGTAAATATTAAATAACGTTCGTTTGGCTGGAACGTGCGATGGAAAGAGGTGGTCGGATTTATCTACGTGATCGAATAAGAAATGAGATTCGTAGAACTAAATTCACTAACAGCCCATTAGCTAACAAGGTTCAAGTAACAGTGAGAGAGGCACATCATTCGTAGACCAACCGCCGGTTGAGACACAAAGATTCTGCAGGGAAGACCATCTACGTAGGTGAAAAGACGATCTAGTCAAGGCCGCTGAAAAATGCTGTTTTCAGGTAACAAGCGACCGGCTGTATAGGAAGTCTGTGGGAAAGGCCTATGCGATATGTCCGCAAAGTGGAAGAACCGCAGATCTATAGATGTTTGTTTATGTCGCATAGAATATCCTCCATGATATGTCGTCTATCAGTATCAGTTGCTTAACAATACGTAAACGACGAAGAAAAATGTTTCCTTTTAGATAATAATGGACACCTACGTATGATCATTAATTACATGCTATATATATTTCTATATTGTTAATTGTATATTTTTCATTTTACTCTAATTACCCTAATACGTGAGTCAAGTCTATTCAAATATATATTTATGTTAGAGCGAGTATAATAAATTGATTATCCTTACTAATATTATAAATGCGAAAGTAACTCTGTCTGTCTATCTTTCTGTCTGTCTGTCTTTCTGTCTGTCTGTTACTCTGTCACGCCAAAACTACTGAACGGATTTGAATGAAATTTGGTATACAGATGGTCTAGATCCTGAGAAAGAACATAGGCTACATATTTATTTCAATTTTTGCTTTTTATTACAAAAAAGGGGTTGTAAGGGGTTAAAAGGGGAGGGGTGAATGTTTGTATGGAAATTCGTAGTTTTTGAAGCTAGAACAATGAAACTTTCTTTCTTTGGCTTTTTGGGAATAGGAGTGGGAGCGGGAGTGAGAGTGAGAGTGAGAGTTAGAGTAGAGAGAGTGATGTGATGTGAGGTGAGAGTGTTGTGGCACAGTAGCACTTACAACATAGATTGGCTGCAATAAATGCTCACCATTAATAAACAGCCAAAATAATTAAAAATTCTACCCCAAGGCACTATTCCACCCGAATGAAGTCGCGGGCACAGCTAGTATCTATATAATGTTTCATTTTAAATAAATGCTATAGACATCAATAATTATTTCGTTAGGATATTAGACATTTAAAACTAGACACATAATATCCTCCACAATATATTTTATTTATTAATAAATAATAGTTTTTAATGTATCTATTGTAATTCAAACTAGTTCTTAAAAGTATTTAATTTGGTTTTAACCTTATTGTCGTATTGTTTACCTCTTCATCTCATATCGTCACATATGTTGTTTTGTTTAATTTTTATCCATTATTTAAAGTTCTATTTCTCAATATTTGTAACTAATAATTTCTCTCTAGGCGCCTACTGTTCAGCATCTTATTTTTCATCTGTTTTCTTTAAAATTTTTATGAATATATCGCTGATACAAAAAATAAGTTAACTAATATATTTCCCTTAACAACTTGTTAAAAGTGTTAAATGTCAATTGTTATTTACGAATTAGATATAATATAATTAGTACGCATCGCCATTATGTATCTAGTAATTAAACAATTTAAAAAAATACATTTATTTATTCTTTTATACACAATATCGCCCGGTTTCTTGCATGATAATTTTGGATCTTATTATTTTGTTATAACTGAACAGCATACTTATAAAAAACAATGTCTTAATTATTACTATTTTATAGTGTTATCTTTATCGTCTATAGTATTTTTATTGCATGTTAGTAACAATATTTTAAGCTGTAAACGAATGTTGACTTAACCTTAGCGTTTATAGCTAAGGCCCACTTTAACCAATGAATTAAAAACAAAATTACTTACGCAAGCACTAAGTCCAAGTCATCCGGCGAATTCCACATAATATTCGGCATGTTTACATGTCCAATTCACGAGAGGTGAGACGAGACGACTGCGACCACAATCGTTATAAGCGAGCCCATTTGTACGCTGCAAACTGGTTTTACTAGATCAAATAACAACGTATTTTGTTACTTTTGTCCATGTAACACTGACGACACGTCCTAGGTGAAATCCACAATGGACGTTAACTCGCATAAACGAAGCGTTTAAACAGGTGCTCGATTCACTGTGTGAATATTAATGAGAAAGATGAATTAATTAGTTTTTTCTCACATGTCGTTGCTACAGGTGGCGAATTGCTACAAATTCAAGATATTTGATTATAATCGTAATAGATTATCACTAAGATTTGTGTATTTATGTTTTGTTTGTATTGAACGCCTCGAAATTAACATTTTAAGTTGATGTGTGTCAACACGAAGACGCTAAAACTTTTTTCAGTCTCGTACCTAAAGGCCCCATTTCACTTATTGATATTTAAAAACTTAACAGTTTATACATATATAATAAAGAGTGTTAATCGACGTTTATTCTGTCCACTTTACTTAATCAATGTCAATATTTATGGATGAAATTGGGCTAAAATGTGATTTATTATAATAAACTTACCACTACATAATGTAGTATTATTCCTTTAGGGTTATTTCAGACCAGTCGGCATTGTAGGTGACAATGGACAGGTATCCCGTTTCCAGAGATTTGTTAGATAACATAACCGAATAGAATATACAATTACCTTCTGAGTACTTTACACTCTCTTATATAGTCTAAGTAAAAAGGATGCTATTGTTACGACGTAAAATATATAAAATAAAAATTACTTTTTATGTTCCTTAATCATTTCCACAGCTGGGATATGAACCGGCGCGTGGGCAGATTAGACGCCGAGTTTTTTGTATTTTTAGGCAGGATTTCTCACAATGTTTTTCTTCACAGATGCGCATTAAGATATGGCTTTGGTGCATCACAGGAGATCAAACTCTAGACCTCTACATACCTGCCAATTCACATTCTACATACAAGAGAGTATTGAACAAAAGAAAAGCTTATTTATAAATCGTTTATTTTTACACTATAAGTATTAAAAAATCACAGTAAGAGGTAATTGAGAATTCTCTTTTCACTTATAAAAATAGTAAACATACACACACATGGGATTTGGCCAAGCATTTGGATCGTCTTATTGATAAACGCAACGAGTAACAACTACTACTTAAAGTAAGACAAAACTATGAGAAACAATGCAATAAACCTAATACAAAAGTAATTGGTGGGTTCCAAAATTTATCATCATCAACGTATCTATCATCATCATTAGTAAGAATTTTTTTTCAGATCACATCGATTAGAATCTAGTTTTTGTAGCTTTAGTCTACGTTATTCTTTCCATCTATTTATAATTGTATATAGACGACGTACAATTAATCACGGTGCGTTAACTAAAAAAAACAACACTATCCTAATAAACGTGTAAAGCAAACGGCAAGATTAAATACTGTCTCTTTACGAGTAGTACACATTGAAAAAAAACACTTTAACGGGTCGAAACACGATATATATTAGTAAAACTTATTTGAAAAATATTTTAACTATGGCCCAACGTTTCGAAACGCCGGGGCCGTTGTAAAAATAATTTTCAAATAAGTTTAACTAATATATATGGCGTTTTGAACAGTTAAAGTGTTTTATTTAAAAGTTAGTAACACTAACAAAATGGAAAATATTTTAACAATAACAGCGACGTCATTTCTTAAACAAAAAGCTAGTTTATATATAAAAATTTCGCGCAAAGTCTTAAGAATTTAGCGCTCGGAGATCTTCCTCCTTTTCGCGATGAACATTCGAGAAGAGGTGTATGCGCATCGCATGAGTCGGCATTGGCATGGTGTTGCATAACTTGCACGTTAGCTGGATGTTTGAGCCGAGAGACGCTCTGAAAAAAAAACTTCAATAAAATCTGTAAATATATGTAATATGTGTTTGACTCACTAAGACAATCTCGCTACGATGGGGATACGACAAAGCACATTAGCTATTTCAAATTAGAAAATTGGTTTTGATTTGTCTTTTCTTCTTATGTTACAAGTACCTACATAAAATTTAATTATAACACTTGTTGTGTCTTTTTGTAAGGATTTGTATATTAAATACTGTCTGTAGATTACGCGCGATATATTAGTTAAACATATTTGAAAATTATTTTAACTACGGCCCGACATTTCGAGTGCTTCGCAGCAGGCGTGGTCACGGGGAGTTAAATACTTTTCAAATAAGTTGAACTTTTTTGAAAATTATTTTAATAATCAATGATTTAGTATATATCACGTTTTAAACCGTTTAAGTGTTTTATTAAAAAGAATGGTATGTTAAAAATAATTTTGTCAATAAACAAACCTTAAAATTGTATCTCACTCTGTTTGAGTTTGTGGTGGTTAGTATTAATGGTGTAAAATACATTCTGCCTTAAATAAGATATGCTGGATGCACTTTAGATTTTTAATATTGTTTTTCATACTCTATAATACAACGAGCCTTTTCTAATAAATAAACAGTTAATCTATATGCGACTGTAAGCGATAACCCGTATGTAATAGATGGAGTCTCCTAATAAAACAAGAACGATCCTCACCTTCCCACAATCATTTTGAGCTCATCGTTGTCACGTTTTAATTGTAGCAAGTGATCCCGTGATACAGGCGTCAGTTCTAGCGGAGCGTGAAGCGGGTACACTTCGGCCGCTTCCACCATATCTGGCACGCTTATCTCCAAGAATTCGTGCTCTGGCACCGACTTCCAGTTCCACGCGTTTGACACTGTTATTGTCTCGCGATGCTTACGTCGTCTCAAGAGTAGCCTGTACGAAAGGAGTTATTAGGTAACTGTATGTGGATAAAGTGACTATTTTTTAAGTCGTCAGAAGAAATTTTAAGACTAGTTCTAAAATCGAGGAGACCTAATTTTCAACGTCACCACCAAGAAAAAAGAATGTAAAATAAATGAACACTACGCTCAGCTCATTATATAAATACAGTAATACGCACGAATACAAAGGACAAATATTAATGCATATTATCTACAGTTAACATAAATTATTAATTTCGAAAAAAAGTCGATAACACGGACGGGCCTCAAAACCCATGCGTCATTTACTTGGTAGAGCAACAGAACGGAACGTCGTGGTAGTGGATTCGAGTCTTGCCAATGTAATCTTGAAAACATATCTGTACGTTTTGTAATCTCTTGAGATTAACCATTCTGACGCAGCATAACCAGATTGCATGTACTAGGCAAAACCTTACTCGTACAGCGAAAAATGTTATGGCAAAAATGTGTTGCTTCGTCCTTGCCCATGGCATACGCTACAACTACATCAAATACTATCGGTCAGTAGTGAAATAAAAATAAGACATTTTTGTAGCGAGCGAGTGTATCTTACTTCATAAGATCGTTTCGTATAAGCTGCGGCAAGTTGGCTGTGAAGTCGGACTCGTCTTGCTCCACGTCGAGCCCGCTTTTGAGCTGCATCGAGAGATCCATCAGGTAGCGAATGTGATTTATCTAAGTAAAAAATATCACGGTTATTGTACATGTAATGTATTTTAAACATTCCCAAAGCGTATCCTGCAGACTTTCGTAAACTTAATAATAAAATTAATGATAATTTGGATCAGAAACATTACAGAGTAGGTTAGGGGTAAGCAAACAGACGTGGTTTTCAAACCCTTTAGTATACACAACGGAACAGATGGCGCTAGCGTAGCAGTTTTTACTTTGACATTGGAGTTACCCTCCAGCAGTCTCCCCGTGACCATGGCTGCTGCAAGGCATCCGAAACATCGGACCATAGTTAAAATAATTTTTAAACAATTTTAACCAATATATTTCGCGTTTTAAAGTGTTTTAATTAAATGTATACTACTCGCGTAGACTACAAACAGTATTTGTATTTGGTTTTAATGTAATGACACTTTTGAAAATTAATCTTACATCACTTATGTCGTCAACAGAGAAATCGGCGTCAATATTGACGAGGACATCGTGCTCAGGGAAGTAAGGATGTCCCTGTACAGTACTTCCTAGACCACACAGCACACTCACGTATCGACTGCCAGCTGAGTCTCGACGGAGCTCAGCCCTGGAATCATAAACAGGGGTTAACATGATATAAAGAATGATCTTTACATATAGTCCTTAATAAATGTATTATGACATCACTATACACATTTTTGAAGTCATTTGAAAAAGCGTTATACATTTTAAGTAATGTATAGATGCATCCATTGACGTCCGTACTAAGCAAACATTGTTTGCAATACAGAAGAAACTGATTCAGAAAGTATCACAGTATATACTTTAGGTCTGATATTTCAATTAAATTCAATTCTTAAAGAAAAATAGAAATATTCTTATTTTAACACGAAATTATCATATAACCACTACAAAGTATAAACAAGACGCTTTTTCTATCGCTACGCTTAAATCTTTAAAACTACGCAACGAATTTTGATGCGTTTTTTTAAATAGGTAGAGTTATTTAAGAAGACTGTTTTTATTGCATTGCCCCCGAAGCCGGGGCGGGTCGTTAGTATATAATAAATAAAAGCATTATTCAACGAATGCTGTTCAATACTTACTCAGGGCAGAACAGCATAGCCAATATGGCTGGTAGACCTGGAATGTTGGGCATGAGGGTTGTGTGACGTAGCGTCACCTTACTGCTTAGTTCATTTTGGCCAACTTCAGCTGCCACTAGTAACCTAAGAAAAGGGAATTAAAAAAAATAGAAGTCTTTATTATTATGAAAAAAAAAGGAAATTTATTTAAATCAAAGAAAATATCTTATTTAAACAAAGATTGGTAGAACGGGGGGGAAATGTAAAAGTACCTTTCATATATTTCCTGCGGTTCAGTATCTAGCAACACCGAGTTCACAGAGTTCCACTCGACCACCACTTGTTTATCACGGTTGCCATACATCAGGTTGTGGAGATTTGTTTCCAAGGGGCTAGAAAACGTTTATTTTTAACGTAAATGCTTGTAATACAACATGAATACACTAATATCATAAAGAGGCTGGCTCTATTTGATATGAGTGTATGTTTGTAATGACTAATTTAAAATTTACTGTTCCGGATTGAATTATAGATTAGAAAATAAAGTGATACAGGCATGATATTAAGTGATATCTAGAAACATTATGTGTCCACTGAATCAGTTAACTTACAGACTCAAGTAACTAATGAGACTTCTGTGCCCCGCCAGACAAACAACTTATGGTTTAACCGGAATTCGAACCAAGGTCCTTTCTTGCTTAAAGTAATGCTAAGAAGGCCTTAAATCACAGAGCACCAATTTATCTTTACTATATATTATAAAACATAACGACCAACTTCTCTTCTGCATTAGAGTGTCGTTGGAGCCGACATATACTAGATTGGAGACCACGATTAGGCAAACGCAGTGTAGCACGACCTACAGCACGGTAGGCAGATGACTGAAGAAAGTGGCCGGCAGCAAGTGAATAAATAGAGCTCAAGAGAGGGCCGAGTGGCATGCTTTGGGAGAGGCCTACGTCCAGCAGTGGACCCAAACGGGCTAGTAATGATGATGATGATGATGATATATTATAGGCTTTATTGCATTGTAAGTGTGCTAGGAAAGATTACTTATAGAAAAAATATGTTATTATATTACCTATTCGGCCCCTTCAAGTAGACATCAGAAATACAATCTTTGTAGCTGGGGGTGCCGAATTCGTGCATCTGATTGAAGGCGAGATCCGTTTGTTCTTTGTTGAAGGCTCGCTTCTGCGCTATGTTCAAGTCTGTTGCCGTTTGGCGTAGATCGTGGTTAAGCTGGTTTGATAAAACTTTATTTCTCCTCTTCATAATACAAATATAGATTACAGTATGTAGAACTTGATTAATATTATCTAAGAGGCATAGCAGTTAGTGGGTCCTGTAACTATGTTTAGTCAGGCCATACATATATTGTATACTATTTTCTTTTTTAATCTAAAAAATATTTTTTTATTCTTATGCACTCTATTGCTCTAACTGATTAAGCTACCTACACGTCATCGTCAAATTTTAACTCATTGATACATGCACCTCTCGCGCAATGTAATTACAACCTTAAATTTTGCCTTTTAGTTTCAATATCTTATGCTTTGAAACTGAAAAAAATCATTGAAACTGAAATTTCAAAATTTAACTATCGAATTATTTATTTACTATGTAATTTCAACTATAACACTTGCGTATTAATAGTATTTTTATTAGTTTGTAAGAATGTCTTTTTTATACTAATATAATTGTGTGTGTTGCTAGTTGCAATAAATTAAAACAGTCGAAATACACCAGTTGACCTACCTTCGACTCGTAACTCTCTTCGCATCGAACAGCTAAACCCTTCGCTGTTAATTCTTTGTTAATGCTAATCCGACCACCTTCAGCCATCAACTCGATAGATACGACGCCGTGGGTGACTGAATATATCTATAATAGTAAACTTTCAATATAATTGTACAAATAAATATAGTATATATGCGTGTAGTTTAATATCTATAGCTTAAACTATGCTTTGGTTCCTTAATAATTCTTTATACTTTTTAAGATCGGTTGTTTTGTTGGCACCTAGAACTTAGTATACAATTTATTGTAAATAAATTCAAATTTTAGATTGCTTACTTTGCTAACTCAATCAATTTACTTTATGTATGTATACAGGATGATGTCTACTGCAATTTTAAATCCACCAGAAACAGATTTGAATTTGATTTATGAATCATTTCTTTATAAAAATATATGCTGTCAACATATAATTGACTATTGACATTAGAAATTTTTATACTCTTTAAATAACTTTAGTGATTGTCTGTACAAAACACTTATATCATAATATATGGATTTAGTTCCGTGAAAAGTTCAGTGTTCATCACATTTAAGTGTGATACAAACGTTAGGTTTCTTTTTGGGATTAATGTTTAATGTGATGATTAATCCATAATAAATTCATTTATTTTGTGCGCGGCGCCATTTTTAATTATATATAGTACAACAACTGGTCTTCTCTTTCCTTCCAAATTAGTTACGCAATACAAAAACGCACCTTTCCAATGAGGCGCCCTCTAGCAACTAGATCCATGAAGAGTTTCATCGCGCCCGGAACCCACTGCCCGTGCGGGTGCAAAAGTGGCGCTGGCGCAACTTCGGCTAGAGTGCACTGCATCGCGAGTGGCGGGCTGTCAAGGCCACTAGGCAGCAGACCCAGGCTAGATACTTTAACGCGACCCACACCACCATAGTCTATGTAGAACACCTGCGTAATAAAAGGATGCCTTCTTTTTTAAACGATCTAAGAAAAATCTCGCGAGAGTTTTACGATCAACGTGCAAAAAATGGAACACGGACGACGTCGTAGTTAACAGCTTCAATTTATAAGGGTAAAGAGGTTTGCAAAAACAAATAGTGATGGCCAAAATAACTATTCTACGCGGACGAAGTCGCGGCCACAGCTAGTTTATTTATATAGGTACTAAATTAAAAATCGATTATAAATTGAAAAGAAATGCACGACACGGACAGGACATGAACTGGCATCCACAACGTTCCATGCTGTTGCTCTAGACAATTAAGCGATTGTATTTTTTTTTATTATTAAATACGGAGTGCCAGTGTGAAAAATATTAGGTTTTCAAATATATACGTACTTCTAGCATGTCCCGAGAGAGCACTTGTGTGACCTTAGCACGGTACATTACATTGCCGTTAGCGTCGACATACGGCGCAGCAACCAGTGCGTCAACGCTGGGTGTGTCGGTAAACTGCACCAGCTGCTTACGATTCAAAGCATTGTGGATGCAGCGGAGCTCGGACGCGGTAGACTCGTCATCGTACTGAACCCAGAACTTGCCGACGTTTATGATCTGGAAAAAGAATCACTTTATGATTATTATATATCATTATAATCACTTACACACACAAAGTCATAAAATAAAATTAAATATCAATGTCCCTACGGGATTATAAATGTATGTGTACGTAAAGTATAGTTCACTAATGGATTTTATTTTTAGGCGACTTGTTTAGTAGACTTCTGTGGCCTCTAAAAGTATTGAATATGTTTAACTGGGATTCGAACCCAGACAGTGTAGCACTTAAGGCTTGTTGTTAACGGTTAAATCATGGAGGCGGTTCACATTTGTCTCAGAGGTTCTATTGTGGGGTTTTAGTCGGTTTTGCCGACTTAACCTATTTGCTCCTTCTGGTGCGTTGGGTATCCGAAACGATTACCCTACGTGAAAAAATATGTGAAAATTATATCGTAAAATAACAGGAAAATTTTGACGTACTGTGATTTTCTTCCGTCAATGTTCTTACAATAGTTACGAGGATCACGGAATATTTTTTTTTTCTAAATACCTGAGATATCTTTAATGGGAAATGTGTATCGTCGATTTCAGGCAGACGCGGGACCATTTTATCAACGTCACAAGTTAACTTTAATGCTTCAAGCCCGTTCGCTAGATCATGTGCTCTGTCTAATCTGAAAGAATTAAAAAAATAAAATAAGACCGAGTATAACTTTGGACTCGAAAAAAATGATCTCCTCCTTAAATGATCTAAAAATGTCCACGACGCTATATACAAGATTAACTCGCAAGACCGTTTTTATGTTGATAAGCAAAAATTGGTTTAAAATAAATGCATTGTTTCCTATTATTTGTAATATACTAATAATCTTGCAAACGACAAAACAACATTTGCCGAATCAGCTAGGGGTTGTCCATTAATCACGTGATCTTTTTTTAGCATTTTTTAACCCCCCCTTCCCCATTGGTGATACATAGTGAGGTTTAAGAAGCTTAGAGCACCCCCTCCCCCTTCTTAACATCACGTGTATTTTTAGTACCTACAGAGAATCTTAAAATTTTTTGAATATTATCTTAATTTAAATACAGGTATAAACTCTAATCTTATATTATTCTGAAATTAAGGACCATAACAAAAATGTCTACACCAAAAATCGCGCAATTGACGAAAAAATAAATACACGAGATATCTTACTACACCCCCCCTCCACCTTGTGTTATTTTCGAGATGTTTATCACACCCCCCCCCCTTTCAAGTCTCACGTGATTAATGGACAACCCCCTAGTGGTATATATGGCCAGTAATAATAGGTTGCAGTTTCGTTTTCAAGTGCCATCATAATTTTGATATAACACGTTTTGGTTTTCTTTATAGCGATTACAATTAAACGAAGTGTATCCCACGTTACAAAATAGCTTAATAAACTTATGTTTTTAGTATCGAAGCAACTTACGGCAGTAATGGTATTCTTATTTGTATCTTCAATTGTCGGCATTTAATAGCTTTGTACACCGCAAGCACCACTTGGCCTGGAATCGTTGGGTTCTAAAATGTAACGGAAAAAAGTATATAAAAATGATTAAATCTCGTCTTTAAAGTCAATATCCCACCACCACCCCTTAAGTAGCATTTAACATTCCAAAAATACCTTAAATACTTACGCCACTTTTATCTTTGTCGTGTTTCTCTTCATCGTCATTAAATGTCAAATAAACTTTTCTGAAAAAAAACACCACATCATTGAGAGGACTCGCTTAGCTAACAAAAATATTAACAGATTATTAGATAAGACATACTTTATGTGCTTTACTCTTGATTACTACAGCTCTTAAATCTCACTCTACAATGCGAATATTCAAGGCAAAGTCGTTGCTGCGGGCGTTCACTTAATTGTGAGTCTTGTCGTTAAAGCGAAAAAAGGCGGGTGCATAAAAAGACATTATTTTGCTTTTACGCTATTTCTATTGTATACTATTCGCGTAATCTACAGACAATACTAAAATTGTGTGATGTAGAATTCATAAGTGACTAACAAGTAGAGGTAAAATCAAAGAATTAGAAAGTATTTCACATAAAGGTTGAATTGAGCTACCGCGTCGTTCACGCATAGAGACGAGAATTTTGATAGACATAAGCGGAAAAAAAGGGGCCCATTTTTTTAAAAACCCTTATAAAAAAAATATTTTAAGTATTACTTTTATAATCAAGGAGTAACTTATAAATAATTTAAAAACACTGCTGCTCACCTGCTGTTTCTGTCGAATGTAACTCTCGGTTTATCCCCTATGTGCTGCACGATGATGTTCTTGATAGCGGAGGAATAAATAGCTCCTGGCTGATTGTCGGGGAATCCCTGCAAGTAGACCGTGTTCCGCGGATTGAGACCGTTCAGCATCCGAACAGCATCCCTCTCGCGACCCTCGTCGCCGGCCACTTGCACGAAGTATTGAGGGTAGAATGCGCCGGCGATTAATACCTAAACACAGAAGGTAGTTCTCAGTTCAAGTATAACTAAGGTACTTAATAAAAAGAAAGAAAATGATTTATATAAAAACAGCATTTAATCTTCATAATCAATATTTATAATAAAACTACTAAAAATAATTTATCACTTGCAATTAGATTCATTAAATTAGTTAATACTCGTCTGATATTCAACTTTCCCATAATCTTGGTAGATGTTTAAAATTAATAATTGCTTTATTTAACTATTTAGATTAAAGTAAAATCCACCATATTACATTGTTATAATGTTAGGTATGTACCTTTAACACAATAGGAATCTCCTGTTTGCTCCAAGGCGAGTTGCCTTTCAACGACTCGATGCCCTCGCGCGACAAACGCGCGCGCAGCTCTCGCACCATGTCGTCCAGTTCGCGCATCGCACGCACTTGCACGTAGAACCGGCGCGCCCACTGCGCCTCGCTGTTGCCGGATTGCTTGAAGTACTGTTGCTGACGAAGGTGGTTCCACACCTGGTAAAAGGACAGTGTATTTATTAATTTATTCAAAGATACATCAACAGATCAGAACTTCGTCAATTCTTGATATATATAAAAAAGTACATGTATTCTTATGACAGGTCTAAAACAAATAACGATTAGTCATAAATATAAAAAATATATATATTTAAGTGTTGCAAGGTGAAATAATTACAAATTACATAACTAAATTTAATTTTTAAATTTAGTTATGAAATCGGCAAAGGTATCGATGTTAAATACTAAGAAACTAAGCATCGATCAAATAAACTTGTTGACAAAACATAGCGTCGTATGATCGGAAACTAGTTTGTGCTAAAGGCTAAACTAATTTGTGCAAATGTTAATAACGAAGAAACAGATGGCACCACCATAGTTAATTTGTAAAACGACGGCTGTTAAAACATTATCTAAATAGTTCACGTCGTTTAAAAGCTTTCGCGTATACCACTCGCTTGAACTGCAAAAGTACGAGATAAAACAAATTGAGTCATTATATTCATATTTCACACTTACCTTGTAAACGTTATGAAAAGCAATGCAATCGCTCGTAGACCCGTCGGCCCAAGTCAGTTTTGAGTTGTAGGCTTTCATTCGTTCACGGAACGGGCTGCTAAATACATTTTTCACTGACATTGCAGCAGCTGTTGAAGAGATATAAAAATCGTATGACCAATTATAGTGAGCACAAAGATAATTTACTAGATATTGTACTTAATGGATAGTTATTCTACTAAAAAATGGGCCATTCGTCACTAAGATTGACAATTAAATCGGTTTTAAAATAAATGGGTTTATTGAGTCAAAAGTAAAAAAGAGAGCTAATATTATAGTCCTTAAAAGTTTAAATACACTCAGAAACCACCCATATCATTTGAAACAAAATTTCGCTGTTAATTATCTCATTTTCTGGAAAACAATTAGGACCACAAATACTATGTATGTATTAAAATCAAGATAATCCGAAGGGACAGAATTTGGGAAACAATACCAAATAAAGTATTTGGTAATATTAAATAAAATGGACCCATAAAAATCTGGACTTTCTTTCGTAAAGACAAGTAAAGATAGACTTACCCATGATAACACATTCATCCAAACATCCAAATATGTATCCAAGCATGATAAGTTTGGACAGCTTCACGTCGATGGGCAGTAATGCCATAATGTGGCCCAAATATGTAATTTCGCCATCCGAGGTACTCCATTGGGAGTGTACTAGCTTTTTTAAGGCGCCGATCTAGAAAAATATATCATAATTAAATCTATTTATATTATAGATGGACAGGAGACTAACTCTTTTATATAAAAACGTGAATAATAAACTTTGGAATGTGTCTATTATTTCTAATAGAATATATCATTTTTATTAATTGTAATAAGTAAACTTTAAAGAAGTGGTATGAATAAGATATTTTTACAGGTTACGCAAGTAGAACTTAACAACTACTTTGAACAGTCGAAATCGAACGAAATTCGAAAATATATTAGTTCAACAGATGGTGCTAGCGTAAGTAGTATTGACGTTTACATTAGACACTTCTAAAGCCTTTGTGATCATGACTGCTGCAAAGCCTCGGAAACGTCAGAACGTAGTTGAAAACAATAACTAATTATTTCGCGTTTGTATTATTGATTAGTTTGCATTACTAGTGTTTTTTTTTCAATAATTACCTCTTTCAACACAAGGACAGTCCTGTGTACGTTAGATAAATCGGGAGCGTTCATTGCCAACGCAAGGATATTTGCGGGCGGACCCATATCTAGCTTCTTGGCGAGGAGCACCAGTCGCTCCAAGGGACACCTTAGCAGCTCCGGGGTGCATTCGTCTTGGAAGGATTCCTGTAGCGTATTATAACATTAAAAATAATCTATATTTCACTCTAAGCGTTTAATATTGAACCTAGAAATAATACCTACCAGTACGTATACGGCTGTGAAAGCCTTAAACAAATAATTAATATTTATATACATTTAGTGTTTTACTTCACACTGACTTCAAAATTTAAGTAATTGCTATCAAAGTAGTGTTAGCTTTTGCTTTTTAGTTTGCCATTTCATGTAGGTTTTTTAACTTACATAAACATTACTAGTAACAAGTCTGTAGACACGCCCGTCGCGCACTCTCCCTGCTCGTCCAGCACGTTGCTCGCAGTTCGCCTTCGAAGCCCAATGAAGTTGCAACGACGTGAAGTTCGTGTTCTCATCAGCCACCAACACTTTCATCAGACAGTAATCTATCACTGAAAAAATAAATGAATTAGAACACTAGGGTTTTGCTGAAAATCAGTGTTATAGCATAGCTGTTCTGCTACTTATGCTGACGCAAAACCATTTAATAGCTTGCTATGTTAATATATATTATGTAAATAGTTTATCACAAAAACTAAAACAAAGTTATAGGAAGAAATGTCGAAAGAAAAAATAGGTCAAATCAACCAGCAAGGCCATCATAATTGTATGATGAAGAACATCATAAAAAATAACTTAAAAATTTGAATACAGTGTTTATCGTCACTTTAACTTACCGTATTTAATATCAGGAACGGTGATGGAACTTTCAGCAATATTGGTTGACAGAATGATTTTCCTATGGCCCGGCGGTGCACGCTGGAACACTCGTATTTGCTCGTCTGCTGTGATCGTCGAGTGCAGCGGCAGTACCCACCAGCGGAGCGACGCGTCACCGCATAGTTGCCTCCTACAGGTTATGTTATTTACTACCTTATCCTGGACTGGTAGTGAAGATACATTGGTCTAATGGTAGCAATGTATGGCTAGTAAGTAATCAACGGGTCCAAGATGTTGAACTTTGTCTGAAAATCTGGATATTAATCTGGTGGTAGGAATATTGAAATTCCGTCAGTGGATTTCCGAAAATCCAAAGCCAAAATAAAGAGACAGATCGCTAGCCCATAATGTTAAATTTTACCTTCCATGAAGTGAACTCCAAACTTGTCTATTCACTTCTTATTAGAAAATTCAATAACGAATAAAATAAATAAAAAACCATTGGTTTTTTCACTCTGCCAATATTCCAACTCCCGGGAGTTCTCTCACATGTTATAATTAAAAAAAAATTATATTACCGTTCATAGCTACGCTCAAACCTACATGAAAAAAAAAATCTTTAATAAAATATATATGCGGTTAGATTGAGATGTGATTAAAAGAAGTTTTGTAGGAAATATGTCTAACCTCAATGCTTCATCGGTTAGACAGCCATAGAGCTCTTCAATTTCATTTATACCGGGAAGAAATATCAGCACAGAAGGCAGATCGCATTCTGACACGTCGCCCTGGCTGAATTCCTCGTGTTTATCGATATTCTCGAACGCATTCACCAGTTTTAAGACAAGATGGTGCATCTCAATTGTAGTGCCGGGCGGATCGTTAATCTCCATTTTTGGGATCTGTAGTTGAGAATATGTACGTTATCAGCTAAGCTATGAATTGCTTATTTTCTAAGGGATGAGTGAAGAGATGTTCGAGAACCCTTTAGACCATAAAGATAAATTTGATATACTGCTTAACGCTACGCTATGCACATATTTACATTTAAATAAAACACTTTAACGTTTTAAAACGCGATATATTAGTTAAACTTATTTGAAAATGATTTTTAACTTCCCTCGTTTCGGATGCTTTGCAGCAGCCGTGGTCACGGGGAGACTTTAGTTTTCTTTGACGTCAGAGACATCCTCCATCTTTATGGAGGATGTCTCTGACGTCAAAGTAAAAAATTGCTACGCTAGCGCCAACTGTTCCGTCGAAGTTGGTATTTAGTGAAACTGGCCGGGTCCTTACAAAATTGACTAACGGTGTCTTCGGTTTGCCGGTATGCTGTTATTGGAATCCAAAGTTTTAATATGGGATCCCAGGTGTTTGATAATTTGAGGCCGTCCTCCCTATTGAAATTTCGGTGTTTTTTGATTTCAATTGCTTGCGTACCATATTTTCAAATAAGTTTAACTAATATATCGCGTTTTAAATCGTTAGTGTTTTTTTTTATGTGTATACTCGCGTAAACTATAGACAGTATTTACATGTTTAACTACAGAGGCGGTATATTTTAAAAATGATTTAATGAAAAGAAAACAAAAATCAATAATATAAGACTATATATATATTTCAAATATCTGTGTAAGTTCTATATGGTATATGATCAATATAACAATAGCAATAACTCACCGTAAGAAACTTGGATAAATGATTGAGATAAAACTCCTTAGATATGAACTTGGACGTCTTTCGAATCTTAACAATGGGGGCACCGCCCCTTTCAGTCAAATTCGGTACGATGAAGTACTTAGAAAACGCCTCCACATTAAACGTAGCAGACATGAGGATAAGCTTCACCTTCGGCGAGACGGTGTAGACAAATTTCTTGACAATTAGAAGTAGGAAATCCATTTCTTGACCCCTTTCGTGAACCTCGTCCAGTATTATGTGCGTATATTCGTTCGCATTCTTTGCGTTTACTAAAAAAAAAGATAATACCTGTAATACTCCTTGGTGTAATGGTATTATAGCAGTAAGTGGCTTATAATCAAAGGGCCGCGGGCTCGATGCCCCACGGGGTCCCCCATGTTACTAATCAATTGATAATTTGTTAGAGGTCCACAGATGAAAGAGTCAGTCGTCAGTTAATTTCCGAATATCAAAAACCAAAATAGGTCGAGAACGCATTTTGTTTAGGCTGGGGGTTGTCTCACCTACCATAACTGAACGTCAAGTTTGTCTGTCTTTCTCTAACATAAAAAACTCAAAATAAGTTCCTTCTTCAACTAGTATTTATTACTACTTAGGCTATGCCAATCACTTTGCATAAACATTTCTCAAACAAAACCAAGGGTCGAACAGCTGGCAAAACATAATAAAGTAACTTTGCTGTGTTTTAATGTTTTCATATTTTAAGACAGAATAAACCCAATAATACAAAAACGAGACAACATCGGCTCTCTATATGTACATTATTTTTGATAATTATATTTTTTAGTCAATGCGAGCGATTATGGAGAACAATTGTATATTTAGACAAATATTTATCCCATACCAAGCTTCTGAAGTAACACTCCCGTTGTGACATATGAGATGCGAGTATCAGCTGAAGTTTTATTTTCCAAAGCAACCTGAAACCAATGATTATAATTTATAGTATTATCATTGTATACAGTGAAATTCCGTTTCCCCCTCGTGGGGCATGGGGCGAACACATTTCTGTGTCCGTTTCACTGATCCGTTCTTTTTACGGGCAAGTAGTTGATCAGACTTCTGTGCCCTGTCCGACCGAAACATTTTTTTGTTTACATGGGATTCGAACCTAGGACCTCTCGCGCCTAACGCAATGCTAGGCAATACGTTTATCCATTTGGCTTCAGAGGCGGTCATGGTATAATAAAGCAATAAAAATAGTTCGTCTAAACAATTAATGTCCAAAATCGTCGAAACCTTGAAGAAATCCGCAACTAGATTGGTTTTTATAGTTTTATATACTAATGGCGTTTCATTAAATTGTCAATAACGTAAAACCGAATTTAAAACACATATAATCCCCATAAATGGTCTGTAAAAATATCTGTAAAAATGTAAAAATATTTTAGCTTTAAAAATGAACATGCTGCCAGAAGTAAGTCACGCAAAAATAGAAAACTAAAAATCGATACATTTGATATTATTTTTAAATTATTTTGTAAGCATAGGTGCGCAAACATTTTATGTCTTAATTTTTAATTTGAAATAGAAAAGTTTTTTCTTATTTACGTACATGATTCCAATTCATATAACTACGGTTGTAATATAAATTGTATTGTGCAGCCATCTTGCAAAGCTACTTGTATTTTTGAGCTGTTTGACTCTTTTGAAAGGTCACCCAAAACCAATGTATCCAACCAACCTGGTATCCAACAATTCCACCAACATCCCAGCCCCTCTCTTGAGCAACTCGTTTTGCTATGGAAGTAGCCGCAATCCTCCTTGGTTGAGTCACAACAATTTTACATGGTTCCCTCTTATTGTAGGCATTATCAAGGATCCATTGTGGGACTTGAGTAGTTTTTCCACATCCTGTTGGGCCTTCGATAATCAACACAGGTGCTTCGGCTATCTTCTCTATTATCTAGAAGCAAAAAATACATTCCTAAAACACTAAAATACAAGGAAGGCTTCAGAGTTTTCTGACATAAAAATAATATAATAAAAACCCATATTTTAAAAAATACCTAAACTTGTACTAATTGTCCTTTGTACAATAATCAGCCAACGAAAACAGAATAAATTAACAGAGAAAATTTAACTATTATGGTTTATTGTCCAATTATATAAAACTAGCTGTGCCCGCGACTTCGTGCGCATGGAATAGTGACTTGGGGTAGAATTTTTAATTATTTAAGCTATTTATCAATTTATGTAATTGTGCATTTATCGCAGCCAATCTTGTAAGTGCTACTTTGCTGCAACACTCTCACCTCACATCAATCCTACACTAACTTCCACTCCCACTCCTATTTCCAAAAAGCCATAGAAGAAAGTTTCATTGTTCTAGCTTCAAAAACCACAAATTTCCCAACTTTCCCCTCCCCCCCCCTTTAACCTCTTAAAACCCTCTTTTTGCAATAAAAATCCTATGTTCTTTCTCAGGGTCTAGACCATCTGTGTACTAAATTTAATTCAAATCCGTTCAGTAGTTTTGGCGTGAAAGAGTACAGACGTTACTCTTGCATTTATAATATTAGTTATATACAATTATTAAAAATACACTAAAAATGATAATTATTTTAACTTAAAGAAACAGGACTTATTACCTCATTTTGATGTTCATTGATTGGAAGATATCTGGTGTCTTCTTTCTTTTGAAATGTGTATTTGCTATAGATTGCTTCTGGCTGGGCTGCATTTGGTTCAAATGAAGAACCTATTGTTGTTAGGTGTTCTAATGAATCCAATCCATGTCCATGGTCGACGCATAGTGGCCTAACTCTTTCATTCTACCAAATTGCAAACAACTTATTTATCTTGGCACCTTCTCAATATTCTTAATTACCCTATTTTTGTAGAATTATCAAAGATCAGTTTTAATGGGAGCAATTTAATTCAAGTTGCATTGCAACTTAATCAGTAACAACCAAGTATTATTATTCACCATTTACAGTTTTTCATTATGTGGTACAAATAATATATATACCCCTTTAAAAAAAAACCCTTTTAACAAACAAAAAAATGTTTTTTTTTTTTTTTTTTCCCCCCTTTTTACACAACCCCCCTTTACCCCCATAAAATCAACATCCCCTCCAGTGTCGCTATATAGAGTTTACACTGTATATGATAAACATAGATTGTGACATAGTAGTTCAACGGTTAGAGCAAAGTTAAAAAAAAAAACCTCCCAATGTTGGTTATAAATTTGAACAGTACCATACAGTATACAATACAGAAACCAATTTTTTAAAATCTTTTCTAAAGAATCACATTATATACCTCCATGTAAATTTCAAGTTCTCTCTTCCTCACTTCTTCGGCATAATCTGTGCCTCTAGGTATATCTGAATGACGGTGTTCTTCTGGTCGATTTAAATCATTTGTGGGATCATTTTTAGTTAATCGACAACCACCGGTTAAAGGAGCTCTCAGTTTAATTCTTTGAGTAGATGAAGGGTTGTTAAAGAAGGACCGAAGCTCATCCATTGTTAAGGTACTCCTAAAAACTAAAGTAATAATTAGATGTTAAGAAGTGAATGATATTATTTTTATATTAATACTTTTTGGTACAGTAACAAAAAATTATATTCTAATCATTATTTATCAAAAATCAATTCATGTGTTTTAAATATAATATAGGCACGTATTATAAATATGATACATGCGGTCTGACAATTTTTATTAAAGGTATTCATTTAAAAATGTGTTATTATGCACGTTACCTTAAGGGAAATTGAAAAGCAAATTACAAATACTCTTGTTAACTCTATAATAATATTACCTACATACCTATTTTGATAGTTTTAAAAACTTTCCTATATTTAAGACGTATTCAACGAGGGTTAAACACGAAGCAATATTATTTAGTGTTTAATGTTTATATTCTCGGAAATTGCGGAATTTGAAACTAGGCAAAACTCAGTTATATTTTGTGTCAACTGTCAAAGCCGTATCACCACAGAATGAATCTCTGTGGTTCATCCGTTGTGACCACAGAACAGCAAAGGGTAGATTAAAATAAACAAAACATTTGTATAAAATGAAAACTTTATTTTACTCTCTCAAGTACTCACAATGAAACTTACAAATTATTACATGCAATTAAAAATCGTTTAACAAATTCGTAAAGGTTTCAGTGGCGTATGTGATAGATATAGGACTTATATCCATATTCTCTTTCCTCCTTATTTTCAGCGCTTTCGTTTTCATTACTCCTACGTTCCGTGTCTGATTCTGCGTTTTCTGCATTTTCCGCCGATCCTTCGCCGCCGTTCTCACCACTTGCGTTGGCAGCCGCTTCTGCACTCCCAGCGGCACCTTCAGCAGAACCTTCAACGGCACCTTCAGCGGCACCTTCAGATGACTGTCTTTTAACTTCCTCAGCCTCTTTGACTTGTTCTTTAACTTCATAACCCTTTCTCAAAAATTTCTTGGGTATGTAAAACCATAATTTTTCACCGCTGTTTTCTTCACTTTTTACAGGCTCAGCTGCACTTTGTTCTCTGGAATTTCCTTTGGCTTCTTGTTTGCTTGATTTTTCTTTCTTCTTATTCCAACGAGATTCTTTGCGTCTTTCTCCAGAGTTTTCTTCAGCCTTTTGTGAAACCTCTTCTTGCTCTCTTTCCTCGCTCTTCTGTAATTTATTCCTACGACCCTTTTGAGTCTGACTCGTTTCTTTAGAACCAGATCCTGTTTCTTGCGAAGTTGCTTTATTATCCTCTTGAGAAGCCTTGTTGGAATTTTTATTTTTCTTGTATTCGTGAATTACCCGCCAACTTCTCTCCTTCTTCTTCTCTTGTTTGGCTTCGGGTTGTGATTCGACATTTTCTTCTTTTTGTTCTCCTTCTCTCTTTTCTTCTTGGCGTCCTTTTTGTGAATAATCAATGAGTACATTGAATCTGAAATAAATAATTTATTTGCAGTAACTATACTACTTATATGATTTCATCTAACTATACTACCGGTTATAAGTGAATCGAGTAAGTACTGAATAGAAATGAACTATCAGATAGATAACTCAAAATAAATTTAAATTGTGAGGGTACAAGGTATTTGTTAACACAAATCCACGTATATATTTAAAAATCAATATGGATTTCATAGCATTCCTCCTTCCATAACTCCTTCAAAAAAAGATAATAAAAAACTGTGCATTCCCGATGCTGGACAAAGGTCATTACTTAAATTAATTTTAAATTGCACTAGAATGGGTAACCAGTTGAACTGGTGTTGTAACGCGTTACGTAACGAGTAACGACACAACAGTCAACAGGACAGAACCAAATTATAACTGTTAAAAATAAAATAACTATAAGTATTGTACAAGAGTAGGTATTTAGAAAATAAAATACTACTAAAAACGAACCCTATATTATCGTTTGCGTGGTACTTGACTAGTCGTTTACGACCATCTGGTTCTATGAGCCAGTAGTCTCCGTTTACTTTGTCCCCGAATCGCTTTTCCTGTTGTCCTTTAAAATCGTGGGTGTGAGGATCGGACACTTTATATGAGAACTCGTATGAGGGATACGATCCGACCTGAAAAGAATTACCATCTCAAAAATTACATCAGCAATAATAAAATATAATTATATCGAAAGGTAACATGCTTCAGAAAACTAAATTATCGTCTGTTGTTTATATCGTACATCTTAGAAAAAATTAGAGGCCATTTTCAATAGAGTGCGCCTGCGCTAGTCACACAGAGATTAAGGGATTTTTAATTTGGAGATTATACTTAAATATACTACCTTTTTCACGTATTATTATGTTTACTTACTTGAACAATATTAAATAATTGTTAAGACAAAATCAACTCAAAAATTACTTGTACAGATTTCATAAGATTTTTATTATAATCTGCCAATCGTAAATTAAAAACCCAATCCTTTAATTTAGCCCGATTATTTAATATAGACGTGGACTAGATTTGAAAACTTTAATGCTTTTTCTGTTTATAAAACTTTATTTAATATAAAAATATATTTGAAAAACCACTCCGGCAGGGCTTGAACCGGCATCCACAGCGTTATGTGCTGTTGTTCTAGCCAATTAAGCTATCAAGTCAAGTCAAAAAAACGATTTTTATATTATAGTAGACAATTGTTTAGACCTTCTAACAGCTGCACCAAAAATTAACTTACATATTCCTCATGATGCTCATTACTTTTAGGTTTCTCGTATATCTTCTCTTCACTCTTGCTCAGATATTTGATGAATTTCTGTTCGGAGACAGCAGCCCGTTTAGGAAGTGCAGTTACGCATAGCGCAATGTTAAGAATTGTAATGACCTAAAAATATATTGCCACTTAATATTTTCACAGCTGTTACAATAAAATCGACTTGAACACCCTAATCCAGACTTTCAGCTATCATATGTATCCAATTTTTTTTTTGTTTAAGGGGACATCGAAATTAATTAATATTAAAAGGACAAAAGCAATTAAAAACTGTGACTCCAGAATATTCCTTTTTCCTTTTCCATAATTGGAATATATCACGTTACAATTCCAACCGGTATCGTCAATGCAGGTTACCTTCCAATCCATCGTGTGTACCGTCTGACAAAAATTAAACGACTTAAACACTACACGTAACTCATGTGTATTTATACAATTTGCTATTCGAAAATATTAGATATTCTGCCGACGTTATGCCGCTGTCAATTACGTAGTTTCACGTATTAATTGTTAGGCGGGGCCGATTTATATAATTGATTTAAAGGAGAAAAACCGCACCTCGTAATTGCATCTGTTACGTACGGCGGTTCCACGGCCGTTACTGGGGTAGTAGTACGGACAACTCCGTAGCAGTAACGCCCTGCCTTGAAATTACAATTGATTAAAAATACAAAATATTGACATAAATTTTTAAAAATATCTATTTAAATTTAACTCTACTTTTAATTTAACCACTTTTATATCATTACTTAGATTAGATATTAAGGTCGACATAATTTTGTTAAAACTGGAAACATACAAACATATATCATACATACATAGTTCTACTTAAAAAAATACGAGTCTCACAGTAGATTTTTCACTTCTTTCAGGATGATTTTAGTTTAGAAGCACTTCATCCATCAATTAAAAATGTAACTTCCAGCAAATGAGAGTGGAAAAAAAAGTACGTGACATTTTATTTTACAATATTATATACTTTTATAATTAATATTAGTAAATGGCAATTAAAAAAATGGTAAAAAAACTATATGCGTAAAGAGTGTTATGATTGATTCAGGAGCGCGGCAGACCAATTATCATATTTTTACTTCCGCTGCCCCACCTCGAGTTTGGCCTTAGCTACAGATCTGCGTGGATCCCTTAGTAGTTTTTATGCTTTTAAGAATAATGCGATTAAAATATGCTTAAACGTAGCCTTTTTGAAATTAAAATCAGTTATAGTCATGACCAATAAATTCTAAACACTTGTCATATCATTGGAACAAAATAACGTTACTAAGTTTTTAAATACATACATTTAAATAAAACACTTTAACGGTTTAAAACGTTTTTTTTTAAAAACCCCCCCCCCCCCCCAATTTTTTTTTTTTTTTTTTTTTTTTTTAAAGAAAAAAATTGTTTACTTGTGTGTTGCAATAAAGAATTAAAAAATAAATATATTAGTTGAACTTCGTTCGTTCGTTCAGCTCGTGGTCTCACGAGGTCTCCCCGTGACCACGGCTGCTGCAAAACATCCGAAACGTCGGCCCGAAGTTAAAAATCATTTTCAAATAAGTTTAACTATATATATACTGTACGCGTTTTAAACCGTTAGGGTTTTATTTAAATTAATACACACTTACGTAAATGTGACACTTGGGTGTGTCACACATTTAATACACACATACTTACTTGAATGTGTGTGTGTACAGTACGTACAGTGAAATCCCTTTTAACTTAGGGGATTTGGTAGATCTATATCTAAACTAGTAGACCAGACTTACACGCCTTGTTAAGTGCTTGTAAGTCTGGTCTATTCTGGTCGACTGAAACCAAGTAATGTTTCCCGTATTAATTCACAGCCTCTTGAATCTGAACGCAATGTGCATAACTAGATATGATTGAGCATGCAGTCTCTACTGAATACATAACTATCTTTTTATACTAATCTGTGGGGAAAACTTTGGCCTAATTTTGATTTTCGTATAAATTACGCATCGTTTATACGAAGCAGTAAAATATATGCAGATCTCTTTCAGTTTCAGTGAAGCACTGCCGCACTACATCATTATGTATTTTCGCATAAGCAACATTTCTTTTTTTATTATACAGAAGGATTTTGAAACTTGCAACGAATAGACAGCGCAAGATTTTAAATAAGTTAATTTTTTCCCCATTTTCCCCTAAATATCAGTTAGTTTTTGAAATCGGGCCACACCATTTTAATAAAACAAACTCATTATAATTACATTTTATTAGTACTATAACGTAAATAACAAAATATTCAGATCAATTTTAAAGAACTGACATTTCCCCTACTTAACTATAGTTATATATATCAATCACATTTATCAATTAATTTTAAAACGATTATGCATATCGTTCTTACGTTGTTACGTGATCAAAAACCATTACACGATAATTGTATCAAATTATATAATCAAATGCGCATTAAAATTATTATATTAACATGTCTGCGTGTAACATTATTTTAACAGTTTGTCCTTTGAAGTTATAATTAGTATTCACTGCTTGGATTTGGGCCTAAACTGTGAAGTGTTTTGTTTAGATAACGTACGTTATTCAAGATTGCCTGGAATCCCTTTTTAATGATTAGGCCGCCTTTTTTCGCTACATTTTGGACTTTTTAAATTAAATTTTATTTTGTAAGAGTGTGGTGACAATAAAGTATTTTTTTTTGTTTGTTATGTGCAATTTTTAGTCTCATGCTCATGCAAGTCTATCTACACTTAAGAACCTTACGGGTTCTGTGGCGAAGTACCACAAAGTTAAATCTCTTTTATGACCAGGAATCAAACTTTGGATCTCAAGTACAAACAAAGCGTGCTTAAACTATGAACTAACAACTGTCATTAAAAAGACACAGGTTCATAGCTTAATAAATTAAACCCATGATACATAACCCAATTGTATAAACCCATGGCCGCAAATTAATAACAAAATAAGTACAAATACCTACAAAAACAACAATAATTTCACTTAATCCACTAAGTACCTCTTACACAAAGGGAAAATTGTAAAAAGTATCCACAACCGCGTTTTAAACATTTTCGATTCATGAAATTGCTAAACAATTTAAACATACTCTAGTGAAACCTTAATAAATTAATATAACAGTGACACACAGGTGAAATAAATGTGATAAGGTCAACCCCACACAAGTTATGAACACTCAGTAACCCAAGTATGAGTTTTATAATTAACGACAACGTATGATAGTGAAAAACGCGTAAATTGAATGTTTAGTGTTGTAGCATAAATGCAATATTTACACGATTAATTTTAGTAGTATACCGTTCTAAAAATAAAATGTGTCGATGAAGAGCGGCGGCGCGAGAAGAGATTTCCGCCAGTTCTTCCATTCTTTCTATGCTCTTGATTCGAGAACTGGTAGTGAATATGCAGTATTTGCGTTCATAAGTGTACATAGTAACTTACATTATGTTTAATTTTTTGTTTAAACGTCACTTTTTAAATAAAAATATATTTTAAATACAGTAATTCCCTTCATTTGTATCGGGACAGCTCAAGTAAAATCAACTGCGAATAAAGAGAACAAGTAACTTCAAATACATGTTAATTATTAAAACTCATACTTCCTGATTCAATTTGATATGTGAATTCTTATTTTTATGTGCGGTGACCGTATGATATGTAAAAATAGTATTAGTTATACAATACTGATAATGATATAGTAGAAACTAAGAATTCCTGAACTCTATCTTTGGTTAAGAGTAGTTTATTGTGACTAGTAAGATTGCAGAACCATGAATTGTTATTTATAGCCAATATTTGAAAGATGGATTTGAAATAACTTTAACCGTTAAAAGTGTAGCTTCATATTCAATTATCTTGGAAAGCACTTAAAATTCAATCTTAACACGTTTGTGTTAAGGTAGAATTTGGACCAGTAACATAAGGTTATGTTTAATGTTTGACATAGATGCCTCTCGATTCAAAGATTTTGGCTGTCTTTCAATTATTGTTTTAATGATTGCCGCCATCCATATTGTTTAAAATAACAAAATATACAGTGATAATAATTATGAAACCTATATAAAACACAATAACTATACTAGACTGGGTATTAAAAAAATACGTGAATAACATTGGACTGTGACATGAAACAAGTGTCGTCCAGCATATCATTAAATATATAATTCTTCGATCAATTCGGAGCTAACTTCTCCTGATGATGCCGTCCGCTCGTGATGGCGCAACGACGAGAACCTCTTCTCGCACACGTCGACTGAACAGCCCAGAAAACAATGATATGCTGAACGATGACCGCCAGAGCCTTACACAATTTAAGTGTGTTGTCCTTATCAAGAGTGAATTTAAAACGATGCCACATATTTGAAACGTTCTTACGTAATGTCTATAAGCTAACTTTTTCCTGTAATATAAACTCTAAAGCAATCAACATCTTAAGAACTATAATTATTGTGCAAAAGAATCCCTTTTAATTATAAAGAGCTCTATATTATTCAAATAAATACTGAGTTTCCAAAAAAATATTTAAATACTTGGCAATTTTAAAGTAACAATTTAAATAAAACACTTCAACGGTTTAAAACGTGATATGTATTAGATAAACTTATTTGAAAATGACTTTAACTACGTGACCCCTCTGCCTGCAAAGCATCCGAAATGGCGGGCCGTAATCAAAATAATTTTCTCTATCGCGTTTTAAACTGTTAAAGTGTCTTATTTAAATGTGTACTACTCGCGTAAACTAAATACAGTATTTAATAATTATTATTATAACAATATGATAGCTGTATGCATTTATTTGCAATATACACTTAGATATATTTTTTAACTTGACAATCATGACGTCTTTTTCTAAGGGCAAAACCTCGTTATTTCTAAAACGTATGTAAATACAAAGAAACAGTCAAGGTAGAGGGCTAACACTTTCCCCTGAGTGGTACGGGATGAACACTTTTCTGTATCCGTTTTACCTACTGTCTTATTCTGTGACCTACTAGACTGAAATTCTTATTACCCCGAGATTCAAACCTATTGTGCCTAACGCAGTACTAAGCAACAGGTTTACCCATTAAGTTATGGTGTCGGTCTGTGAACTTAAACGATTGTGGATGTCTATCTATCTATTCTGAAGCTTATGTAACCGGATTTTGGTAATAACTAAAAGATTCCAAATTAAAGTACATAGGAACTTATTACTGATACACTATTATTTTATGAATCGATTTTAAAGTCTAGTATCTAGATAACTTGTGTTGTTTAGCTGAGTAGAAAAATATTCTGCTGTGTTGTAAATTACTATAATAGTACAAATAAAAACTCCTATATATAATTACTATTATTATATCGTAATATGATAGATGCGTATTTATTATTGTGTTGTTTAGATTATACCGTCCTAGTCTAGTCTTTACAAGAATATATACCTTAAAATGAACAATTTACAACATAATGAGATTAAATAAAGCCATGTCAAGCCATACGTGGACAATAGAGTTGAGATACATACTTAAAAAAAAGTAATTTAATGGTTTACGCGAAATATATAAATTCACTTATTTTAAGCTACTATCCGACGTTTCAGCGGCCACGGTCGCGCGGGGAGCATCTTCGTTAATATTTTTTGGATTTGAAACTGTTGTAAGTGTTTAATTTAATGTACACTCTGCCCGTAAACTTCACCAATACTTCAATATTACAATATTAAATTATTTTTGTGTTTATCCGTGGCCCGATGCTATGGTTGGATGCATCTGTTTCAAAGATATTTGCAATATTATGCAAAGAATCCTTAGAATAACAAATACGTTCACACACAAACCCATATACTACTCCCAAAAATCACAGAGTGAGTGAGAAAGAATTTTTCGTAAATTACTACTGGGCCCCAATTCTGCTATTTACAATTTAGGTACATGCCTTATACCATTTGAAATTATTTAGAATACCAGTTATTACGATATTATCTCGATGGCTTCTCGCTTGATCACAAATTAGCAGACTCGGGACCTAAAGCTTGGCTTTTCAGTTTTCCTTAGAAGGTTGAATTGCCCAGCCGAGGATTCGGCGGTCGAAGCCACAACTGAAGAAGTTGATACCTGATGATATGTCTTCCGCCCACGCCACTGACGTCACCATACGCCGATGACCCTGTAAATTGTGTTCGCATTAGACCTTAATTAAGATAACATGACGTTAATTTCTCTGTAGCGCAGTTTGTACGTTGTTATGTGAAAAGTGTTTCCTTTCCCCAAATATAGTGAAATATTGTATATTTAATACTTAATATAAAATATTATTTGTAGGACACTACTAGGACTACTAGGACACTATCATGATGTTTCGCTTTAGCAGGAATTATTTACACTGCGATGCTCTGGTCTGGTGGAAAAGAAAATCTCCGAGACTTGAAACCGGCTACCAACGCAATACATTTAACCATTTAGCTACGGAGGCCTTAGTGCAGGAAAATGTCGTAGCTTCATCATTCGTCAGCGTCGTAATTTTTTTCAATTTATAATCGATTTCTTAATTTTTACAACGCCATAATAAAAAATAAAGTTTTCAAACATACATCATTATTTTTAAAACAATAATATTTCCCCCATGTGCACATAATGTAAATTACAAAATCGATTTCAGATTGTAAAACATTTACGACACGGACAGAACCTGAACCGGCGAATCCACAGCGTTCACAGAGCAATTTTCTTTTTACTAAAGACAAAAAAAAAAGTGAATTAACTTGAAGCTATAAGTAAATAATCACTTTGTCCCCATATAAATAAGCCGAGTTTTCCTACCTGTCTACTAGAACGAGGCAGTCTCGCTAGCCGTTGACCCTGTAGATCGAACAGTCGAACTTGTCTATTGTCGTGGGGTATGGCGATGAGACCGCCACTGCTGACCGACACCCGATTAACAGATGAGTCCGATCGGATCGTTGCTAACGCTGAGCGCATGTTGCGAACATCCCAGACCTGTAATTTTTTTATGTTATAGAAGGACAGACAAGCGTAGAGTACACTTGATGGAAGGTGAAATACCATATCCATATCTTACAAGATGCGTTATCGATCTATTTTGGCTTTGGATATTCGGAAATCCATAGCCCAAAACCAAAACCCGATTAAATTTCATGTTTTGACCCAGACGGAATTTCCCATTCAATATCCAGATTTCAGACAAACTCCAACATGTTTCAGAAATTATAAAATGAGACATTCATTACGAATGTCTTTAATTATTTATTCTATTAATAAATAAGTTTAAAGCGTATGTAATAAAACTGCTTGGAAAGGGTTATTATGACGTAAATTAATGTTTCATCGATAAAAATGCTTTGGGATTAAGAATCTAGCTCTAATAAGATATTTAGTACGTGGAGATTGTAAAATAAAACTTAGCGACAAAATAAGTGGCGGCGAGTTACCAGTTCTTCAATTTTAAAAATAATTTGTACCTTCACTGAACGATCGTCAGAACCGGATACCACTTTATCCTCCCTCGTAAACACAGCTGATGTGACGCTCCTGAAATACATTTAAAATGGGATAAGAAACCATACCATCACAAAACAGTTTATTAAAAAATATAATAACAAAAAGTATATACCCACCTTCCTTACTTAGTCAACACATCACAAATAAATCTGGTAATTCATTTAAAAAATAACATCTTACTTATAACTGGATATGCCTACGGGATGACTAGTTAAACCATTAAAGTGTTTTATTTAAATAACAAACACTTTTTAATACTATGATAAGTAAAACAAAAACTCGACAAAGAAGGAGGAGTTAAAGGTAAAATACATACTCCGTGTGACCCTGGAACACGGAGACAGAATGTATTGGTTCCCTGAAGTCCCAGAGGCGGAAAGTCGTGTCGCGAGATGCGGTGACCACGAGACGGGAACTGTGGTGCGCTGATGCGTGGGTCAGCTCGTGATCGTGGCCTTGGAAAATATTTTTAATTTTTAATATCACAGTGTTAATTTTGTTAGGATCTATTTACTTAAATAAAACACTTTAGCGGTTTAAAATGCGATGTATATTGGTATAATTTATTTGAATACGGCCCGACGTTTGAAATTTCAAATACGTTTAACTAATATATTTCGCATTTTATAATGTTAAAAGGTTTTTTATTTAAATGTGTCCTACTCGCGTAAACTATAGACAGGACTTATTTAGATTTTCATATCGCCGTAAAAAGTCGAATTGTTAATGTATAGTACTATATCGTATTGAGCATAAAACATAAGAAATTTGATACTAATGCAAAATTTAAAGAAGATATCTTGTTCGGTCAAAACACAAGAAGCTGATAGCCGACTGAGAGCAAAGAGAACCGTAATCACTTTGATTAAGGCAAACCTTGAAATTTTTTAATGTTTAGACATTCAATTTAAGATTCAATAATTAATAGCTGAATTACTAACACATCTCATTCAGAAAATAAAATATTTTTATAAAAAAAAATACAATTAAAAATGAATATATGTACACTTATGACATACCCGTCAATATTTGCAAGCAGTCGCCCGTCTCGACATCATATAAGTTAGCGGTTCTATCCCACGAGGCAGTTATAACGTGGTCACCACCAGTTAACCAGTCCGCCGCTACAACCACCCCCGTGTGTCCCATCAACTCTGAAAGTGGAGTGCGGAGGACTTCTGGCCTGTCTGTGTCACCTAAGCTTTCTTCACCGCCTCCTTCTAATTCCTCTTCTGATGATTGACCTCTCTAAAACATAGAAAAACAGATACAAGGACATTCTGTGCGTTAGCGTAAGTTACGTTAAATAATAACCCTGTCTCGTTATATGACAAACTACCTAATTATAACATTCATCATCATTAGTTAACATAATATATACTTGGCATACACTTTATGAACTAAAGAACATTAAATTGAGTTAATTGCACAACATACAAATCATATACGCAAAATAATATCTATAAAATATGGAGTGCTATAACAGGCGGCTTTATCGCTTTTAAGCAATCTCTTCCAGGCATTATTACCTGCAGTATGAGCTATAGTTTAGGTTTAATTATTTGTTCAATAATTTTAACTATGATCACATATAAAAAAAAATGGAATTATAACCTAACATTTCAAATGCTTTGCAGTAGATGTAGGTATATATTTCGTGTTTTAATCCGTTAAAAGTATGTTAAATAATATATACCTCCTCAACTCCTTTACTTTAGTTTATTAATACTGATTTATCCTCCGCAAAGGTGGAAAGAGGAAATTGCCAGCAAATCTATCAATTGTATCTGTTAAAGTGAAGCCATAAAAACTTACCGGTAGATCCCAATTAACAGCTGCCTGCCAGACATGTGCTGTATTGTCGCCACTACTAGTTAGGGCCAGGTCTCGGTTTGGATGAAACTTAATGGAATTAACTGAACCAGAGTGACCAGTGTATTGCAGTAAACATTTTCCCCATTCCACACTCCACACACAGGCTGTGTGATCTGAAAGAAAAAGCCAATAACTAATCTGTAATAGTGAAGTAAACATTCTAGTATGTGTTCTTGATTTTTTTAAATCTAAATAGATTTTTATTTCACATTTTTGTATTTCTTTACTGCAGTAAGGATAATTTTAAATCCAGCAATTAGACTTATGTGTCCAGCCAGACCACATGGTTCATTATTTCACCAAGATTTGAAGTCAGGATATGTCATGATTAACAAACTGTCTAAACAACTGTACAAGATACTACAAAATATTTGTTATCATATCGTAAAAATCGTAACAATGACCTAATACAGGTTGAAGTTCTATTTCTCCAAAGGGGTGTATTCATTTGAATTATGGTACCTTCAGGTAGGCACAAGTGAAAAACATGTCACATTACTTTATTATTTTCACAAAATAAAAAAAACAAACTTAAAATCATTACCTGCTGCAGCAGTTCCGATAAGAGCTTGACCTGGTCTTGCAGAAGACACATCCCATATACCATCCTTATGACCAGTAAACTCTCGTACAAGTTGGCAACTGTATGTTGGTGCCTTAAAACTAGACACAATCTTACTAGTCTGTACTCTAAGTTTATGACTAGCTTTCACCTTTTGAGGATTATTTTGTGATACTGAAATATCATAGCAATTATTATCCAAAATAGGACAGGATGTAAATGATTTTAATCCCATTGTTAATACAATATCAAAATTTTGGTTGAAATGTTATAAGAATCTGAGTTATTACATATCTTATCTTAGTGTTATCATAAGGAAAGTAGATTGTATTCCTAAACCACTTGGTTAAAGAATTATTATTTTTAGATTTAAATTTAAAGCAAAACACATAATATAATGCAGAATATCATGAAATATATTTTTAAATACCATAATATTTTAAATTTGTTCATGTTGTAGGTTATTATTTCTATATTTTATACATACAAACTTAACTTACTTTTAACTTTTGAATTTTTCCCTGAAGTTTCAAACTCAATATAATCTGTGTTCTGCTTATCACCAACACAACTCTCTCTTTCAAGCTTTTCACTTAAAATATCTATTTTCTCTTGAACTGCAATATATATAAATACATATATTAGAAGGTTTCGCATAAATATATAAAGGGGGCTTAATATCGTGTTATTGAACACGAATTTAATCACGAAACAATAAGGAAATGTTGACAAAACTTACGATTTAAATTTTCTGAGTAGAGAAGGTCAAATTCTTTTTCTATTTGAGAAAAAAGTTCGTGTAACCGAGATCTAAACACTGGTGGAATTGATGTTTCGGAATCTTCCATTTTCAAGTAGTTTGATAAGCCTTCGGAGCCCTCTGCGAGTGCCTGGAGCCTTCGTTTACTCGATTTCATGTTTGGTAATAATTAGACACAACTTGCTTCACACAGGAAGATTCAATCAACTATCACATTACATTACACAGGGATATCCATGTCCTTAGTCTTCGTTTTTATAATAAATTTAACAAAAAAAGTATATATTTCCTTATTCTAAACAGAAAAGTTGTTTATATGATATCTCTGAACCTCTGAATTGATTCAGATAAAATAATAACAAAATGTTCAAAATACACTATGTGCAAATTCGCAAATCCAATGAAAATTGACTGCAATAGGCACCATAGACTATCACAGCGCTGTGTTTAATCATTGCTCGAAAATTATATATTCTAATCTATACCCGTGTATTAGCCTGTGTTAAAAATATGGCCGCTACGTAGTTGTCGAAAATTACCATTGTGTTAACGTAATTTTAATTTGATAGTTTAGGTAAAACATGTCTTTTTCCGATTTATACGCTAAATATAATTGTTCATACTGCCAAGAAGAAATAAACGGTGTTCGCGTAAAATGTGCAGAGTGTACAGATTTTGAAATTTGTTTGCAGGTATAAAACCATTGCAATTTACAATACGTTTCAAAAGTTTTGGCGCTAAATTTAAATTGTATAAATTAATGAAATTTTTTTTTGTAGTGTTTTACTCTTGGTGCTGAAAGTGGACAACATAAAAACGATCATGAGTATCAATTTTTGGTAAGTATTCATAAAATAATTATTATTCTACATACTATATGTTAACAATTAGCATTTGTTAAATTATTTTTGTGTTTTAGGATGCTGGAGCTTTTGGAATATTTTTAGGTCGTAATAGTTGGTCAGCTAGTGAAGAAGTTCGGTTATTAGATGCTATAGAACAGTTTGGCTTTGGTAATTGGGAAGTTATTTCAAAACATATTGAAACTCGGACACCAGAAGGTAAATTTTCTGTAATTAATTAAAAAATCTTCTCTCTTAACAATAATAAGAAGAAGAGCATGAGGCAGACAAGAAACTTCACTGAAAAAGTTTTCCGTATTCTGTTTTAGAAACAAAAGATGAATACATAGCCAGATATTTAGAGGGAAGTATAGGCCGGGCAACATGGGGTAGCATTGAAAGTGCAAGCCGTCCTGCATTACACTGCCCTGATAATGACCATGGTCCTCTCAGCCCCACTGCTGTGTCTCGTCTTCCACCAGTCAGCGTCAGTTCTGATGAAGCAGCACAGCTGGGTTACATGGCTAATAGAGATGACTATGAAAGGGTTTGTTTTGAATCATGAAATTGTTTTTTTTTTAATATTTGTAGTGAAGAATTATTGATTGACTTTGTCAATATAAACTATGGAACTATAGAAAAAAAGTGATGTAAAACCCTCTCTGCTGTTTAGGGCATAGGACACATTTCTGTTTGTTTTAGTAATTATTTCAACCATTAGGCCAGTCTTTTTTTAGGCAATCTTTACCAAAATAAAATTTTAATAGTGTTTGAATATTAGTATTTTATAAACATGAGAGATTCATATTTTTTATACGAAATGACATCAAAGATAATCATCATACTGTATATAATCCTCTCTTAGGGTTATTTATAATCCAGATTATTTTTTCATATCAGCATGTAGACGATTGGCCTCATTCATCAAAGATCACTACAGCACCATATTGAAATTTTATATAAACAAAGCTATTTTCCTGTTTATTGAAACTGTTGAGTTGTTTGTGGTTTTGTGTTGGTAATGAATTACCTTCAATGTTAACGATTTACGTATTTTACAGGAACATGATCATGAAGCCGAACAGTTGATATCCACATTATCTTTAAACCCAGAAGATGATGAATTGGATGTTGGTAAGTTCCAACTTAAGTAAATGCATAACAACCAGACATTGGACTTTTACTAGAATTGCTTGTACTTGGCTTTTGCTATTGAGACTAGGTTATCATAAATTATCAATGGATGGTTCTTACTGTAAGTGTATTAATAATTATGCGACTAATGATCTCATTAGATTCTGTGTACTCAAAGGTATTAATTATTTAAAATTAACATTTTCAGCACTTAAGTTATCACAAGTAGACATTTACACAAGAAGACTCCGTGAGAGAACAAGAAGAAAACGGCTAGTGAGAGACTTTCAGCTAGTCTCTGTGTTCTTCAATAACCAAAGGAATAAGCAAAAAACTTTAGGAAAACTTGCCAAAGAGAAAAAGTAAGCTAATAATTTTATACACATTTTGATATTGATGCAACTTCTTGGGCTTAACCTGTTTTATATTTATTTCCTTTTGGTACCACAAATATTGTTTCAACATTCAAAAGAATTTTGCATATCACATACTGAAAAACTATTTAAATGTTGCCATGTTATATAAAAAATAAACCTGGTTTTATATTCCATTGCTCAGATTTTACATCGTATCGGCATGTTTAGAAATATTTATTTTTTAGATTAGAGAATTAATCATATACATTTTTGAAAACATTAATATTTTTCACATGTTATTGCACATGAATCTTAGTACGCAAGTGTTAAGGTTGAAATTACACTGCGCGAGAGGTGCATGTATCAATAAGTTGAAAAAAAAAATTCGACGATGAGGTGTAGGACTCGGTAGCTCAATTGGTAGAGCAACAGCACGGAAAGCTGACGATGCCGGTTCAAGTCCTGCCCGAGTCGAAAATTTTTTCAATTTATTTTCGATTTTTAAATCATATACATTTTTATTTGCAGGGAATTCATGGATCGCCTCCGGTGGACATCACAGTTCTACGGGCGTTCAGAGCAAGCCGCCGTAGTGGGCGGTCTATGGCGGGAGCGAGAGCTGCGCGTGCGGCTCGCCGAGTTGCACCGGTATCGCCTCGCGGGGGTCACGCGGCTCGAGGAGTGCGCCCACTACGAGCAACACGCGCACCACAGGCGACACGCGGGCGCCCATGCGCACACGCATGACCGCGACGTGAGAGTCACACTGGTACCGGTCATGCTTCGCCATGCTGTACAACGATATCATCTATCACTAACTATGTCAGCGACTTCGTCCGCGTAGAATAGTAGTTTTTGAAAACTTCCTCATCATTATAAATTTTAACCGACCCGTCGATCTTGCGAGTTCATCTAATTTAAAGAAGAAACATTCTTTCATACATATTTGTGTATCTTGAACTTTTTTTGCAGCGTACGCAACCCACAAATATGAATAATTTTCCCCGTTTTTTTTTACATTTCCTGCTGTATCTTCGCTCCTATGGCCCCGCCTTATACCGCGATGATTTTATCCTATAGCCTTCCTCGATAAATTCTCTAACCAACACAAAATATTTTTTTCAATTCGACCCAGTAGTTCCTGAGATTATTGTGTTCAAACAAACTCTTCAGCTTTATATATTAGTATAGATTTAGTTAATATGCATAATTGCCTGCCGTGACTTGATCTCAAATATTGGTTCAATATAATATACATTAAAAAATAAGAATATATAAAACGTGGAAAACTTTTGTTGATAGATATTGTCGTTGTACCCTTTATTATTCATTTGCATTTCCGTGTCATGTTTAGCCTGAATCGAGTTTATTCATGCATGGCTTATTTTAATAAGTTCATGATTTGACGCGGCTTTCGCTTTCGCGATTTTATCGTTGATAGCGCTTCGTGTTGCACACGAAACACCTCAATAACACTCATTACATAATATCATTTCTATGCAGTTTTGTCTAATCGTGTGAGAAGTGTTTGTACGTGTTATAAAATCAAACGGCTCATTAGATTCCATTTATATGATATATTTGTTTATTAGTATTATTTATATATTATTAAGTATTACTTATTTACTTTATTTTGTACTTCTTACCTTGCAGCACTTGTAGGCAGGCACTGTTAATTTTAAAAAAGTGCTTTATTTATATCTGTGACTTATTTTACATATAATTTGAATGATTCTTAGAGTATATGTATTTCTATTAGTATTTGTATCTTCGTTAAGTTTTTTCTGAAGTGTTGTAATAATTTAGGCGGTAATAAGTTATAGCATGCATCTTTATTAATTTTATGGAATGGAGTGTGCACTAACACGAGTGACTCGTCGTTCGTGTCGTGTGGTTTGGGTTTGATTTCGTATAACAATTGTTTTCGCCAGGGCAGCAGTGGGTGTCTGGACACGCCGACAAAAGAATCAGCGCCGATCGGGCAGCAGCTAAGAAAAAAGTAAGTTTGGCTTTGAAAACTAAACTTCATAACATAGTACTAACTCCCACATTGTCTTATCTATTATCTGTATTCATTGTTTGACTGTTTTTACTCTTCGTTTTTTATTAAATACTTATTTAACTTATCACTTAATAAAGAATATTTTAAAATTTAAATTTGTTAGTCTTTTGTTCTAATTTATAATAATCCAATTGCAGAGACGGAGAAAGCGTCTCAAGTTCCACCAGCCCAAAGTGCACACGGGACGCAAGTACCGGATGTGGATGCTCCAAAAAGAATTGCTGCAACGCCGCTGTGCTGCCGAAGCAGCTGCTCAACACTAATGAAATACAGGTTAGGATAGAATCATATGAATTAAGCATTGGCAGTCACATTTGTCTCACAGTAAACGGTTTCATTTAATTTCAAAATGTCCGCCATGCATCAATTATTATTGTTTTAGAATAAGTCATTCTTCTTTATTGGTAGAAATGTGTGTGTGTACATTTTAAAATTATAATGTCATTAAGATAGATGCAGAATATTCACTGTACAAATAAGAGGCCTTCTGTGAATTTATTTATAAATATCTTTAATATAGTGCTATACCGACACTCAGGATTGGCCTTCTAACAAACTTATGATATTGTACGCATTCGCTTATCTGTTTAACTATTTCCAGATATGTAATTCCCTAAATCTACCACCGACGCAGTACATAACGATGAAGGGGATGCTCCTGCGCCGGCCGGCCACGCCAAATTGCGAGCTAGACCACGCCCTCAAACACTATTTGAACGCGGCGGGATGGATACGCAACTAAACTATTAAGTGAAGGTGTCTTTGTTTACGGATATACAAGTTTAGTGAAAAACGTGGCGAATTAATGGTGAAAAACAAGGATAAGTTTAAGTTATGAGATTTTAAAGTCGGTAGTTCAACATTTTAGTAAATTGAAAATGCAGTTTATATAATTGGATTAAAAATTAGCGGATGATTTTAGACAGGACTACCATTGGTTTGTGTCCCACCTGTGTCCAAGAATTCTTAAAAAATAAATTCTTTTTCCAAAGCAGCCCTTTTAAGTATTCAATTTTATTGTGTAATTATAAAATTTCATCTATTCATAACAATTTTATCAATTATGGGCTGTTTAGAATACCTCATAGTGTATAATAATAAAAATGTTATTTAATATTTAAGCTCTGCATATGGATTTAAGAAACGAATATCTCGCCACAATATTAAATCAAATAAAATATAGAAAAAGTTTAATAGAAAAGACACAAAATGTCTACGCGGTAGTTAATCTTACGTTTTAAGTTAGAATGATCTTAAGAATCATTGATCTCTTGATATTTATTGTTACGCGCTATAAATATGCGTTTTTAGTAAATCCATTTTTAAATATATCAGTCTTTGGTGGTAAATATTGTGTATGGTATATTATATCCATTAGGTGTTTTGCATCTGAATTTTTTGTCCTTGCTATAAAAAGGGCGTTAGGGGTGACTAAGACAGAGAATAAGCTTATTTCCCTTTGAAAAGAGAGAAGTTGATTTCCTGGTATACTGTTCATATCAGATGGTAGGAGATAAGAGATAATTATTTTGTTTAGGCATGAAACTACATAAAAGTTAAGAATTATATAACGGTAAGAAGGTGTCAATGAAAAACTAATTGTATGGTAAAATTAGATTTCGACTAGATTACTTTTTGAATATCTATTCATTGTTAATACGGCCCAAGGACTTTAAAGTGACTATATTCATAAAACTTGCGCGTGTGCACAGTGTTTTGTGATCTCAGATTCAGTTTTATAGTATGAAAGACTAGAATAACATTTTCAAACATTTGTTAGCGATAGTATGGTTCATGTATTTTATGTAGCTTAAAAAATGCTAAAAATACTGTATCTACTGCACAATATGTAAGAAGGGGTAGTATTACTACATTTTAAAGTTCAGAGATTACACTGAAATGAAATTGTAAGCTTATGATGAAAGTAAATGACAAAAAATCTATGTAAATTGTAATAAATATACAATTGTCTTACTTCACCAATGTTCATGTAATCCTTTATATCATTATTAGTAAGGCAGTTACACACTTATTTGAAATAAAATCCAATAAATTGCTCACTTTGTAGCTCCTACAGCTTAAAAATAACCTTACGAATTCAATTCTGTGTAATTCCTTTTCTAAGCATTTAGTTGATTGTACTACTAAATATGTAAATATATTTTAATAATAATTCAATGTATACCACAATATGTATGTTAAAGATGCACAACTTACACAATCAAGGGTATGTAACAACGAAATCTTTGTCCCGATGGTGATAATAGTAACAGAAATCCTTGTTTCTCCCATCGGGATGAGTAAATGTAAAAAATACAATGTTTGCCTTATAGACTTTAATGTACATACGTTTTGAGTACAAGTGTAATGACTTACGAGTATTATTTTAACCATATACCTGTTATATGCAGTAATTTGTGATTTGGGGGTAATAAAACAACCTAATGTGATTGGACATTTTATTTCGCCTATATTACCATTTGGCGTTCGGATTTGGTTTTGGCATTTCTTCAAGATTGGCGGCTGTTGGTTTTGAACGAAACCACGAATGCTTTAAGGCCTGAAATAAATGAAAAAAACAAAGCTTTTAGCCTAATAACAAGAATTTACAGCTGATAATTAACGGCTTTGATTCTAACCAATTGCAACAAGTTTCTAAAAATCTATTTCAAAACATTTGTTAAACGTAGAAAATGTGGATATCAAATGGGTGGTAAGAATTTCATCACGAACCGCCAACCACAGACGAAAAAGATGCATCGTGCAATGGCGCTTTGGTTTCAGTCTGTAGATTTCATAATATTTTAAGCTAAAATAAGTCAAAATGATACGGCTAAGGTGTTTCAACTTTATATGAACATTTTATGACAAATGATTATATTGAATGCTTAACACCGAAACAATCATTATTTATTGAAAACTACTACCTAAATCATTAAATATAAAGCATTGTTACCTCCTTTGCAGATATACGCTTCTTCTCATCATAAAGTATGAATGATTTTATAAAATGGAGAGCCTCTGGGTCAACGTCAGGTAAAATGTCTGTCCATGACATGGGAGGACATTCCGGAAACGTGATCTTGTGGTAATCTGGGAGATCCGAACGACCAGGCCACGTCTCTTCAGTTGGCGTGCCAAGGTGTTGCACGACGATCGCTAATTGTTCTATGTCTGATTCACCCTAAAAATTTTGAATACTACTTCGTCAAACGTTTTAGCAATTTTTTACTTTGACGTCAGAGACATCCGCCATCTTTAGTCTCCCCTGGACCACGGCTGCTACAAAGCATCCGAAACGTCGGGCCGAAGTTAAAAAATCGTTTTCAAATAAGTTTAACTAATATATCGCGTTTTAAACCATTAAAGTGTTTTATTTAAATATTATAATATTTAAAGGTCTACATAGTCAAGTTGGATTTTTTTAACTATTTATTTTTCTCATCTTTATAACAGCTGTTACCCACGACGTCGTCCACGTCCCATTATTGCAACGTAATCTTAAAAGATAGACATATAATGTCCCCAACATCATTTAAAAAAAAGAAGAATTATTATTCTTTAATACATATTTTTTAGGTATCTTGAAACTCTCAAAGATGAATAATTTTCCCCGTTTGTTCCACATATCCCACTGTTTCTTTAGTCATAACTACTGGTTGTAGCGTGCTATTTTACAGCCTAAAGCCTTCCTCGATAAATGCTCTAACACAAAAAGTATTTTTCACAACTAGTAGTTTCTGAGATTAGCGCGTTCAAACGAACAAACTGTTCAGCTTTCTAATATAATGAATAATTGTTAAATTCAATAACTAGGACCGTTGGTCGCTGTACATCAACGAAAAAAAATGAAATATCTAAGAATCGTTATATTGAATGTGATAACTAACAGCAAACAGCGGCTTCTTGGTTATCATTTCAGCGATTATGCATCCAACGGCCCAAACATCCACATTTTCGCTGTAATACCGGGCTCCATACAAGAGCTCTGGTGCTCGGTACCACCTAAAAATTAACACCATAGTTAGCATCTTCAGGTTTTGTATCAAATGAATAATTTCTTCAATACCTCGTAGCTACTTGATGGGAATAAGGACGTCCGCCATCTGGCCAAAACAGACGAGCCAGACCCAAGTCAGCAATTTTAAGCACACCTTCATGATTTATTAGCAAGTTCGCTGGTTTAAGATCCTAAAATTATAAATTAATAATAACTACGTTAAATAGGAATTATACAGCGTGAATTTATTTTCAAAGCACCTTAGACCGTACAAAATTGTTTTATCAAGTGCGCGAAAAATCTAGGCCAAGAACTATTCGACTTCTACGATTACCCAAAACCCAGGACTAGGAGAAAAAATACTTTAAGATTTATGTAATGGCTGCTATTGTTACATAAATCTCACAGATGTTTAGACAATGACTTAACCTCATGCCCAACTTACATACTTATTTTTCATAATCCATTGTGTAATTAACTGTATATCAGTAACATGCAAAACCTAGCCCTAGGTCATTTCATTTCGTTATATTTGTATTAGTTGGTTTGTAGTTTAAACGTATAATTAATTGTATTTATCTGTGAATTTTTATATGAAATGTATATTCTTCGTTGTTATTACTTAGCTATACTATTTGTATAATATATCTGTTTATTTCCTATTTAATACTATATATAGTACTACACATTAAAATAAAACACTTTAACGGTTTATAACGCGATATATTATTATTTTCTTTCGGGGACACCTGTGGTAGGACGGGTGATCAGTCCACACTATCAGCTGACCATTTCACCCATTTCCCCATTTCCACCTTGTGGAGGTTTTGGGTCATCCAACTCTCCCCGTGTCCCCTTCAAACCTTCCGGTTTGCTTGCAGAATCTTATAATTTTTTCCATCTGTAATTCTTTGATCTCATCTTCTGTAACTTCGTCCGAACCCATATGTGTTTGTCTCAGCCTCGAGTATGCAGAGCATTCACATTGTGTCAAGTTTAACTAACATATCGCGTTTTAAGCCGTTAAAGTGTTTTATTTAAATATTACCTATTTGCTAAATTAATAAAATGAAATCAAAACCAATCTTATTTCTTACCCGATGCATGACATAATGTGCGTGCATATAACGCGTCCCTTTCAAAAGCATTTGAGCGTAGGCCTTTACTCTTGGCAAGGTCAGCTCTTGTTGTTTATGGTGCAGCATATCCCATAGACCTGAGCACATGTACTCTAGTACTAGAACTAAGCTCATACCACTTGGGAACATGTCGTATAGCTTTATTACCTATAAAATATGTTTGTCTTCTAAGATAACTTTTGGCTTTTAATATATCAGTAATACTAACCCTATATAGATTTAAATACTGTCTGGAGTTAACGCGAGCACTACTCATTTAAATAAAACCTTTTGACGGTTTGAAACGCGATATATATTTGTTGAACTTATTTCTAATTTATTTTAACTACGGCCCGACGTTTCCTCGTGACCACAGCTGCACAGCATCCGAAACGTCGGACCGTAGTTACAATAACTTCAAAATAAGTTTAACTAATATATATCGGGGTTTCAACTATATAGACTTACATATTTACATCTGAGTAATTGCAAAGCCTTAATTTCCCTCATAACATTCACTGGTATACCATCTTCTAGATTTTTGATGAGAATTTTCTTCAGAGCCACTTCCCTGCCGGTTGGTAGATGACGAGCATTGAACACAAGCCCATGAGCGCCTTCGCCAATTCGGCCAACAATTGAATAACTCGTTATATCTCTATTCATTTTGATGCTGTTTAAAATGTTTAAATATTCTCTAATTCAATGTCATTTGTTGTTGTATTGTTGATCAGTTGCTATAGCAACCAACGATTATTGTTTCTTTTTTAAAGTTTGCCGCCCAGTAGCAAGACGTTTAATCCAAGTTATATTACTGCAATAAAATTATTATTTTAATTAAAAAATAATTTTAATTTAGGAAATGCGACGACACGAACGGTTCTTGAACGAAGCGGTCTCGTCAGACGCGGCTGTTCAATTGGTTAGAGCAGCAGCACGGATCGTTGTGGATGCTGGTTCAAGTTCCGCTAATGATACACATTTGTTTTAAATCTAAATAGATTTTTAATTTATATACTGCCAACAATTTGCAAAAACTTGTAAATAATCAAGTTTTCGAATATTACCATATTCTCACCGTTGTGGAATCCTCTGTCCAAATTGAGAGTTATAGAACTTGAGTTTATTTTTCACATTAGTTCAATATTTTAATCATGATAGGGATTTTCTGAGCACCCAATGGAAAAGTGTAATTTTCCGATCAATTAAATAGTTACGACATTTACGAATCAAGTACCTAGTAGTATCCAATAATTACCATATTGTAACAAATATCTCCTTTATTACACTTGTAAATTATGCAATATCCCACAATTAACATTATTTTTTCTGTATTTAGTAAGCAAGTACGATAAATGTTATCGTGCACAAAGACACCAATTATATAAATGACCTTGCAATAACACTTGTGTTAATTTATATTGTTTGATTAAGTGAACTGAAAAGGGAGCTAAAATTATAAAACATTTACTTCCAATTATGTTCTAGAAGGGAATACTCTTATATAACTAAAATGTGTCTTCGAAAAATAAGTGTAATCTTTCTTGTTTATATAAGCCACTGCGTGGACAGTGCATCAATTCTTGCTCTTTTTTCCTCATTGTCATTCTCCGACCACCTCGTCTTCAGGGGATATGTATCTTTACTCGTTCGTCAAGGCCATTCGGTGGTCCTTATGACACCATACCCAGGACACTTCCCGCCGCAAGAAATGGAGAGGATCGTCGAACTAAACGTCGGTATGGAGTCTGCGCCGTATTGGGATGAGTACAAACGATTAATGACTGACACAGATGACTATTATTATCGTTTGAAGGATATAAATGAATTTGGACTAAAGCTAGCTATAGCGCAATTGAAGTCGAAGGCTATGTCATCGTTATTGATAAACCCTAATGTGAAATTCGATTTGGTTATCACAGAAGCAGATGTCCCCCTTCTGTATGCTGTTGCAGAAAAATATCAAGCTCCACACGTATCTATTACTCCAACTATCGGCAAAGTTCACCAATACGAGAGCAAAGGGACGCCCATCCATCCGATTCTTTACCCAGACGCGAACGTATTGAACTACAGGAACCTGACAAGATGGCAGAAAATTTTGGAATTCTATCGCCATTATCAAACCAAAACGGAGTATTACGACCATTATTTGCCTTTATGCGAAACAGCTGCGAAAAAAATGTTTGCTCTAAAACGACCTCTCATTGAAGTCGAGTACGATATAGATATTTTGTTGGTCGCCTATAATCCTGCCTTGATTGGTAACCGACCGACACCGCCGGCCATCTCGTTCGTCGATCGACTTCATATAAAACCAGGTTTTCCATTGCAACAGGTAAATCTTTATATATGGCATTCGATGTACTAATTTTTAAACAACCATCGTAAATACTGTCTATAGTTTACGCGAGTAGTACACATTTAAATAAAACACTTTAACGGTTTAAAACGCGATATATTAGTTAAACTTATTTGAAAATGATTTTTAACTTCGACGTTTCGGATGCTTTGCAGCAGCCGTGGCTGCTGCAAAGCAAATATATCGCGTTTTAAACCGTTAAAGTGTTTTATTTAAACCTAAGTAACTCATTTTAATCTATCTACCGATTAGTCATGAAGTCAAATACACTGTAGCCCTTTTCGAGATGAGAGTCAAAAACTTGCTGTAACTGTTATCGAACCCGCGACCTGTTATCTATTATCCATATATTGATACCATTACCACCAAAGAGCCCGTATATAAATTGATTAATAAAAACTTATTTATTTTGTATATTTTAGGGCTTAAAGGATGTTCTAGATTCAGCAGCCAAAGGTGTAATTTACTTCAGCTTCGGTGCACTTCAAGAGGCTGAACATCTTTCAGCGAATATATTGCAAACGATTACAGATGCTTTTAGAGAACTACCATTTTTGGTACTTTGGAAAATAGGAAACACCACAATGATAAACAAGCCAGAAAATGTATTAACGGACGTGTGGTTCCCACAGCAGGAAATTCTTGGTACTTGGCCTTTGACCTCCAAAAGTATTATCTAGCTAGCTTTTCTTTGCGGCTTCATTCGCGGCAACTTAAAATAGTTAGTATATTACGCAAGAAAGAAGAAAAAAAGAGGCTATTTCCCATCTGAATTAATTTATGTGTTACTAACACGATGACAAACTCTTTATCAAAACTATTTTTAATACACATTTTTTACTCAAAAATTATTTTCAGTACATTTACCTGAGCCATTTTAATGTATTTAATTATTATATAATTTAAATGTATTTCGTTTAATTGGTCTTATGGTTTTATTCGCATTATTTCTAAAATTGGTAAATTATTTTCAGCTCATCCAAACGTAAAAGCATTCATAACGCATGGCGGAGCCCGATCGCTGGAGGAAGCGTTGTTTTACGAAGTACCAATAATAGGTTTGCCTATACTGCGTTCCAGCAAAGTACTAATAAGTGAATTAACTCGACATGGCGCAGGAGAAGTATTAGAAATTTCTTCAATAGAAAAGGAAACTTTAAAAAAAGTTATAAATGATGTCGCTACCAACGTACAGTAAGTGATTCCTTGTAAAACTATTGATCGCAAGTGTACGTCCCCAATTAACGAATTACTTTTGAACCATATTTTCATATAATAAAAAAGATAACAGAAAAAAACATTCACTTAATCAGTTATTAATTATATTATTTTTTAAACAGTTATATTGTTGCATGACAGCGGAAATACCTAATTAAAGACTTATTAAAATTAATTACATATACGTTAATAGTTTTTCAATTAAGTTATATTAACAATTTTGTGACCATTACAGATATAAAAACGCAATTGTGAACTTAAAGAGCAAGGTGGTGACTCCCATGATATCGGGCCCAGAAAATGCGTTGTGGTGGACAGAATACGTTCTTCGTAATGGAGGAGCGAAGTATCTACGTTCCCCAGCTGTAGGGGTCACGTTCATTAAATATTACATGTTAGACATAGCCTCAATAATTCTGTTTGTATCAATATCTCTATTGCTGGCTACATTCTTTATATTAAGAATAATTTTCAGACGCCTTCGTCAACGATTCCTTGCCAAATTCGACAAAAAGCATAAAGCATTGTAATTTTTTGTTAAATATAGTTATAAAAAAAATTCATTCCTATTGTTATATTCTAAACTCATCACAATGTTAAGAATTTAATAAATGTAATACAAAGTGATAATGGTAACATTTACTTAACAGCCTTTTCAAAATGTACCTATTATATAACCTACCTATATACTTCAAAATATGTAGTCTTCCGTATGTGCGTCATATGAAAATTGATATAATATATACATATTACGTATGTAATACTTAACTGCGTACATATAAGTTAACATTTTAATATTATAGTGAAGTTATAATCAACAATTTCATATATTATGTAGGAACTTGATATAGTTTTTTGTTCTGGCAAATGTCTTCTAAATCATAATTCATCTTGAATTTTAAAGCAATACAATCTGTAATTATAACGAATATAATCTGTAGCATAGTTAGTAATGTCATGTTATTCTGACAGATCAGACTGGCTGATAAAAATAAAAACACCGTCTACTTTTATATTAATTGCGTTTGAAAAGTCTTATAAATTATTTCATATAATATGCCTAATTTTTAGGACATTGCCAAATGTGGCTAGGTTAAAAGAGTGGATATTTTAAATTATAAATAAGTCGTATACTGAATAAATATTCAACATGTTGGTTAACATTACAATGCGAAGAAAATTCATTGCACAATTTCATAACAATATAAGAACTATATCGGCTCGAAAGTTAAGCACGAATAACGATGAACAATTTAAGGGTAAATACGACGTAATTATTGCTGGTGGGGGCATGGTAGGTTGTGCTCTGGCTTGTGCTATGGGTAAGTATATACATCATTTAACATACAAATAAAATATTGTATGTGCTTTCTTTACAAATTCACACTGTTTTTAAGTATCGTCGCTTAAAAAGTTAGTGATAGTTAATAATGAATTCCACAAATTTGTAATTTCCACGAAATTATAGCAGAACATAATTTTTTTTCATGTTAAATCTCCAAGTAAAGAATATTTCTTTTCCAGGTAAATATCCCCTTCTATCAAAACTCAAAGTTCTGTTATTAGAAGGCAGCCCTAACAAGAAGTTTGAGCTAAAACCTGAATATAGTAATAGAGTTGTAGCATTAAATCCAAGTACTAAGTCATTAATGAACTCACTCAATGTATGGCAGCATGTGGAAGAAATGCGACTTCAACCAGTCCGGCATATGCAAGTAAGGTTTATGAAATACCTCCATAATTAAATATGGATAAGTCCTTAGTTTGAATGTTTAATTATAATAAACAGAATTTGTCACGCAGAATACAAATTGTGTAATAAAAAATGTTTCAGGTATGGGATGCTTGCTCAGATGCAATGATTACATTCAGTAGCACAGACATACTTGACGATGATGTTGCATATATAGTTGAAAATGATGTCCTCCTACATGCAATAAATACAGAGTTAAGTAAATCTGCAACTAATGTAGAAACAGTGTATCAAGCCAAAATAGCAGGATATGATCTATCCAAATCTGAAACAGATGTTAATACAGTGAAAATGAGCAATGGTGATACATATTCATGTGATTTATTGGTGAGTAAATAGATTTTTATGGTTTTTATAGTTTACGCATTAAAATAAGTTAGTAGGCAAGATAGAAAATAAATTGGCACTGTACATTTGATGTTGCTGTCATTTTGGTGGAGGTCATGTGAAATATATAAGACATCCCTGATTTCATTAGTACTTTATTTTTTGTACTAGCCTTTCCAAGGGTGACAGTGGATAAAATTCTTCTATAGTGTAAAAATTCTTTAATATATAATCTTATATCATAAAGCGTAACATAGTTGCCCTGTACATTACTTATACATTATAATAATAAATATATATGCTAGCCTTTGTTGTCCTTCGGCTTTGCCAGTTTAAAAAACTAAGGGGGTTGTTTATCTCTTAATTTGTTTTCAATTGAGCTCAATCTGGTATCGGTGGTCTCAACAAGTTTGTTTATTTTCTTTGTTAAATCAGACAACTGATTCTTCATATCAACTACGCACATCTCTTGTATAGCATTCAAGGTAAATGACATAGGCCTATTTCTATTCGATTCAGACGTATTGCGCTTGCGCCGCTCCACGTTTTGACTCTCAAATGAGAAACGATCATAGAGATAACTTTTGCGTTTCACTATCTGACGTTCAATGTCATCTTCATCGCCTTTTCTTATACGAAATTCGTAATTGTTGTTCTTGCGGATGCTTTTCTTTGTGTCTTTGCGACTGGCGACCATTTTGTAAACTGAAGCGATTAATTCTCGAGGTATCTAAAAAAACAACATTTTATTACATATGGTGTGGCATTGTTTATAATAGTAAACAAATATAAATTATACATACTCTACTTTCCCTTGGATCGTTCGGTCGTATGTTAAGTGTCCGCATGTGTGAGGCGGTCAATAAAGCTCCCCAACGCAAAACTGCCATTAACTGTCTTGGTGCACAGGTCAATAAGGAGCTGAATAACATACTCTCGAGGTGCGCCACTAATTGAGTTTGACGAACTAGCCTATCCAGACCGGCGCTTTCTTGTAGGGCCTGAAAATTTATTTTACGTTTAATTCTTATAAATAAGTCTAATTGACATTCAAAGATAGCACCAACCTGAATGTCACTAACAGCCAATCCCACTAATAAATTAGTGAGTATAACTGTCACAAGCACCACGAATATTAAAAACATAGCATGCGCTGTGATGGGATATTGCAGCTGTGATCCAGAACATTCACTATAGAATATGTCCTCATACTCCAATTCACCAGACATCATCATGACGGTTTTTACTAGCGCTGCGGGTAAGTGAAACGGAGGGTAGTTGCTAAATAGCACGCTGAACGCCAAACCAAATGCTATTAAGAGACAGCTGTAGGCCATCAAAAATGTTGCAAAGTTCACTGTCACTGCAAACATTGTAACATTAACAAAGTTTATTGCCTTGTGTTACAAAGGTAGATCTAAAAAATTTGTAATATAAGTTTTACCCGTTGTAAACATTTGAACGTATAGACCAAATGTTGGAAATCGTCCAACAATCATCATTAGTTCTAACCAACAACAAAAGATAGTGATAGCTGCTACGTCGTGTTGCCAAGTGGAAGTGTTCCTTCTGGCTTCACCATTGTCAATATACCACGTTGGGACCTGTAATTATATAACATTAGATTCCCCATAACATATTTTAAGTAAATAAAAAAGAGACTTGAACGTACAGTGCACAAAAACACGCCGATAATTATAAATATTTGCAACCAATTTTCCCACTGTCGGATATACGCTGACCAATCAAGACAGGACTGGAAAATTTCTTTGACCATGAAGCAAATATTAAGTAAGAGAATCACGTACTGGATAGGCCGGAGGTAATTTGGTATCGTACATGTAACATCTTCGCATAGAAACATTTCTGAAAAAGAAGGAAATATTACTTTGTAATTATCAAATATATCAAAATTGACACAGTGATAAGATACTTACGTAAAATATATAGGCTGTAAAGCGTTATAAATAATGCATGATACACGAAGCTTAGAACGAAAAACTTTCTTATCCTTCTCCACTTTAAGAAAAGGAAAGTTTCAGCGACCGGGTGCTTCAGGACATCTTTTCTTCCCACCTGCGAACGGTAAATTTTATTCAGTCTGCAAAACAAGAACTATACATATTAATCAAAGTAAACATTTTGGTACCTCTATAAAAGCCAATAATAATTCGGCCTCCCCTCTAGACAGACATGGCACTAACGGACGAAAATCAATCGTTAATTCACAATCAACATCCCCCAACTCATGTTCGCTGATGTGAACAGCATCATCTAGTTTGCACAAATATCTAGGAATAACGTCTGGTACACGACGAACTATAAACGATAGTGCTGATACTCCACCGTTCGTTCTTAAGGTCACGTCGCCACCGTAATCTGAAATTGACGATTAAGTAGAAAAGTTTAATTTAACCATAAGATCTAAAAACGACGACCTTAATTATCAGAGCATTACAATTACTCGATTTACCTAACAATAAGAGGACACAAGCAGAGAATTCGTTCAGTGCTGCGATATGTAGTGGCGTGTATCCAAAATTGTCCGGGGCGTTTGGATCAGCTCCGACCGAGAGTAGAAGTCTAGCTACGTCACAAGCACGCGCACCACGCACTATAGCTCCGTGTAGTGGTGTCCTTCCGTCGATGTCTTGTGCCTTGACGTCAGCTCTGCGATCCACTAGCAGTTCTACTACTTCTACCGATTGTGCTAAAGCAGCTGTAAAAGTGGCAGATTCAGAAGGTTAATATCAACATTTTGATGGCAGTAGCAGGTATATCAAAGGCACAACGAGACAAAAAAGAATATAGTAGAGTTACCTAAATGAAGGGCGGTCTGGCCTCTCGAATTTGGCCAGTCAATATGCGCGCCATGGTCCAGTAGTAAGCGAGCACATTCTGCATGACCGTCTACAGCTGCCAGGTGCAAGGCGGTCGCGCGACCAGGTCCCAAAGCCGCCCTCACGTCTGCTCCTGCTTCTAGCAGCAATTTAACACACGTCGCGGATCCTAGCGACGCTGCTACGTGTAATGGTGTTTCAGTAAAAACCTGAAAACGCATTCGGTTCCGTTTATACGTTTTATGATACATAGTAGTAAATCTTAATAATTTGTCATCAGCGATCAGAATAATTGCGGTGGTGGTGCCATAAAGAAAGCACAATGTCTACGAGTATAATTTACTGGAGCTGTACTATAATTTAAAATGGATAATTAAGAAACTTGTATTGTAATTTGTTTTGTTGCACGTTACACTACCCTCATAAATCTTCGATATAACTACATTGCTGTCATAAAACCTTCTTGTATGTTTCGTATGTCAATATTTATGGCGTAATATTTCATATATTATTACATCTGCATTTGTTTAGTATAAACTAGAGTCACCTGGGGTGTATCAGGGCAGGCACCAGCATCCAAAAGTGCACTAACCACATCCGGTGCATCGCTCAATACCGCGTAATGCAATGGAGAATGTTCGCTTAAACCCGCGTTCACATCAGCTCCGTGACTTAATAGGGCCTATAATTTAGCCAGTAAAAACAATTAAGCTATTTAAATTCAAAATTTATCTGAAGCACAACAATATAGTTTAAACGGAAATTGGATTATCTACAGTCGTGTTAGGGGGCTTCCTCCCTGTGACCGCGGCTGGTAAATAGTTCGCGTTTGAACCTGTTAAAAGTGTTTTATTCAAAATTATATCTGCAATAATCTGAAAAAGTTTTGACACGTGAAATAATGAACATTACCTTAACACAATTAACCGATTTTGCACTAGAAGCGCAATGAAGGGGCGTTGCTTTTCTATCTGTACTTGAGTCCCAAAGATTTGGATCAGCCCCGTGGTCCAGGAGTTCTTTCACGCATTCTTCATTAGCTACGAGACAGCTTAGGTGCAAACAAGACCTTTAAGAGAAAACAATATTAACGTTTCATGACAAAATTTTAAAAAATTACTTTAGTTATTAATTTAAGTAACAAAACGTTGTATAAAGAATTTCAGTTACGGGTTTTCATGAGTAGGCCCTAGTCCTAATGGCATGTAAAATCCAATTACATCTTCTCAAAAATTTGTTGTCAAATTTATCATCTAATTCATACACACGCCCATACTATTTTTAATCCGGTATTTTTTCATCGCATTGAGATGTGAAAAAATTGACTTACAATATCCATAATTATCAATATTTTATATTCCTAAAGTTCATATAAAAATAATAAGAAAAGTTTTCTACGTATTAAAACATATTTCTGTAATGTTAATTTACTCCCATTGAAATCATGGCTGTTACCTTTTCCATTTTCGTGCACTGCGGTTTGTTTATCAATTTATTTTTACCTGTTAGGAAACGTGCTCTACTTTCGCTCTTTTTTATGGTTTCCAGATATCAGTTAGATGTTTCCGCAGGAAATCGAGAAATTAACATTAAGCTTTGAATTCAATAATTTTAGGTCAGCTCTATATTCGATAAGAAAAAAAAATCTGTCTGTAAAAAACAAATAATATCTTAAAAATTGTCGCCAGCTGTCTGTTGCTTTTTTACTACAAAGCGATGTTGATTTTGCCATTATAAAGACGATTTTGGGCCGCTATAGGCAGAGTAGCCTAACTGCAATTTTATGACTTGAGTTATTTATAGTTTCCTAGTCTAAAATGTTTATCTACAAGAGCACAGTGACCGAACATTTTTAACATATTTTTTACACAAATAATAGTACAAATTCATTTTCGTATTTAAGTTAATTGCGCATTTTTATTTTTCTCCTTATTGAAAATAATGTATTTAGTTATTACGAAACTGTGCCTCTAGCAGCCTCACTTGTTGTCTGCTTGGGACCCTCCAATTTTTAATTTGTCACTGCAGATAATGTAGCAATTTTTGTATACATCAGGAAATGATGTTCAAGTGAATAAAGGGCTGAAGAATATTAAGGTTCTAAAGTACCTTCCGGCTTCATCTGCACTGTTCGCATCAGCTCCTAACTTCAACAGCTTGTGTAGAAGAGAACACTTCCCCATCCAGCAAGCCCAGAGAGCAGCAGTTCTGATTCCAATGTCATCGGATTGGGAGGCAAAATTTAAAGCCTCCTCGTAATGTCCGCTTCCCAACATGGACGCGATGTCATCCGCATATGGCAACTGTTTCAGTGTATTTTGTATTTCTTCTGTCAAAAAAAATTCATTAGTATCAAATCTTTCTAGAACCTTCTACCCAAGTTTCAAGCGACGTTTGCGTAGATATAATGTCACTCAGTTTAGAATTGCCCTCAGGCCTCAGGTTACGGTAGTATTATGGAATGATGCTTGCAACGTTCAAGTGAGACTGGTAAAGAATAGTCGTATCAAGGTCGATATGTTTGTGTTTACATATTGTGTATACTGTGTGGCATTGACCTATTTAGACAAGTTAGCCCAGAACTACCTACAATCACGTTTAAAAATCTTGTAAAAACAAGGTAATACTTTGTATTCTTCTTACTAAAATGTGTAACATGACGTAGCAAAAGGGGAGTGGGTGGTATGGTCAATAGACGATGTGGACTGATGACCCAACCTTCTATCGGCGTCCCCGAAAAAAAAAATGTCGTAGCCTAATTAAAAAAGAAACTAAAACTTCTTTAATAAAGTACTTAAGCCAAATCAAAGATTAATATCGTTTATACTGACTACACTCATTCATATAATTTATAAACGTCAAATACAATGTACTCGTAAATAAAATCATGGGCGCAGGAAGAAAGGGCAACGAAGCACACCACATTTTTGTGCTTTCGTTCAACGAATAAATGAATAAACATAGTTTTCCCACACTTACTATAAACTTACCTAACTCCCAAATATCCCTCGATGGCTTAACGCGTATTCGGTCACCAAGATCCCCTCCGTGGGCAGATTCATCACTTGATATGTACACGACTTCTTCATCAGAGTCCTCGGGAACTTCGCTGATGTCGTCTCTCCATCTAGTGCTTCCCTCCCTATACCCCTATTTAAAAAAATCAATATGCTTTCGAAATTGAAATTATAATGGTATGGTTTTGATCGTCGAAATAACCATTTCAGTAGATAAGATGTTAGGAAGTGAATTCAAAATTCATTAACTAATAAGATTGTTGTATGGATACAGCTTAAAAAAAATCCGATCGCTAGGTTGGTAATATGACGTCACAAGACATACAAATTCTAGATGAAATAGCTATTTAAATATATGCTATCGATGAAACTTTAATAGTTTCAGCTCAGTTAATAATGCATTTATATAGGCATTTCATTCCCCATAAAGTACTTTATGAGTCATCAAATTTTATAGCCGTTAAAAAGTCTTGCACTTCACTGGATCTTAATTAAACAGCGGATTGGGCCGCAACACGTAATCAGCGGTTAAGAACTAGGTTAACCTTTTTCCTAGCGCCCGAACTTTTCGCCGAAGACATTTTCGGCAACTCGTGCGCATATCAAAACAAAACACGCGCGCGCCCCGCCGAAAACTGAAAACTCAAGTACGCCTTCAGCGAATATAAACAGCTATGGACTTTACGCTTTACCCGTTCCACCAAAAACTGAAATCGCGCTAATCGAAATTTCTTTGAAGAATGCGAATGTCAGCCGCCGGAATCGCCCACGCTATTATTTATAAAGCGTATAACGAACGCTACACTCTGTTTTACACGGTCGGTGTGCTAACGCTTTTTATTTGAAGCTGTTAAGCATTTGTCATGTTGCGTTACGCGACGATTCGTGAGATTTATGGGCTTATAGATCACGATTAATATCCATAAACATAATATAGAGCTTTACACACATATTACACAAGCGTAGACTTTCACACATATGCTAATAAAGTTTTTTTTTTTTGTTTCTAGTCATTTATTCGCGCCCTTAGTTGGCCCCAACCTACTCGATTTTTAGCATTGTGTTAAAAAAATAAGAGAGTGGCTAATGTAAGCATCTTTCAATCTCAAAAACATTCCCGAAATTAGAGGCCTTTTTCACTTTGTTCCTTTTAAGTCCATATTTTATTAGTAAGCGATGCCGCGTCTAAACATTACCATGTATTATTAAAAAAATATTTAATTGTTTAAAATTTAATTTAATATGTTTCATCCATCCAGCGATAAATTACTTTTGGTAAGTTTATTTCGCTGTTGAATCCAGAACTTCTAATAAAAAACACTGTACAATGCGTGCATTTTGTTTTTATCTATTATGAAGCTTTTTAGATGCTTCTTCATTTTACAGGGTAATTACGTAACTCGTTATTGCGCCAATCTGTTTATAGTCTATGTAGGTATTAATTATTCTATTAAACTACCCACACAACGCACATATTGTTTAAACGTGGAAACAATTGTTCTAAATCCAATATTAGTCCACGGTGCTGCACTTTGCATGCCATTAGTAAACTACTTTAGAAATAGAATCTTATGAAATGTAGCGATTTGGAAACTAAATTATCGCTTTAATATTAGTTCTACTCTGTTATTCTACCCTGCAGAAGTAAAGTTGTAACTCATTCGTTAATTGCTTTGTGGAAATATTAACGATTTCTTAATGTTATAATATACTAGATGAGTCAGTGACTTTGTCCGCGAGAATCATTATTTTAGGGACCCAAATTCGTTTTTGCAAACCCCTTCATCTGCATAAACCTGTCGCGTTCCTGCCCGTCGTTCAAGCAAGTTAATCTTCAAGGATGAGAAAGAAAGAGACGTTTTTTCATATATCATTTAAAGGGGAATAATTTTTTATACATATTTTTTGGGTATCTAGAACCGTTTTTGCTGCGTACACCTCGGAAACCCACAATGATGGATAATTTTCCCAATTCTTCACACATTTCTCGCTGTATCTTCGCTTGTATTAGTCACAGGGCGGTGTTTTATAATCTATAGCCTTCCTCGATAAATGCATAAACTAACCAAAATAATGTCAATTCGAACCCGTAGTTTCTGAGATTAGCGCGTTTAAACATACAAACACTTCAGCTTTATATATTAGTATCAGCAATATCTATATATTGCTTTTAATTTTAACCAGTTAATGTGCCACTGCTGGGCCAAGGGCAGGAGAGAGGTTTTAAAAGTTTGGATCCATCACTACTGTCACTGTGTGATCATAACCGGCATCGATGACTCAACGTGATCATCAACGCACTTTAGTAATGGCGTTACTTCCGAACTTTCAAATGGTACTAGGGTTTTTTTTAGAGAAATTCCAAAATCCGAAGTAACATTTGAGCTAATCCGGGACTCGTACTAACTACTAGACTACAAACATTACGTATGTTGCCTCGCTGAGAAAACTTAAGTTTAATCGCTGTATAGACATATTTAGTATGTAAGGGGCCTCAAATAACGATAAATATTACCTGAGAAGTAAAAAGGGATGTTTTTGAGTGCTGTACAGTTTTTTAAATATTCGCTTCAGTTACGAAACCCTCAAATTTTTTTTTTCGAAATAAATATATTGTTTAACTAATATTTACTTCGTATTAATATTACTTAAATCACCGATCAATCAAGTGAACTTACCTCAAATTCTACGTCGCTCCCTTGAAGCATTACTCATTTCATGTACAACTTTATCTGAATGTCTGTAGCAGACAAAAACCACAAATTAATTTGCTGATTATATTTTGAAAACATTCAGAACAAAATAGCATTCAAATTAATGTTTTTCTCGTTCTATTTCGATTACAGTTTTGTAACCGTGTTACTCATAACGATTCCAAAATCAAACTACGAAATCTTACATTAAACCAACATATAAACAATACTTTGAAGATTGCAAACCGTTTAATACGGAGTGTTATTAAAACCATTTGTTTCAAATCACTCGCAGAAGGCACCCAAGTTTTACACCTTGCTATCTATTTATAACGTGTACAACAAACAATCCCGTTGAAGTTGATGCTCTGCAGTGAAGATGCAGACTAAATATTGTGATCTTATTATGCTATTTTATAATTTTCCCAGTAAATACCATGTTTAGTAATTAGTACTCTGCTGCAAAGCTTTATAACTGATTCACTACGTCTAGCACCTTCCAAAATTTCCTTCAAAAGCCTTCTATGTAATAGTTTTCTGTGCTTATCGTATACTTCTTAAGTGAACTTTCTCTTTCCTATCTCTTATTTGTTTTTTTCAAATTTTATTTGGGTGTTTCTTTTCATATATTATAAGTTTAGGTTTGTTAAGTATATTAACTTTCGCACGTGTTGCTTGATGTCTTACTTTATTTATTTAGTTTCTTTCTAGTCGTGTTGAATAGAAGAGATCGCTCATAGCGATAGGACGGTCCGGTGCTCTATAGTTGTAAAACTTCAACTTGTAAGATATCGTTGTAGACTATAAGGTCGTCTTTGCACAATCTATTCATATGTTAAGTTTTTATTTGTTGCTTTTTTCCTAACATTGCAATAACTGTTATAACTGACAGTAGTCATTGGCGAAAGATTAATCTAATACAAATTCGTTACTTATTATTAAAAAATATCTTGTATGTGTAAAGGAGAGTTGGTATTTTTTAATTTTCCATTCTTATATCTGAGATGGTAGGTAGAGATATGTCCGTCGAAATTTGAGTCTGATAACTATTTATGACTATTCCAGATTGGCGCTGATGGGGCTAACTCAGCGGTGAGGAACGCTATGGGAGTCCAGTATGTCTCGTGGAAGTACAATCATATGGGCGTAGTAGCTACGCTTCAATTAGCTGAGGTAAACACTTTTTAAAATAGCGCCATCTCCCGAAGACTGACAAGACGAGTAAACACGCCTCACCTTGGTTGAAGAGTTATTTATATCTCTTATATTATATTTACATATGTGAAAATGTATATTCACGACGTGGTCTTGGGGTGCTTCTGCCCTAACCTCTTCAAACCTTTGATTTTTTTCCAAGCATTAATAAATCTATAATAAGTGTTTGTTGTGATGTTACGCTTATTTTCATAAATATATAACAGTCAAACTAATTAAAGTACAGCCCGTTAGAAGAATTCTAAATAAATTTGAATTAAACGCTAGGAAAGAATAGTATGAATTATTTCATTTCAATTTTTTCATACGGGCCTTAATAGAAAAAAAAAAGAATAGTTGAGACCTTATTTGTGGATATCTACATTCATTTTGCGAGTAGTATACATATTATATAAAACACTTTAACGGTTTAGAGGTCGTGAAACGGCTACTGCAAACCACAAAACGTAAATCGTCGTATGACCCGACTTTATGTTTTGTGCAGCAGCCGTGGTATATGGGATGGATAGTTATGATATTATACGTTTCACGTTTTATATTGTTATTTTTCTTTTATCTCGTTGTGATTATTTGTTTTTATATTACGTACGACGCACAGTAAAATGTACGTTGGTATTATTTTAACATAAGTAGTGTTCTCAAAATTAAGAATCATTGATGCACGTAGGTAGCTAAATAAACTTATGAACGTCAATACAGTCAAAAACGTTAATATGGCTAATTTTCTGCTTTATTTTACAGGAGTCAGAAAACACAACTGCGTGGCAACGATTTTTACCCACGGGACCAGTAGCTCTACTGCCTCTGGACTCCAAACGAAGCTCCCTTGTATGGTCAACGTCTCCTGAACATGCTAAGGAGCTCCTCAACTTACCTGATGAAGGCTTTGTTGATGCACTTAACGATGCCTTGGTATATTAAATATGTTTTTGTAAACTAAACCAGTCAGTCATTATAAAGTGAAATACCATGATCACTGATCCATTTTCAAGCAAGCCGTTGATAAAACTTTAATACCCAGCCGGATCGAAACAAGTTATTGTTTTTCCCCGATTCGAATCCACAACTTTAATTTGACAAGTAAAATATGTATATTAAACTATGTAAACCACGAAATAGTTCGACGTTCGACGTTTTGGTCTCGTAACTACGGCTTCTGGAAACCAACCGCAACGTTGAGGAGTAGTTAAAAATGAATTAAGCAATTATTTTATGTTTTAAACGGTTAAAAGCATTTCGTTCAATGTATTCGCGATAAATACAGGCATAACTTATTATTTAGGTTATAAGTAGTTATCAGATGTTAAAAGTAAAAAATGACAATTTATTTTTACAGTGGAAACAATATCCTCGCAACAAAGGCGTGGATGCCTGTACAGCGTGGGTTGGCTCTGTACTAAAGCGCGTAGGTCTACCAGATGGCGCTCAAAGGCAGTTGCCGCCGAGTGTTTGTGCTATCTCACCGGGATCCAGGGCCGCTTTCCCCCTCGCTTTTGGCCATAGTACGAAATACATTGCTCCTGGAGTCGTTCTAATTGGGTATGATACGCACACCTGTGGAATATTATATGGAATAATTAAAGGCTAAATGCTGATTGTAGACAGCGCCAGTAGTGCACATTTAAGTAAATCACTTTAACGGTTTATTAGTTAAATTTATTTAAAAAATTATTTTAACTACGGCCCGACGTCTCGGATGTTTTGCCGTGGTGACGAGGTCACGTAGTTAAAATAATTTTCAAATATGTTTAACTAATATATATCGCGTTTTAAACCGTTAGCGTTTTATTCAAATAATTAAAGACTGTCAGAGGTTATGGGAGAGACAAACTTTTCTTAATAATAAGTAAGGACGAACGCACCCCCACACTCCTACCCATCCGACCACATCCGCACGCAATGATTCCTATACAAGTATTTGTTTTTTTTAGACATAAATTTTGATCTCATTTTCAGTTCAATGCAGTAATTTTTTTTTCGTTCTAGTGATGCTGCGCACCGCGTCCACCCCTTAGCTGGACAAGGAGTGAATCTAGGATTTGGTGATATCAAAGACTTGACGGAGCTCCTCGGAGACGCCATGTATACTGGATTGGATATAAGTGAGATTTCTTGTATAGTATAAAATCTTAAATAAGTGTACTGAGGTGACTGGATAAAGCGACGTGAGCTTTTAATTGAAAGTGGGGTAGACATATTTCTGTATCTGTTTAACAGTAAAATTTAATCCTGACCGAACTATAATGCTTAATCGGGTTTTGGGACCTGGAAGCCAGGGTCCTGGGTTCCTTAGTTCCCTGAGTTAAACTATTGATCTATATTTTTAAAAGTCGGAAGAAAGAGTGCGTGGCCAAAAATGGAATTCCAATTATATATAAGTATATTATACGTTTTGCTAAATGACATCTTTTGTATGTAAAATTAAAAGCATAATTAAATGGAAGGCCGGGGATCTACTTATTTCTTTACAAAGTCTTTTTACCTTTTATTATTTCGTGCATTTAGGTTAATAGAACCATATATTATATATCCATCTGTAGCATGAATTGGCTGTTTGCAGCTCACCCTGAATGGATGAAAATGTACGAGACCGCACGACAGCGACACAACGTTCCCACACAATTATGCGTAGACGCATTGTATCGGCTGTATGCGTACGACCTGACTCCGCTCGTCTTGGTCAGGAGTGTCGGACTACAGATTACTAACGCTCTTGACCCCATTAAGGTGAGATACAAGAATTATATCTATGTATACTCTCACTCCGACTAAAATAGATTAAATAACATTGACGTCCATAAAGTTTCGATGGCTTTTCGCTAAAACAAATGTTATCGTACTGAATTCACCGATTGGGCCTTTTTAGTAGGAACAATAAAAAGACATCATTGTTACCTTACCTAGATGTGTATAGATGCAGATCAATTTTGTTTTTTTGGCGAAATGAGAAAGACGTAAATTTTTATTAAGTTCTCAAACATAATTTTATAAATTATTCAAAAGTTATGATTATTAATTTTAGGTCATACTTTTCGGTGAATTGTACCTTCTTATACCGGTTTGTCCACATGACTAATTTCGCTAAAAATTACAATTGCTTGCCGCATTCTGCACCCGATAGATTATAGAACTTTTTTAATTTTTATATTTATCGAACCATTACATTTGGTATAAGTTGATAACAAAATGTAATGGTTCGAGATAGATAGTCAAATATATTTTACTTGTTATTTATATTTAATATTGATATTGAAATAAAAGGTGCCAAAACCGTATCTAATAAAGTATTTGTTTGTTTTCAGAAATTAATTATGTCCCACGCCACAACATGATTAGGCTAACTAGCAACGATTAGTATTAAATATTTTATTTATTGTTTCTCATAACGAGCTATTAAAGTATTTATGTACATTGTAATATGCGTTTTATTTGCCTTGTCTTATAAGTAACTCACTAATATTTTTGACTGGCTCCTCAGTAATGGTAGCAATGTATGGTTAATAATCAACGGGTCGTGGGTTTAATTCCAGCCCCTTTCCGACATTTTCCTAATCAATTTATACTTTTTTTCTGGTATATATTGGACTTACACTTAGAACCACATATTTTCTGATATGGGAACTTTGTACTGCCCCTTTACAAACTATGATCCATTTTTAAATGAGGGGGTCAAAAAGAGGGACAGAATCATTACCCGTATCTGGGTAATATGTATAGTGCCCGACTCCGCAAATTCTAATACCCCGCGCAGGGCAGATTAATTCTCTTCTAATACAAAAAAGTAAACCTGTTCAATAGGTAACTTGGTATATTTGTTGATAATACTCCTATTTGTTTCTATGACTATTTTGTGCATCTATTGTCACCCCAAAGTAATTAGAATTCAAACAAATGGATATATTGAGACTTTATGATCTAGCATAAAAAATTCAGGCAACGCTTGTGTGTACTATGTTACCTTCTACTGCTTAAAAGTACGAGGTGTCAAATATTTTGTAAAAATATACGATTATAAAAGCGCCATCTGTCGTTCAGTTATACAACTAAATATATTGCAAATTAACGACCAATAAACAGCAATCCAAGACTGTAAACTCTTCCGTTTTAAACAGCCACAAGGTTATGTGATTATTCATTAAAACATTATAAATAATTTCCGTCAAATTAAGTAATTTTATAACATAGCCGATTCCTAACTACGTATACCTACGTAGTTTGACAAAAAGCCCTGACACAAATGGTAATATGAATTAGTTTTTTGATAAATCAAATGGATTGTTTGTTTCAATATTTATATGTCTATTTACGACTGCACACTTTTTTTATTGGAAAAGAGAGTTTACCTTTATATATTATTTACACAAAATTTTTGAAAGTTTAATTATTACCGTAAATTCGGTTAAAAACATCATACATACAATAACATCATTGTCGAGAAAGATAGATTTGAAGCCGACGAAGTGGCTGTTCTGTTGCCGTAGCCCTACAAGTTAAATTTAGTTACAATAATAAGTTCCCCTAGAGAGTAGTGAGTCGAGGTTAATTCATTCCGTAGCGATATCTCTGAGGAAAAACCCTGAGAGAATGCACAATTGTAGGAAGTATATAAATTTACTCTTACGCATACTAAACAGGTAATCGAAGAATCATACCTATATTGAAATAAAACATAATACGAGTCGAATGATGAAAAAGTCATATTGTTATCTATAAAGTACAAGAATTTTGTTTATCTTATTATAGATTATGAGTCTTCCTAAAACGCAGTTCTAACTACCCAGTAGTTTATTGTTTGTTACGAATTTCTTTTTAAAGATTAGCTAGTTAAGTCCTTAACGATTATTATGTGTTAATGGCTTTAGGGGATTTAGATACACTAACGGAGTAATTAACAAATTAGAACAATTTTATTAAAGCATAATGCCTTAACAAATAATTTATTAAATAGTTTTCAAAAAAAAATCCTACTAGGTACATGCACGTAATTAAAATACCTACCTTATTCTACCTATCTATTGTAGTTTTTGTAAGTAAAGCAAGAGCCAAATAGCAGCAAAGTCTATGAATAGTCTATTAGTACTTTGCCGCCGTCTATTATGTTGCTATAACAGTCAAATCACAATATTGATAAGGCAGAGTAATATTTTCCAACTCAATGGCCAAAAATGTACATGTATCGATTTGTAGTTAGTTATTTTTTTATTATGACAATAACAATGCCAATGTGGGTAAGTTCGTTACAAAGAATACTACAGAGGTTCGTTACTTCCTTTCTGCGTATGAGCATAAAAACGAGGTCGTTTTGTAACATGTTCTCGAAACCTTTCAAGCGCGACGCAGCTGCTATCGACCGTCTGTAGGGTGTGACGTCACACATTGGCGTCAGCCGCCATCTTGATCTTGTTGACGCACTGTTTCAGTGCATGCAAATTTGAACCGTAATTAAGACAATATTCATAATAATAAAAACATTATTGCGTGTACAATGAATATCCGTATGATTCAGTGATGCGTCATTGCACTAAATGGAATTTTGCTACACGATGTAGGATACAGTTTTATTACTCAGTACACGTTCCATTCAAACAATAGTATTGTTATTTTTATATATCTTACTTGTAATATAGTTATAAAACAAAGTTATTGTAGCTAAACGCCCTAAGCTATGAAATTTTATAAAAATGTAATTTTGATTGTACCTACAATTCAGTTATAATATGCGTATAGCTAGATACTATACATTCCTACTCAGGTAAAAAGATTAAATTCAGCAAGGTCTATAATTGCTACAACTACCTGAGTGATCGCTTCCTAGAATGGACGATTTTGAAAAGGCCAAATCCCAAAACACCTAAAACAAAAGGCCTTTTGTTTCACAGATACATCTTTGGTTATGTTTTAGTATGTACCTGTTTAACAATTTTATAAACAATGGATGAAATGAAACATTTTTAAATGATATACCTACCTACGATACTTTTTGTACATACAAGAAAAACGATCTCATCTCTATCTAATAAAAGGAATATTTTGATGTCAATATGTTTACTTCCTTAATTTAATACACAGTGGGTACATAATTATTTCTTTCTTCGCACTAAAAATATCTGGGTACTCTTATAACTCTGGGATGCTGTGAAAATAATCAATATAATAGCGCATGCTTATTCATTCGAGGTCATCATTCCCATCTCTGATTCTCTGCAATTCCCCTCCCTCATCGCTTTGCCTTTACCCCCGGTCGTACCGAACACCTGCCCGTCGCGGCCTCTTCATAATGTTGCCAGTTTTTAAATTCGCCAAATTTTTTCTGATAATTATTTAAAATTAATTTCTTCTTATATAATAGCAAATGATTGTTAACACCATTTTTTACGGTTAATGTTTTTCTATTGAAATCAAAATAGATGTCGCAATTGTAGTTAAAAAAATGAAATGAAAAAGCCTAACCCTAAACTTAAAATAATGAATATTTCTCACACATAGTTACAATTTTTATTTTCTACTAGTCTACTATCTAGTTGAGAGAGAGTTAGATCGAGTCCTCAACATATCAAAGGCATTCGATCAGACAGGTTAAGTTGGGGAATCTGTCTGTGTTTTCTTTGGTTGGTTGGTATTGGTGTTTTTTCACTTAATGTATGACAACAAAAAGTAAAAATACACAAAATAACTGTCATGATAAGTGTTAACATAGCTTATTGGTCCTTGTTATTGACGTTTATCTTCAATTTTGGCATTTAACGTATTATTTTTGGATTAAAGCAGATAAAAGAGCGAAGTTTTACCACGTATAGTGTTTTACACTTTAGGGCACTGTTACAATAATTTACTGGCAGCCCCGGTGAAAATCGATTCCCTGAACTCTTATTGGCTTGTGAAGTGAGAGACGCCATTTTGTCGTATAACTGCGCAGTTTCAAAGCCTCGATAGCGTTTGCTATAAAAAGCGTGAGTGACGTCAGAGCCCCTCATATAAATTCTCAGCGTGGTGCAGTGCGAACGTTCGTGTAGTGTGGTGTAACCAAGTTCTTCATTTAAACCATTGGGCGTTGAGCCTAATCGGATACAGGTGTGTAACATTCTCACACGCAGTAATTTACAAGCTATATGTTTTAAATATGGGCTACAGTGCGCAAGAAAAACACATTGTCGACTTTTGTGAAAGTAAAACTGAATCCCTGTCTAACTGGGTGCGTAAATTTAAATCTAAATCATTAAACGCAAAGACAAAGAGAAAGCGTGATTTCCGTATAATCGCCATATTGAGTAACTCCCTATCACGCGCTGAAAACGAGCTACTTACGAAACAAAGAGAACGAGCTAGAAAGTGGGCTCAGATGCAAGCTGACCTCGGAATATGTGACAAAGAAGAGGAGTTCGCCAAGCAGCAACGTGAAAAAATCGATAGTTTATGGAAGAATGATCTCAGTGGCCTAGATAGCTTTTTTAAAGAATTAGACAATGTTAAACCTCTCGTAAATCAAGTAGGATGAACATAGGTAATGTGAACTGTCAAAGTATCTGTGATATATGCAAGATGTTTTCTAAATTTACAGTCCCATTGCGTTTCGCGTGGGCCTGCATCCGACGGCCGCCATCTTGGTTGCCGCGGGGGCGCGCTCGGAGATAGCTACGATGTGGGTTTGTAACGGTATCATGCATTTTATTAGTTAATTTAATTTATAGCCTAATTATTGTTAAACATTTCAGTTAGCTATATGAAATAGTCGATTGGAATTCAAGTTTTATTCATATTGAATAAGAGAAATTGTAACATATGTTTAAGTATGGAAAATAAATGTTTTTATAAAAAAAAACTAGAATTTAATTTCGATCTCGTCTTTTGTTTATTGTGTATTTCACCCAACATGTATTATTCCATGAGTCATCATCGACTTCGGAGAACAACATGGCGTCTCGAGTTCCTGAGTAGCTGCGTAATTAATTGAAAGACGAGATGGCGTGCGTCACTACCTACACTGCTGCCTAACGGCTGCCTCGCACTGTCCTGCTTCACGACAGCTAATCTTATGGGTCCGGTACACAGCCCACATAGGTAAACGATAGGTACCTACCTACTTGCCCAAAGATAACCTTTTGCTTATGAGCCCCTATGGGCCGTTTTGTGTTGTAATTCCGAGCGCAGATAGAGCTGATGAAATACGGCGCAATGAGTGATTGCCAATTTCCTGCATGCGAAGGTACAATAAAATGTGATATTATATAAATTTGTCTTATTAGGAGTACATAGGCTGAGTGCTAATAATGCCCACTAGCGATGCTGGGCATATTTGTGTTGACTTTTAACCACAGGCACTCTGCATCAAACTATCAAGCTACTCCGGAAGCTTCTTTCGATTCAAGACCACATTCACGACTTCTGGCACCAAATAATAAACAGTACAATATATCTCAAACTGAAAACTAGGCATTGATAAAATAAAAACAACGATTAATAAAGGCTGTCACTAAATTGGAACACAATTAAACGCGGGCGCATATATAGTCCTATATGATAAGATAAAACTGAAGTAAATAAGGTATAAAATTAGAGGGATGTATGCAGAGAAAAGATTAATCTATGGTAAGTTCACACTGAACAGAGCTTTTGTAACCGTATCGATTTTTAAATATTATTGCGTGATATGTATAGTAAAATGAGCTTCCCGTCTGACTTATTCGTGTACAATTCACAGCTTTTCTCCTGGGTCCTGTGGTGATGACCAGAATATAATACCGTTTAGAACTTGCATATGAATGTGGACCTTCGGGAAGAAGGAAACACTGCTGATCACGCACGTCACCACGTCCCAAAAAGCAAGATGACTTTTTCTCACTATAGTAGGCACTTGATCACCCTGAAATAAGGTTACACGCAGAGTAAGACTGTACGAAGTGGTAAATTAGGTAAGTGGGATATTCCGCGTTTGGAATCATTTAACCTTGTTACCAAGGCAAAAAGTACTGGCCGATTTATTGAAATAGCGATCTCTACTCTGCTTAACAAAGTTTGTCCAGCCGCTATACGCGGCGTTAGGGTCTAATCAGGTGTTTTAGCTGATTTTTCAGGAGAAAATCCATCACTCATCAAATCAATCCATTAAACTTATAGTAACAAAAACTTCCCGCTGTGACGTAATGGGCATAAGTGTACCTGGCACCCTTTTTTTATAAACGCCGCACGAATAAACATAGTAATTACCGAAAAAGTGAAAGGAAAACAATAATAATAACGTCATACACCTATTGAAAGTGGTGTTACTTAATATTAAGGCTGTATTGAAGTTTTTAAACTTTGTTGGACCCGATCGCAAACAATTATCAACTCTTTACCTTTAAGAATAATGCTGACGATAGTGAAGACATCAACATATTTTAGTTTTATGGAACTTTCGAGGTAAACCCAGTACTTATCAGTACGATGAAAAAATACTTATTTATGGATTAGTTCAATGCTTTTGTGCGCAGTTCTTGAGCTGCAGTTTTACTACTAATGAGCGAGATTTCGCCATTAATCTGCCTAGCATTAGGTAGCCAAGCTGCCCGCAGTAAGCGGTAAAAGTGGTCAAGTACTAAATGTTGGCAAACCTGGCTGGAGAAAGACGTTAATGACTTGTCGCAAGATAAGTTCAATTGTATGACGAATCTACATAATTCATATTAGCTGCAGATTTACGACATCTGAATCAAAAGACCTGTTGGTTTGTACTTTAAAGTTGATTATGACTGGCTTCTGCCAGCAAAAGGTTAAAATTACTGCAAGTTTTAATTATATCAATGGAAAAAGAATCAAGTAGGGTAAAGTTTTATTACAGCATTAAAATAAAAAATATCACTACATAAAGCCAAAGTATAGATCTTGAAGTGACAAAGCTATGCTGTTATACAACTATATAATAATATTAATCGACGATTTAAAGAGACGACTACATCTAGATAAATGAGATGTGGAATATAGGAATCCCAATTATATTCATACATTGGATTATTAAAGGTAAATAATTCACAACATACAGTAAATATATATTAGAAGTAGATCACTTTATTTAGGTGCATAGTTAATTTTTCACATTGTTTTGAATTCTTAAATAATGTTATTTTTACAATTTTAATGATTGTCGTCATAATTGCAAAATTGAATGAGATATTGTTATTCCTGTCAATTAAAATATACCTATCACTAACAAATAAATGGTATGAAATTTGTTGGTGGAGTAAAAACAAAATTTTAATTATATATATTAAATTTGTAATGTTAAAATAGAAGTAATACTATATTTTCGTAAATTTCAGATAAATAATGTAACTTTACAAAGAATTCAAATGACAAAATAGAAAGAAAATTGCTTATAGTAACTTAGTATAGACGATGGTATACAACCTCGGGAGCGAAGAATGTTAAATATTATAATTAATAAGTAGACTGCGTATTGGTACTATCCTAGTCGCTGCAGACTCCTAGGCCAGTGGCAGGTTGGCAGCAGCGGTTGGATCTGCGCTGCTGCCTCCTGAGATGCTTATGTGCCCGGGTAACTCCAGCCGGTCGCGCCAGTCCAGTCTGCGCTGCCGTCTACTGGAATACACACGCACCAGACCCTCAAACCTCTCACTTGCCCAGTCTACGCTGCCGACTCGGAGGCCGATCGCTTCCTCCAGTCTACGCTGCTGCCTCCTGAGATTCTCATGCGCCTTATTAACGCTACCACCTCCAATGCTTGTCGTGTACACATTGGGTACTACACTCGCTGTCTTCTTGTGAGCTACCCACGTACCCCATAAACGCTGCCGTCTCCTGAGCTGCCCTCGCTGCCGCCTCTTGTGCCGGTCTACGCTATCTACACCGCCTACTCCGAGGCTAGTCGTGCTTGGCGATCTACATTGCCCACTCAGAGGCTGGTCGTGCTTGGCGATCTACATCGCCCCCTCCGAGCCTGGTCGTGCTCTCCGACCTACACTCCCGACTCCGAGCCTGGTCGTGCTCAGCGGTCTACACTGCCGACTCCAAGCCTGGTCGCGCGCAGCGGTCTACTCTGCCGACTCCGAGGCTGGTCGAGCTCGGCGGTTTACATTCCTGACTCCGAGCCTGGTCGTGCTCGGCGGCTTACACTCCCGACTCCGAGCCTGGTCGTGCTCGGCGGCTTACACTCCCGACTCCGAGCCTGGTCCTGCTCGGCGGTCTACACTGCCGACTCCGAGGCTTGTCGTGCTCGGCGGTCTACGCTGCCGATTCCAAGCCTGGTCGCGCTCAGCGGTCTACTCTGCCGACCCCGAGGCTGGTCGCGCTCGGCGGTCTACTCTGCCGACTCCGAGGCTGGTCGCACTCGGCGGTCTACTCTGCCGACTCCAAGGCTGGTCGCGCGCGGCGGTCTACTCTGCCGACTCCGAGGCTGGTCGAGCTCGGCGGTTTACATTCCTGACTCCGAGCCTGGTCGTGCTCGGCGGCTTACACTCCTGACTCCGAGCCTGGTCGTGCTCAGCGGTCTACACTGCCGACTCCAAGCCTGGTCGCGCGCGGCGGTCTACTCTGCCGACTCCGAGGCTGGTCGAGCTCGGCAGTTTACATTCCTGACTCCGAGCCTGGTCGTGCTCGGCAGTTTACATTCCTGACTCCGAGCCTGGTCGTGCTCGGCGGCTTACACTCCCGACTCCGAGCCTGGTCGTGCTCGGCGGCTTACACTCCCGACTCCGAGCCTGGTCCTGCTCGGCGGTCTACACTGCCGACCTCGAGGCTGGTCGTGCTCAGCGGTCTACACTGTCGACTTCAAGCCTGGTTCTTGCTCGGCGGTCTACACTGTCGACTTCAAGCCTGGTCGTGCTCGGCGGCTTACACTCTTGACTCCGAGGCTGGTCGTGCTCAGCGTTCTACACTGCCGACTCCGAGGCTTGTCGCGCTCAGCGGTCTGCTCTGCCGACCCCGAGGCTGGTCGCGCTCGGCGGTCTACTCTGCCAACTCCGAGGTTTGTCGTGCTCGGCGGTCTACGCTGCCGATTCCAAGCCTGGTTGCGCTCGGTGGTCTACGCTGCCTATTCCAAGCCTGGTCGCGCTCGGCGGTCTACGCTGCCGATTCCAAGCCTGGTTGCGCTCGGTGGTCTACGCTGCCGATTCCAAGCCTGGTCGCGCTCGGCGGTCTACTCTGCCGACCCCGAGGCTGGTCGCGCTCGGCGGTCTACTCTGCCGACTCCGAGGCTGGTCGCGCTCGGCGGTCTACTCTGCCGACTCCGAGGCTGGTCGCGCTCGGCGGTCTACTCTGCCAACTCCGAGGTTTGTCGTGCTCGGCGGTCTACGCTGCCGATTCCAAGCCTGGTTGCGCTCGGTGGTCTACGCTGCCTATTCCAAGCCTGGTCGCGCTCGGCGGTCTACGCTGCCGATTCCAAGCCTGGTTGCGCTCGGTGGTCTACGCTGCCGATTCCAAGCCTGGTCGCGCTCGGCGGTCTACTCTGCCGACCCCGAGGCTGGTCGCGCTCGGCGGTCTACTCTGCCGACTCCGAGCCTGGTCGTGCTCGACGGTCTACACTGCTGACTCCGAGCTTGGTCGCGCTCGCCAGTCGACGTTGCTACTTCCTGAGCTGCTGACGCGCCCGGTCGATACTAAAGCTGATCAGGGGCGATGTATGCTACAGTGGCCTTAAGTCGTCGCCTGTAGATGTAGTCTTCTACACCCCAATGCAGGACCAGGTAAAGCCTAACTCTTGAATGAAATTCCAGCTCATTGCGTGCTGCTCCGGGAAAAAGTCATATGCTGTCTGAATTTGCACGTCCCGTCTCAGCTTTACGTCACTGCAGGAGGCCACGCCTACCGTAAGACCTGAACCGAGTTGCTTGCCGCGCTGTGCATCTCTACGCGGCACTTAGGGTAGGCAGTTAAGGAAAATCGACCTGTATGTAGTTCCAGGTTTCCCAATCTTCACTACGCTGCAGGCAACATCTGCCAGGTACCCTCTGATCCTGACTTTGGTTCCGGTCTTCGATGCCTGCCATCGCTGCGGGGTGCGTGCCGCCTTCCAGACAGATCTGCAGTTCAGACTACCGCTGTCCCTAGTTCTCGTCGCTACTCCGATTAGGCGGCCACAAGTTGCTGCGAATGATGTTCTAGATATCCCAGCATTTGCTCTTCATTTGAAAAAGTAACTTCTGGTAATTCATTGCGCGCTAAGTAGCTTAAGAAATGCACTTCTAACTTAAGCCTTTCAAAAACTGTTTACAAGGGCAAGTCAAGATACTAACAGTTGCCCTCTCAGTACTTTTCCGCTGTTATGAATTATTTACTGTCTTACGTAATTGCTTTTATTGGCATATGTGTGTTGTTCTAGATATATTCATGTATTTCAAGTGTTTTTCACATATTTTAAAGCTTTGAAATTTTGGTTGTCTAATGTGAATTATGTTCTTTCAATAGTTTTTATTTGCAAAATTTTAGGCCATCGAATAAATTTCCCAACACGATTATTATAAATCATTCTCAGTAACCAATTTATTTTCAGAAGTAAATGCGTTTTAAATATAGCTATATTGCACGAAGCGAAATATTTGTCAGCGCAGACATTTTATATTATGGATTTAAGTATCATGAGAGAGAGACCATGAATATAATTCAAGCATGCAAAATGCAAAGGTAGGAATGATAATAACCACTTTCTTGCAGTTATAACAAGCTTAAGTTAATGCGTGCGTGCCCCCAGAGGTTCCAGAAAGATATAAATTTAATCAGCCAAGAAAAAGTACCTATGGCCATGGCCAATAATATCTTGAAGAAACATTAGTTCCTTTTCAGACAAATAAAATAATAGAATCAAAATGAATGTGGTTAAAAAAACCTGTAGCTTAATAAAATTTATATGAAATGAAGCAGGAGCAAATAAATTATAAAAACAAGCTATTCTACTAATAGCACCATGGCAACAGGTAAGATTTCTTATTTCAGGTCCTTACAGGTATTATTACGAAATTATAACGTAAAGATTAAGAATACACGTACAAAGAAAATAATATTGTATACAATTATATTTGATTATTAAACATATGTATAACGCAATAAACACTTCAAATGAAAAATGTATTGCTGTCATACAAGGAAAAGAAAAATGAACATGGACGAAAAAAAACTTAATATATATATTTATGATTAGAAGGGTCAATTATTTAAATAATATGCATATCTAAAATGATATAATTATAACAAATCTCGTACTATAACTTAAGAAATACTATCAAATGCCTCTAAAGAAAATTGGTAAGAAAAATAGTAACTATTGGAATATAGAATAAAGGACAAAGACGTGACATTAAAGAAATTAATGAAATCAAGAAACCGGACATCAAGAACAAATACCGAAGAAAGAAGACAACGCTTAAACATTATCCACATGATCCAATAAACAAATAATGATTGATGAAGAAAAGCTAAAGTAAGCAGACAAAGCTCAAGAACTAAGCTAAATACAACATCGATAAAATAATTAAATAAAAAATAGGATTACGATAAAAACGGAAAATATAGATAAGATCAAAAATGAAGGTGGTTTAACAAAAAGTACAATTAAAAGAAAAGATACTAGTTTAAGAATAAAGACTGACGATCAAAATAGAAGACAAGTAAACGTTAAACTAAACAAAGTAAAAGACATGCAACATAAGATCACAATAAATACACAATACTAAATAAATAGAAGGACATGAATGAAGATCAAGATTGAAGGCTGAAGATTAAGAACGACGACTGAAGATCAAGAATGAAGTCTAGAGATCAAGAGCGATGGCCCAAAATTCAAGAGCGAAGACCGAAGACCAAGCACGAAGATTGAAAATCAAAGATCAAAAACGAAGACTGAAGAATTAGTAAGAACTAAACAGAAGCCCCAAAACATATGATCACATAAAATACATAAGAAGAAATAGAAAGAATGAAAACTGAAGAACGACGACTGAAGATAAATAACGAAGACCGAAGACGAAGGACGAAGACCGAAGACGAAAGACGAAGACTGAAGATGAAGGACGAAGACTGAAGATGAAGGACGAAGACTGAAGATGATGGACGAAGTCTTAAGATGAAGGACGAAGACTGAAGATCTAAAAAAACTAAACAATAAGATAACCCCTCAAAACATAATCTCACAAAAATACACTAGGCGGAAAAGATAGATCTTGAATACAAGATTATTGCTCAAGAGAGAAGAACGAAGACTGAAGATGAAGAACGAAGACTGAAGATGAAGAACGAAGACTGAAGATGAAGAACGAAGACTGAAGATGAAGAACGAAGACTGAAGATAAAGAACGAAGACTGAAGATAAAGAACGAAGACTGAAGATAAAGAACGAAGACTGAAGATGAAGAACGAAGACTGAAGATGAAGAACGAAGACAAGATGAAGAACGAAGACTGAAGATGAAGAACGAAGACTGAAGATGAAGAACGAAGACTGAAGATCTAAAAAAACTAAACAATAAGATAACCTCTCAAAACATAATCTCACAAAAATACACTAGGCGAAAAAGAGAGATCTTGAATACAAGATTATTGCTCAAGAAAGAAGAACGAAGACTGAAGATAAAGAATGAAGAACGAAGACTGAAGATGAAGAACGAAGACTGAAAATAAAGAACGAAGACTGAAGATAAAGAACAAAGACTGAAGATAAAGAACGAAGACTGAAGATAAAGAACGAAGACTGAAGATGAAGAACGAAGACCGAAGACTGAAGATGAAGACCGAAGACTGAAGATAAAGACCGAAGACCGAAGATGAAGACCGAAGATGAAGAACGAAGACCGAAGATGAAGAACGAAGACCGAAGATGAAGAACGAAGACCGAAGATGAAGAACGAAGACCGAAGATGAAGAACGAAGACCGAAGATGAAGAACGAAGACCGAAGATGAAGAACGAAGACCGAAGATGAAGAACGAAGACCGAAGATGAAGAACGAAGACCGAAGATAATTAATTAAGACCGAAGATGAAGACTGAAGATAAAGAACGAAGACTGAAAAACTAAACAATAAGATAACGCCTTAAAACATAATCTCATAAAAATACACTAGAGGAAATAGAGATATCTTGAATACAAGATTAATGCTCAAGAAAGAAGAACGAAGAGCGAAGATCAAGAACGAAGACTGATCAAGAAGGAAGATTGAAGGCCAAGAAAGAAGGACGTAAACCAAGACAACCGAATGAAGACCGTAGACTGAATATTATGAAAGAAGACTCCAGATCAAGAACGAAGACCCAAGATCTAAAAAACTAAACAGAATAAGATAACCTCAAAACATAATCTCACAAAAAACATTGGACGAAATATAAAGTCATCATTAAGATTTTGAATAGTAAACTAATGATCGAGAAACAAGAGCGAAGATCAAGAAAGAAGACTGAAGATGAAGAATGAAAACTGAAGATCAAGAAGGAAGACTAAGACCTAAAAACTAAACAGAGTGAGATAACCACAAAACATACTATCACAAAAAAACATTGGAAGAAATAGAAAGATCAATAAAGAAGAATGAAGATCAAGAAAAAAGAGCGAAAATCAAGAAAGAGCGAAGATCGAGAAAGAAGAGGAAGAGCGACGATCTAGGACGAAGACCGGAGACCGAGGACCAAGGACGAAGACCGGGGACCGAGGACTGAGGACGAAGACCAGGGACCGAGGACGAAGACCAGGGACCGAGGAGCAAGTACGAAGACCGGAGACCGAGGGGCAAGGACGAAGACCGGAGGCCGAGGAGCAAGGACGAAGACCGGAGACCGAGGAGCAAGGACGATGACCGGAGATCGAGGATTGAAGGCAGGGATCCACAGACTTATTAAGACTAGGGGCCACTCGGGCAAATCATGAACTGACCAAGGACGAAGACCCAAAATCAAGAGCGAAGACTTATGTTCTAAAGAACTAAACAGAATAAGATAACTTCAAAACAATAATCCCAAAAAAATATATTGGACGAAATATAAAGACGGAAATGAAGATCTTGAAGAAAAGATCAAGAATAAGGAACGAAAAGCGTAGATTAAGAGAATTTTACTAGAGTGACATGTTTTTATTATAAACGCTAATTAAAACTTTTTGGAAGTGAAACCGTATTTTCATTTTTTTTCTTATTTATCATATAAACAAAACAATTACATTTATTTACACACTGATAGCAATAAAAAGACACTAAGGTTTAAACTAATGCTATCGTGAGTTTACATAACATCTAAATAACAAAGTTTATTTAATAAACATACAAGTAATACTAGCAAGCAACCATCTTGTCTACACATCCATTTAGAGAAAAACGATATCGCTAAATTAACTTAAGGAAATGATCATTTAGCTTACATTTAATATTATTTTGTTTGATACTACCTAATTGGAAAGCAAGTTATTGATAAGCCGAGGTATTAGTCGCTGACTCAGCTAGTAAATGATAATGCTTAAAATAATTATACAGACTTTTTTATAATTAACCATTTTTATTTAATTAGCTGATCGTAACAATTTAGGTTAGCCATTGTAGAATCCTTGGAAATGCGTAAATTATTATAATTTATTAATATGGAGATGTATCTATAGATTAATTACTGACGGCATAACTGAAAATATTTCTCTTTAAAGCATGGAATAAAATTTGTGCTGAGAGACGTAAGTAAAATTCAAACAACCAAAACTGTAAAACCTCCGTTTATTGGTGTTGACAGCATAATATAAATAAATAATTTCCACTAGGTGGCACGAGAATTGACGATATGTTATGGGTTTATATTGTCTATAGTTTACGCGAGTAGTACACATTAAAATAAAACACTTTAACGGTTTAAAACGCGATATATTAGTTAAACTTACTTTGAAAATCATGATTTGAATTTTCAAATAAGTTTAACTAATATATCGCGTTTTAAACCGTTAAAGTGTTTTATTTAAATGTTATGGGTATTTCTAGACATTTAGCGAGAAGTGGTGTACTTGCAAGTGTGTTGAAGGGAAGGAAAATATCATGTATTTTTCTCGTGTCGCCTGTACTCAATTACCTTACAGTTAATTTTTGATTTATATTAATAATTAATAGGGATTAGAAAAGTACTTTAGTATCCTAAGAAATATGTAGATCTAATTTCATAATTAGTGTAATGTAATAATAGTATGGTGTAACTAATTACCAACGGGACGAGTTTGATCCCAACGGGGTCCAAGATGTTTCTAATAATTATTAATTTTTCTGAAACATGTTGATTTTTGTCTGGAAGTCTGCTATTAAATGGTAGAAATATCGAGTCTGACTGTGTCAAGAACCACCGTCCACAGATGAAAAACCCGTTTAGTTTAATCGCGTTTCGAGTTCAGTCTGTAGATTTCCAATTATCCAAAGCCAAAATAAGCCAACAGCGATTTTGTTTATATGCTATATGGCTATAGGTGAAAACACCTTTCATCAAATGAACCCAATGTTTGTCGTGAAAAAGTCACGATGAGAGATGAAATTGACAAATAGCCTAATAAAAATAAATTTCTTGCCATTAAAAAAGGTGTAAACATCAGTCAATTGTCATTATCAGCTGTGTTATTATTTTAAAAGACAAGAATAACAAAAAGTTTAGATCTTATATTTTACTGCAGAACAATGCCTTTAGAATCAGATAAGGATTTTACTTCAATTAAGGTAGGCATCTTATTTGTGCTAAATAATTGAAAATTTATACTGGGTATGTACTTCCACGCTTGGACGTGTATTTTATTTTCAGCCGCCGCCAATTTTCGATGATCTTAATGAGCATGTGAAGGAATATTTATTGAAACCTGAAAGATTATCTATACACCAATGGGAGAGATCACAGAATCATTGGCATCGAACACCCGATATTGACTCGTTATTCAAAATTGATGATGATGATATTGGACTCGATACTACGCTAGAGGTAAAATTTTATCTCCCCAACGGCTATACTAGCTATATAGCAAATGTTATTTTGTCCACAATTTCATTACTATAAAAACATTAATGTTTGAGTTAATTTTAAAAGATAGATATATACTGTCGCCGACGTTTTTGTGCATATATTAAAGAGGATAATAATTCTTTCACACTTTCTCTTATCTTGAACCGCTTTCACAGTGCACTCCACAGAAACACTCAAAGATAAATAATTTATAATTTTTTTTCCAATTCCAATGTTTCTTTGCTAGTATTAGTCACAGCATGCTGTTTTATAGCCATAAGCTTCCCTGATAAATAGTCTTTATAGTATTAGTATAGATTGGTGCAACAGGGAGACGTACTCCTGACCTTAATAAGAAAAGCCTGATGCCATATTACGAAAATAGCATACTACAGTAAAACAAATCTATATATAATGAATGATGTGGGTACAATTAATATTTTATAAATATTACCAAAATATTATTTGTTAGTTTTATGTTACAGGTAGTCAGAGATTTTTTAACTGGTGAAATAATTGGTCTAGAAGAAGTGAGCATTCCAGTTGAAGATGATGAAGACAGCCTGTCAATGTCAAGAACTCCATTGCCTCCTAGTTTGGCAACAAGAGGAACAATCACACAGAATCCCTTCCTACCTGCTGGTTTTGAAGAAGAGCTTGAAAAAATGCTGGAAGAAGCATCTAGAACTAGTGAAGTTGTGGTTAATATTGACAGTCATGAACCAGGCAAATTTTTGGGTGAAGGTAACACCATTTTGGTTTGAAGACTTTATTACTTTTTTACATGTTATTGCACATAAGTTCACTATATAATTACAAATCGAAAATAAATTAAAAAAATTTTCGATTCAGGCAGGACTTGAACCGGCATTGTCAGCGTTCCGTGGTTGCTCTACCTGACTTGGTAGCTCAATTGGTAGAGCAACAGCTTAAATTTATTTTCTACTTTTAAACCATTTTGGTAGTAATTAGATATTTTTATTAAAAAATCACAAATTCATAAGAGTTACAATTTTCTTACAAACATGAATATGTTTTAACATAAACAGTATGTCTGTAACAACAAACAATAAACCAGCAACTTCTTATCGCAACAAATAAAACCTTAAGGAAATATTATCATATTAGTAATTAGTTTGTGTATTATTTTCTCTGGTAAAAAACATCAAGTACTGTTTAGTATTTGCTATTGGCATAATATAAATATTTAAGAAACTTTAATAGATAACTTTAAGCCAATGCATTAATGTTGCCAACTTATAAGCATTTAATTACAAGTATTTTTGCATCATACAACCTTACCCTGTATGCTACCATTAAAAATCATTTATTTAATTTATAATGTATATAGATTTATTTGGTTTACAACAGCTATTGTAAAAAACTAAACTTTATGACTAGAAATTAAGAATATACAAAGCTATCATAAGTTACAAATATACTTTTTTTATTATTATTTTCAGACATCTTGTGTTCACCACCTGGTCGTAAGGAAATCGTGATGTTTGCTAGCGATGGTGTAACATTGCTGGACCAAACAAGTGAGAGTTCTAAAGAGGAAGAAAAAGTTGAAGATATACAGATAAATATCAATTTGGAAGAAGTAGTTAACAACAATGCTCATTTAGTAGGTAAGTACGCTTTTCAATAAGAAGCTCAAACATTCCATTCTACATTATAAAGACAAATACTTCTTATAAATCATTCTAGGGCTCTGGCAAGATGATGATGAAGTGAAGCAAGAACCTAAACCCAAAAAAGTAGACCTTGAAGTTGAAAGTTATGCAGAAGACGACAATTTCCTTGAAAGCACAATTATTAAACCACCAGTAGCGTTACCAGAAATCCCTGTTTTAAATATTACAAACCCTACAATAAGACCAGGCGTAACATCTACGGAATGGGCTGAAATGATAGACGTTTCTCAACCAGTGCCCGAGTTTAAGGAGAAAATAAAAGATTTGGCCCATGCTTATCCTTTTGAATTGGATAACTTTCAGAAACAGGTATAAATTAATTGTTTCTATATTCGATAAAGCTTTCGCGGCTATTTTGCTATTGTGTTCACCCCATGTCCTGTGGAGGGAAATGTGATGTAAAAAAAAACTTATTAATATATACGTGTGTTACAAATTGTTTTAGGCAATATTGAAGTTAGAAGAAGGGCATCATGTCTTTGTAGCAGCTCATACATCGGCCGGAAAAACGGTAGTTGCGGAATATGCTATCGCTATGTCCAGAAGGAACTGTACGAGGTATGTTGTTTTTTTTGTACTTGTTATGAACTACTTAGTAATAAAGAAAAATTACAAAACCAGTAGATTTCCATCCTTTGTAATGGCTTTCGTATTAATGCCATAAGCAGAAGTCATCTAAATGTATATTTCTGAAATTAATGTTAAATTCTAAGTGTTTTAGGCCATTTATAGTAATGGAAAAGGTGTGGTTAAAACATTAATTTATTGGAATTGATATTTGTAGTTTAGTACATTTTAATGGCGTATTTTCTATTTTCATTTCTACTAATATATCGCGTTTTAAACCGTTAAAGTGTTTTATTTAAATAATTATCTATATTGTACAATTTATGTTATCAAGTAACTTATATAGGCGTCAATAAGAGAAAGGTTTTTGATATCTGAACTTTAGCATTAATAACATTTGTATGAAGGCTTTAAGCTGTCGACAATATTTCAGAGCAATCTACACATCGCCGATTAAAGCTCTATCCAACCAGAAGTACAATGATTTCAACAAGATGTTTGGCGAGGTGGGGCTTCTGACCGGGGATCTACAGATTAACGCCACCGCTTCCTGCCTCGTTATGACCACAGAGATCTTGCGCTCTATGCTCTATTGCGGATCTGACGTCACAAGGGATCTTGAATTTGTCATTTTCGATGAGGTCCATTATATCAATAATGCTGAGGTAATAATTCTATTATAGTCTAGTGATTCTGTTTTTTTATGGTTTCGTCAAGATGAAACACATGGACTTGAGTTTATTTGAAAAGTTTAGTTAAAGATGAGTTGTCTGAAAGCTTATAAGAATGGCGCCCTCCGCACAATTTCATAGCTTCTCCTTTTATGTCACTCCATTTTTAAATAAAACCCTTATAACGGTTAAGGACGATTTAGGCCGTTAAGTCTTATATTTAACTGGTTATGTTATTCTACATGTTGATAATAATAAATATACTGTTATTGTTGTAGGCTTCTTATAATCCCATGTCGGTAGGTGCTTTTTATATTGATGAGTGATATGATTAGTGTATTTTTTCATTCATTCTTTTTATATTTTGAGCAAGATGTTAAAATACCAATAATTTTGTTTTCAGCGTGGTTACGTATGGGAAGAGGTACTAATACTGCTTCCGGCACATGTTAGTATCGTGATGCTAAGCGCAACTGTACCCAACACGTTACAATTCGCCGATTGGGTTGGTCGTACTAAAAAACGCAAGGTCTACGTTGTTTCGACACCTAAACGACCAGTACCATTATGCCATTATTTATATACAGGTAGGTGAACAATCGCTCTTAAGATTTTGATGTAAATTAAATGACTCTCGTTAATTAAGTTTAAATAACAAATATAAGTAGCGGCGTGGATCTTTAGCGCTGAACGAATCCTGCGCAGAAGTCAAAAATAAGGTGTCGATGGGACGGAAGCGGGCGCGGGGCGAATGAACGTCACGTGCGCTAGCGTTGATGGGTTGCCCAGTCGTGATGTCTTTCTCGGACCAATACGACGCTTCGCTTGCTTCTCGAGTACAGTCACGTTGTCCAATCAATTACGTCCGCGATTGTAAAGATGCGCAACTATATTCATTCAGCGTTTAAACATCCGTGCCGCGACCTATACCTAGATTTAAGTCAAATCGTAAGAATATTATACTTGTGCGCAATGCAAAAGGCCAAAAACCAACTAAGTACGAAACGGAATTGTGTTAAACCATTTTATAAAACACCATACCATAATAATATAACAGTAAATCACATGAAATATGTATTTTAAGCAGTTTTCCTAATAAAAGAAGTTGCGATTCTGTTTTATTATACTAAATGCATGCTTTCTCTATGCTATCTAGGATCAGGAGGAAAGTCGAAGCACGAGCGGTTTTTGGTCGTGGACCAAGAAGGAAAGTTCCAGTTAAGAGGGTATAATGAAGCAGTTGCCGCTAAGAAGTCACGCGAAAACGAATATAAAAAAAGCTTCGGCCCAAAGGGTAAGAAACATTTCATGCAAAGGATACCTTAGGGCCTTATTATCTCTTCTTATAAAAATATAGTCCGGGGTTTGAATCCCGGTAAAACATTAATAATAATGTGTCATTTTCAGGCGGCAAACAGTTCGGCAATCCAAAAGCAGAACAAACGATGTGGGTGGCTCTGATTGACCATTTGCGTTCTAGTGATAAGCTGCCTGTTGTTGCATTTACTTTGTCCCGTAACAGGTGGGAATTTCAACCTTAGTCACATACAGTTAAAGTCGGTTATTCGATGTATTTAAAATCGTGAAATCGTTACAGGTGTGATCATAACGCAGAGAATTTGATGTCTGTAGATCTGACGACCGCGAAGGAGAAAGGTCATATTCGGTCTTTCTTCCAGAGATGTCTCCAAAGGCTCAAGGAGCCAGATAGGAAGTTGCCACAGGTAATATTCAAAATGATAACATGAGTCGTGGTATTTACGAAACGTGAACAGGCCACCTCGTCTATCAAAAGTCCCTACATGGGGTATTATTCTTTAAGGATTTTTTCATTGGATTTTATAATCAATCTACATAACTATCGATTTATTTTATGGGAGATAGAAAATACCCTCCATATAATATCAAAACAAGATGTACTGTCCTTTTTGATTTGATTGAACCTTTTTTGTCTTTGTATATTCCGATAAGATTTTGCTCTATGTTTGAAAAACGTTTTCGAAAGATGTCAGGTATCTCCTAGATGCGATTTACCGAAAAATAATTCCTACTTCTCTTATAAGATCTACTATAACGAGTTGCAAATATCTTACGTGTAAATTAAAGATCGATTTTACAATCAAAAATGTACGCCACGGGCGGGGCTACACGTCATCGTTGATTTTTTTAAACCGTCTAATCGTTGATACTTGCACTTCTCGCGCATTGTAATTTCACCCTTAACAGACGCGTATCAAGGTCTTAACTACCTACTTATGTATCTTACATGTACTTTGGACCTTAGTTTGCCGGTTCCCAAAATTTGACCTAAATTACATGGCGTTGGATAATTAAGTATAAGATCTCATATAGATCATCATGCTTTGTTATTACAGGTCATTCGACTTCAAAGAGTCCTTGAAAACGGAATTGGAGTGCACCACAGCGGTATATTGCCGCTATTGAAGGAAATTGTGGAAATGTTGTTCCAATCTGGCTATGTAAGTAAAAGTTGAGAAATGTTAAATATATGTTTCAGTACAGAAATAAATTCACAACAATATTTAGTCACCTTTCGAGTCTGTTAGTTCACAAGACGTCGGAAGTCCCAAAATCCGAATCTCTTTGAATGGTGTTCTGCAAAACCTCTATCGCCTATAAATAATAAAACACTGGCATAAGACACGTCATTATATTTTTACTCTTATGAAATAGGTAAAAATCCTTTTCGCGACGGAGACGTTTGCTATGGGCGTGAACATGCCGGCTAGAACTGTAATATTTGATGACGTCACTAAGTTCGATGGACTTCAATCACGAAGTTTAGTTCCCGCTGAGTATATTCAGATGGCGGGACGAGCTGGAAGACGAGGTATTGTTCCAGCCCACTTCCTTCCTTTATTGTTAACATACATACATATAACATAAATGCTTCTAATCGAACCGATCCCACGACCTTTTGATTATTGATACCATTAGACCAACCCGTCAAAATTTACGTTGAACAGTAAATTCTTATATTATATAACAAATGCTACTGACCTCGGTTTAGACAATTATACGCGAAATGTCTTCCAACTTTGCGTCTATATCAAATACTGTCTGTAATTTACGCGAGTAGTACACATTGAAATAAAACACTTAAACGGTTTAAAACGCTATATATTAGTTCACCTTATTCAATCATTATTTTAACTACCCGACGTTTCGGATGCTTTGGAGTAGCCGTGATCAAAGGGACACTAACTAATATTTATCGTGTTTTAAACAGTTAGTGTTTTATTTCATTGTGTCTATATCGTCATATCATGCTAGGAGATTTTTTAAAGATTTTTTATGAAAGTTATACCTACTACCCTTATCTAGATTAATTACATCATACGCATCATTAAGCCTAACTTGTGTACTACTTGAGTCTAATGAGTGTATGTCTTGTGAATTCATAGGTTTGGATGATACGGGTACTGTGATAATATTGTGTAAAGATGGCGTACCTGATCAAATGACTCTTAAGGAAATGATGCTTGGCACCCCGCAGAAACTGTCATCGCAGTTCAGACTGACATATGCTATGATTTTGAGCTTACTTCGGTAAGAATTGAAAATTATTATAATAAATCTGTTCCGTAATGAATTGCATAAAAAAATAACTATATATATGTAGTTCCCAATACATACAAACATTGATAAAGCATTTTTAACGGTTCAAACGACTTTGCAATAGTCGTGGTCACGGGGAGACAATGGCCGCAAAGCATCAGAAACGTCGGGATGTTGTAGAAATGATTTGCAACGTTTAACTAAATATATTTGGCGTTTTAAACCGATAAAAGTGTTTTATTATAGCGGACTACGCGTGTTTACAAATGTGTATGTTGTGTTTATTTGAATGTAAAGGCTGTTTCACTTTACTAACATGTATATGTCAAGTACTTTTTTGTATTATTTCAGAGTGGCAACTGTGTCCGTAGAAGGTATGATGCAGCGGTCTTTCCGGGAGTTGCACCAGATCCTTCAAGCGGATACCAACAAGAAACTACTACAGCAGGCTGAAAAAGAATATTCTGAGAAGTGTAGCACCCCACTGCCTTCGCATTTAGCACCTCTAGCCTCTTTTTATGACACCTGCGTGGCATATATTGAGGTTTTAAATGAAATAATGCCTCTGTTACTGACCCAGCCAAAAGTTAGCAAGGAATTTGTTCAGGGGAGAATATTGTTGGTGTCAGCTGGGCCGTATATAAATCAACTTTGTATCTATTTGAATAGTAGCGGTGAGTTTTGTCTAATGCGTCATATTTTCAAGTGCCTTACAATTGTTAACTTACAAAGAAAGAGAATGGTCCCTTTGTTAATTGCATATTATATAGATGGAAGTTTATAAACTCTTAACGCTTTTATTTTTTTATATCTTCCAATTGTCATTAAGTTCTTAAAGTTCTTCCAAGTACCAACTACGAGAAAACAGATGGCGCTAATGTAGTCTAGTAGCCTTGACATAAGGGCCACCCTCTAGTCCTCTCGTGACAACGGCTGCTACAAGTCATCGGAAATGTTGGGCTGTATTTGAAATAAAAATTTATTTTGCTTTTTAAATAATTACAACTGTTTTATTTAACTTTTTAGGGCCCCGCCAAACACCGTACAAGGTATTAGTGCTAAACACAGTGGAAGAAGACACAAACCGCTATAACTTCGACCTGGACGAAGCCTGGTACCGCATCTTAAGTTTCTCCGCTATGTATGATCATATTGGTAAGTTATTATTTTGAAAACAGTTCTTCACGTATACGATTCTTTAATATGCGGTGTTTTTAATTTTGTTGTACATATATAAATACGAGTGAATCATTCTTAGGGACTGAGAGGAGCACGCAAGACCACGCGATTCTGTGCATCGCACCAAAGAATGTCATCGCTGTAACCAAGACGTGCCTGAAAATTGACTCCAGCATCATAATTCAGGATTGGGAGAAACGCCAAATGCCCAGGTAAGTTTGGGCAAGTCGCATTCGAATTATCCAGCTAGAAAGATCAATTAAACACATTAGTTTCTTTCGTCGTCTATCAAATTGTATGTACAATGACAGTTAAATATCTTATAACTATAATAAAATGAATTAAGTATATTCCCTTAAAATCAAGTAATTTTGATTTACCAAGTTTCTATTTTTTTTATTTAAGGTTTAAAGACGCACCAGTGGGAGCTAGTTGCGCGAGCGCAGTTCAGGAACTGTCCCGACTGAGTCATGCAGCGCGTACTGGTGTCAGTGCGTTGGAACATATTAGTCTAACACAATCGCTCAATATTTCCACCGGGGAACTGCTGCAGGCCCTTGATAGGATGAATAAACTTAAGGTAGTAGAAATTGTATAGCAGTGTAGTAGATAATGATTTTTATTGAGATATCAAATGAATATTTATTTCATCACTAGCAGCCAATGCAGAATGAGTCCAAAATTTCCTCCGATAATAGGTTCTTTACTATTAGGCACATTTGTAGGTTAAAATAACATTAGAAATCAAAAAAATATACACTTTTAAAACTGCCTCAATAATAATAAAAAATGTACATATAATAGTAATATTTATATTTTACCAATATAAAGAAAAGCATACTGTGTCAATAAGAAAAAGACTTCAGTTCAGTAACTGACCTAGTTACTTAAATGTATTCCTTTACGTAATTAATATTATAGCAGGAAATTCATAACATGTAATAAAAATGAATACAACTTTCAGGCTGAAATTGAGACTCAGAAGAAAAGCACAGCAATAGCTAACTTTAAGAACGAATTTGCTACAGTGTACGAGAGGAAGCAAGCTGAAAGCAAGCGCGATAAATACAAGAGGCTTCTATCGTTTGAGAGTTTAGCTCTTTACCCGGACTACCAAGGTCGACTTCTAGTACTCCGTGAACTGAATTATATAGATGAACACGACAGCGTCATACTAAAAGGACGAGTCGCATGCTGCATGGGAACTAATGAATTAATTCTCTCCGAATTAGTCTTTAGGAATGTCTTCACAGACAAAAATCCAGCTGAAATTGCAGCGCTACTAAGCTGTTTTGTGTTTCAAGCTAAAACTCACGTGGATCAAGTACTAACGGATAAATTGCAACAGGGCGTTAAAGCCATTGAGGGAATCGAAGATGAGCTATCGTCGATCGAAGCTAAATATGGGGTAGGTTGAATAGAGTAGAATATTATGACAGGTATGGTTTTTTATGACAGAGCGGGACAGACAAGGATAGAGTTTAAATTATTCAAGCCAACATGCATTTCAAGATGAAATCCAACGTGTGATGGTAATGTTGCGCCCGGTAGGGTTTTATCCACGACCCCGTTTTGATTGAGACGTTAAATCTAGTAGTGCTTCTGTATAAGGTTTAGATTAGGGATAAATAAGTAATACTAGTTTTTATTGAAGAATTTTCAGCAATGAAGGAAGTAGAATTCAATTGGTTCTATTTTTTTGTAAAAATCGAAAATAAATGGAAAAAATTTTCGACTCGGGCAGGACTTGAACCGGCATTGTCAGCTTTCCGTGCTGTTGCTCTACCAATTGAGCTACCGAGTCTATTTTTTGTGTCAAATTTGTCACACGTTGTTCTATAATTGCTGTTATTTCTGCTCATGAAACTTTGTAGGGGTAAACCCAACATACTAAAGCTTATTTCGAACATTATTTCTAGGTATCCCAACTGGAAGGGCAACAGGAGCGTCTGAATTTTGGACTCGTCCGTGTGGTTTATGAGTGGGCACTGGAAAAACCTTTCGCTGAAATTATGGATCTGACTGATGTACAGGAGGGAATTATTGTCAGATGCATACAACAGTTGCATGAAGTAAGTTAACGTATTTTAAATTAAGATAACTATAAACTATGTTATGGAAACAAATACAATGTATGTGGGTAGAATCAGAAATTATCATGGTTTGGATAATGCTGACTTATAGATCTATTTAGATTTTGTGACATATTGACGGCAGATTTTTAAGTTACTATTTAGTAAAAGGTTTCGTGAACCGGTTTAATGAATTTTTAAGAAAATGAGGTTAAATTATTATTGCAGTCAAAATCTAAGTGGGAAATAGGGCCATTATTGTAAGTATAATAACATTTAAATGTACAAAACTTTTTATAGCTCCTAGTGGATGTAAAAGACGCAGCGGTTGCCATCGGTGATCCAAAGCTCCAAGCGAAGATGATGGAAGCCTCTACAGCTATCAAGAGGGATATTGTATTTGCAGCTAGCTTGTACACAACACAGCGAGAAAGTACTAGCTCATAAGGCAAACCTATAAATAAAAATCTTTTGGTATAATATTTTGTCTTTTTCTTATCCCATAATATTTTGGCAAGTATGTTACAGAATCAAACCGAATACACTTATTTAAATTAAAAACAAAAGGCTTACTAATTACTGTCAGTTTTAAAAAAAAAGTTTAATTTAAACGTTTAGCCCTGTGTTGTGTAGTGTGTGACTTCCTAAAATTCAGATACCTATGTAATGTTATGATCAATTAGAAAGCCGTTTTATTTTGTATTTCATATGGGGTGAACGAATTGGGATTTCTTTAAAATATTCATAAGATTATTCAAATGTTAATCATACAAACATGTCGGTAGCCAAATAATAAGAAAATCATAGTAAAAAATTCAGTTTATTATTTTAGACAGTCGCGAGCGCGATTATTATTTTGAAATTGTACCCCTCAATACTTTTTTAATGTTAAATCGGACTGAATTTCAAATAGACATCTGACAGTGACAACTCTGACGTTTCCGTAATTCCAATAGAAAAATTGACAAGTTCACAAAAAAATTTATGTAAAATGGAACGTAAATTCCTGTAGTTCGAGTTATTTTTCTGCCTTATGAAATCGATGACTTGTGTAAATTCAATATTGAATGGTCATTTTACAATATTTTACTGACTAACTTTATTAGACGTTTTGTATATTTTGAACGGGTGGCAATATCAAGACATGTTTTGTGATCATAAGTTACTAAAACACTTGTAAATGTGACTTCTGTTCGTGTAAAATAAAATAATTAGTGAAAATGATTCAAGACGAAGAATTCGAGAAGTTGGTGTTGACGGAGGAGAGGATAAATCTCCTTGGGTTCCGACCACAGAAAGAGATTTTGACGAACCATCTGCTGCCATACGCGAAAGATCTTGATGAGGAATCCAACAGGTTTCTTGCGCAAATTAAGACGAATCTCGCAAAGGCTGTTATGCTTCGTGAGATGAAACCAGCCTGTGGCATGTGGTCTGCAAGATTGATGAGGTAATTTAAACTATTTTCTATTAATCTTTATGGACCCCACATTGCATACTGATTTCTATTACGTCTTTCCTTTTCGTTCTATTCCGATTACAAATTTTATTACATTGATTTAAGGACTTCTGATAAAGTTTGCTAAAATTTTCAAAATTACCAAGACTTAAAAATAGTTTTATATTGTATTGTACCAGTATAAGTGCTCTAGTATACTAGAGAAAATAATATATTATTTATCAAATCATCTCTATAGCCAATAAAGCTACAATATGCATATTAAGTGAATATTGTCTGGGCCCATTAGTATGATATAATTTAGGATTTATTGCACCTGGCTATATGGTTAACCTTTGGCAAACTATCATATGTTTAAAATAGCTGGCCATAACCCAGAACTTCCTTACTATACTATGGTTTAGCTCTGTTTAACTATGCTAAAATGACTATGCATCTAACTCTAGCCATATGTTATATATATACACATATATGTACATTTAATTATGCAACATAATTCCTGCATGTATTTAAATTTCTCATAACACTAAATCTAGGTATTATCAATATATAAGTATTAATAAAAACTATTGTAATGTTGTTGATGATTTATGTAGTTTATTTCTGTGCTACAATAAAATAATACAATAATTTCTTCCAAATTGTATCTGCTCTATTACTGGAGAATTTCTGTGTCTAATACATTGATGTATCCATTCAACTTATGCCCTGTTTGCCAAATATATATCTTATCAGTTTTCAATAAAACAAGGTTACATTAAAGCTAAAATATATTCCTGGATTGAAACATGCACAGTTTTACCAAATTATTTTTCCAGGTATATCAAAATATATGGTCTGAAGTTTGGTAAAGAAGATCACATTTCCTTCATAAAGCTGGTGTATGAACTAGTTTTGATCCCGGATTTGGAACCATGCAAAGTTCAAAAGTTTGCGACACTTTTCATCATGTTGACAAAGTAAGAGCTACAATGTAACTAGAATATATTTACAATTTATTTTATTAGAATGATGTATTTTAGTTTTTTTGTAGAAAGTTATTAATTTATTACAATGTAATAAAGTAATGAATTATATTTTTTTCATATGAAATGGTCGCTATATTACAATTTTTTTAAAGTATTTGTTAAATTAGTAAGTTTCATTAATTATATTACAAATTTGTTATTTTTTTATTACAGAGACAGTTATTTGATATCGCCGGAGGAATTGACGTTACCATGGAGACCACTCTACGACGCGGGAAAACGATTATTTGACAAGAATTCAAGTAATACTGGAATGTTTCACTATTACATGTATGTATTTAAAAAACAAAACAGTTTTTGGATTTATAATGGGTATTATGTAGAACTTAGTTGTGGGTTTTATTTTATTAGTTTAAAAGGAGATGCAACAGTTTCAAATTTATTATATATTATTTTTTATTTGAACTCTATTTGAAAGTAATGTTGGGTCTTATTTTATGCATAGTTTTATTATCTTAATGTTTGTAATTCAAGTGATAAATAAATTAAGTGAAATTTAAGTTTAGGTAAAAAATGTAATAGACGCTTAAAAGGTAATATTCTGTTCAGGCCCAAACAATCTGACGGCCAAACTTCCATGCTGGATATGGTACGCAAGTTCATATGTGGTAATGGTCTAGACGACGCCCTTGCCTTGATCGGCTTTGGTGCACCGAGCGAGACCGAACTTCCCATGTAATAGCTTAGATTTATGGTGGCTTTTAGGTGAAAGGGTTGAGGTTTTGTCATCTAAATCATCAAAGGGACTCTTGAACACTTGAACTACAATCAATTCCAGGTTCTTATTGATCTAAAGAAAGTTGTGTGTTTACGAACGAAATTTAATGGTTTAAAACGCGGTGTTCTATGTACTGTAATATATTTATGGGTGTAGCCGTTGTACAGGGTAAAAAAACGGTAAGGATCCGTAAGGACCTTTGGGGTATGACATTATATCTCATCAATTTTGATAAGATGGACGCGATCTGCCGCACCAAATCTCTTTACTAAAATAACTAACTTTTAAATAATATATTGAATTTTAAAACGTTAAATTTCGTTTCTTTTATCCTGTAATACTCGCGTCAAAGTACGGTCTCATACTCATCATGTTTTGCATGAGGATAAAGGTACAAAATCGAAGGGGCTTCATGTTAATTCAGGGCACTATCTTAAATCAGGGATGGGCAAATGTTTATCAACATTGTCAAAAAGAAATAAATTTTACTAAAAAGGTATTTTATTGTTATTCTTCGTTGATCTGTTTGCTGAATGCCCATGACTGATATTTAAATGGTACTGCGTTTTTAAAACTTGTTTAACGGTTTTGTTAACTTAATTATTTTCTTTTAGGTCTTTAGAAGCCACCTACATGTCAATGGTGAAGAACGCGAGACCGTAAGTATTTCTTTCACTATATGGGTACACAAAATTTGCCTTAGTATTACCATGCGCCGAAGTTAACACACATCTGAAATATATAGTTGAGGCGTTTGTTTGTTTGCTAATCTCAGAAACTACTGGTGCGAATTGGGAAATTATTCATCCTTGCGGGTTTCCTTCGCGAAAAATATGTATTAAGGAATGATTTCCTTTTAAATTATGTATCTTTTAAGATTAACTTGTAAGAACGACGGGGCGCGAAAGACATCGTGGGTAATAGCTTAAATTTATAGAGTTGGACAGGCGGTTCAACTCTACTGTACTATATTAAAACGAGCAAAGTAAAAAACTACATGCGATTTTCTCGATCATCCATCAGGAATATACATATTAGCAGGGCAAATGTAACTTTGTCATTTACATTGAGTAGAGATTGTCTTTATTCAAGATACAACAGTGAAAGGAGAAATCCCTTCGTTACAGATATTTTGAAATAACCGCTACAAAAGAGATGCTAGAGAAATTTCTGCCTTATGTTGCACCATGGCCTACGGACTCCCAGTTTGGTGGACCGTTGAGATTTCTCCCCGTGGGTCTGCAGCCGAAATATGCAGCGCAAGGGCATGAACTGTGGTTTGATGAGCTGATGACGTTGTGGGATACATGCTATAACTCACAAGGCGGAGATCCAGTAAGATTTGAGCAAATTTTGCAGACAAAGCTAATTATAATTGTTATAGTGACTAGAATTAGTGCTGCTATTAAAATGGCATTTGGTGCCCTACGTATTTATATTTTGGGAGACATCATTACATTAATTAGTTTTGATGGATTAAAACTGGGTCCTCGAGGCTGCTAAGTCAATTCAATTATATCTTAAATAAAATGTGTATTTTTTGTACTATAAGGCACAAGCCATTTAACATTTTAACAGAAACGGGGCTCGGGGCACGAAGCGATTAATTGGGTCAGAATGTATTAAAATAATAACCCTATCAATAGGATCTGCTGGTGTTATTTGCAAACTTGGCTAAAAAAAACCCTGGCGCCGTGGATTGGACTCCGCACGTGTCCAAAATGTTTATGAGGTTTCTTCATGCTCTAAACCTGCCTGTTTCCTATAAGGATGTGCAGCATTGCAGGCATCTGTCATTAGGTAATCCTTAGCAAAGCAATGTTATCGCTCTTTATATGTTTGTATGAACTGACAACAAAACTGATCATATTTTACATTCTGAGCTAACCGAACTAATAATATCTCCAAATATTATTGGAAATAAACACTAAAGTAAAATACAAACGAAAGCCAATAGTGATGTATGTCTAATAAAACTTACGTTAGAAAATCCTATAATAGATTTACATAATCACATGATTCTTCCATGTATCTTAATCTTAAGAGTCAATTTTACCGATAAAAATTAACAACGGTTAAGATAACCCGACCTTTAAAGTGAAGGTTTATATGCGATGTTAAATAATTATTTCTTGGTGTAATTGAGTCTTCAGTAACCCATTAAATAACAAATGTTATTATTTTTTTCCAGGGAATGCGGGCATGTTTAATACTAAAGATCCCACCCTTCTCTTACTTTCTTTAAATACCATGGTGGAAGGTGAGTTTTTTTCGAGCAGTATTGGAAAACTCTAAGAATTAAAAAAAAAAGAAATTGAAAATGTTCAATGAATGATAAAAATAATTTTTGTTGTGCAGAAATTACTTCGAGTTAGAATTTTCCTATTATATATTCCTGCTCGATAAAAATACTCACCACGTAGTTGAGAAACAGTAAAATCAGTTAACAGTTAGGTATATTGTCGACATAATTACTCATGTTAGCCACTTTTTAGATATGAAGCATGTCGCCTCGTGGATTGTGTGGACTATAAATCCGGATGGTTTAGTCCTAAAACATTTACGATCCTTCCTAGCGGGGGTTGAGAGTTATCTCCACAGTGCAAACTCTGGCCGCTGGTCATTCAAACTGAGGGATCTCCTCCGTAAGCTGGCAAGGGAATTTCTGAAGAGGTATACTTCTATATTATAATCCATCAAATTGTAAATTTGTTTCTTTTCTACCTACTGTATTTTTATTATATGAAATACTTTCAAGGGTCCGCAAAGAACGCGAAAAGAAATACCTAGACAGCTGGGAAAACAACACACCCGAAGGGTATAAATTACGCGAAGAAGATATTACAGAGTTCGTTATGATTGTTCTGGAGCCCACATTTCAGGCTGTTTATAGCCGAAATGGCTCCCTCGATATATCGATTGCGCTGCAAAACCTCGCAACTCTACGACCAGCTATTGTCATTCCTCCTCTTCTTGAGAAGCTTAGGACTTCTCTCACATCTCTAACAGAGCCTCATAGGGTAACCGCCGCAATGTCAGCTGTGGCAGCGGTGGCGAGACCAATGGTACGCGGAGCGGACGCCGGCTACCCAGAAGGCCCTACCCACGTCGTACCTCTCCTTATGGCAGTTATACCCGGCCTAGACCCAAACGACATTAAAAAGACCATTGTCACCCTACACTTCATCCTCATGTTCAGTACGATGGTGCCATACATAGACTGCAGCTCCGCCCATGAATATTGGCCGGATTTGACCGAAGAGGAACTTTTGACATGCGAACTGACCGCCCAGTTCGAAGACTTCATTTTGCTGCTGCTAGACAAGCTTTTTACTATCATCGAGTCAAGTGTGCAAGAAAACGTGCGTTTGGAAACCAAGGACTCGGACGGGATGAAGAGCAAGACGGATGCCGTAATGGAAACGGCTATATCGATGGCGGTTTCAACTGTTCTAATGCAGTGCTCCCCTAAAATCTTTACTGAAGCCCTAAGAAAGTTTAAAGCGTTCGCGACTGAGACGACGTATGAAGCAAACGTCTCAGGTAGTATGATCGGTGTTCTTTTGAGGGTGTTCGCCAAAATAAATCCCGAAGCCACTCTTGCTGCATTCCTACCGCAACTTTGTGAGGAATTGCAGGAACTTCTAGCCACAGATGAAGCACTGCATGAGGAAAACCCGCCAAGAGACGTCGTCTATAGATTGGTGTTGTTAATGGAGGTCGTAACCGCCAACGGTACGGTGCTCTTGAGGTATATAGATCGAGTACTACCGGTTCTCGATCGTGCGCTTAAGTTGCACTCAAATTACGCGTTATGCCGGGCGTGCGAAGTTTTGGGTAATACTCTTCTCTCGCTATCCGCGATCGAATTGAAGGACTCGAAGTGCTCTTCTAAAGATTACGGGAGCGCTCCAGAAAAGTGGTTGCCGGTAAGAGAGTGGGGTAGTGGGTGTTTGTTAACGGAGGCGGAGTTTAAATGGCACGTGCCTAGTGAGGAGGAGGCGGCGTGTGCGCAAATGTTGGTTGACAGATATATTAATCCCGAAGTGGCTCGCTTGAAGCTCTGGCTTGGCAACGAACGGCCTATGTGCCGCGAGAGAAGACTGCGCAGCTTTTATATTCTCAATTCCATGTTTACCTGTACCAAGTTTCTGCCACCGCCCGATGAGGAACCTGTATTGCTGTAAGTATTTGAACAATCTTATTATGCTTGTGTGCGTGTGTGTGTGTATTATATTTTTATGTACCTTTTCCTTTTACTCTTTTTTTAAGCCTGGATTCACAAGTGCCAGCAACAAATGTACCATTCACGAATGGTGTTAAGCATACAGTGTTGCTGAATGGTGAAAATGTGAGAGTAGCCATGACGCGTTTACTCCTTCAAATTCAAAGTCGTATGCTGGCTGATAAGACGGATGACACGCGCGGATTAGAATTACTGATACAGGTTAGTAAGTTAGTAAAAAAGGACGGTCGAGAATGACCATATTTAATACACTTTATTTCCCTGTTCCCATTTTAATTTAAAATTATGTTTGTCCAGATTTGAATCCAGCACCAGGGTTGTTGAACTATGTAAGGGAATAATCAAAATTATTGTTTCTAGATTGAGCCAACAAGAAGAAATTGCCGTTTTTCTAAAATTTACCTTCCATTTCAGCTTTATTACTTTTACCTACACAACACAATTTCATTAATTTATATCGCTTGAAACGTCATTTTCATTTGTACACGATTGGTGGTCGTGGGTTGAGGTGTCGTTCTGTAGTTTGCGCGAGTAGTACACATTTAAATAAAACACTTCAACTGGTAAACTTATTTGGAAATCATTTAAAATACGTTCCCACGTTTCGGATGCTATGCAGCAGCCGTGGTGACGGGGAGTCGCGTTTTAAACCGTTAAAGAGCTGTGTTTAAATAATAATACTATTGTCAACTACGAGAACTAGTAATACGTTTGTTTTTATTTATCCTAGCTTTGGGAGCGCGTTACAATAATGAAAACCTTACGGAACGGGCCGGGACTAGAAGCGAAAATACGTTCTCATAACGCACTAGAACGCGCATTAGATGGAGGCAGCGGCGTTGGCAGGAGCGTTTGTAAAGTGGATGGGGCAAGGCTTCGAATGGTATCCGCGCAGGCAGCTAAACTCCAAGAGGAGGCTCGACTAGCATTGGTTTGCAATGCTGGTATTGTTCCGTCGGCGCTAGACGGCCTCAAGGCGTTGTATGACCTTTCTGTCAACGTGTACACTTCAGTGAGTATTTCAGAGATTGCCAAACAACTTATTATTTATATCTACACTAACTATGCCCATCCGTCCATGAGGAATAATTATTTTGGACGTCATGTTATTTGTTTTTGCGAACAACCTCAGTTTTATAAAATATAGCTGATTGTCACGTAGTTGTACGCGTCCCGTCGTTATTTCGAGTTAATCTTAAAAGATAGACATGTGCTATATTTTCCATACATCTTTTTTGGTCTCTCGAGCCGGAAATGGCGCAACGAAAACCCTCAAAGCTGAATATTTCTTGTTATGTTTACATTTTCCACTGATTTTCCGATCTCATTAGTTGCAGCGTGATTTATTTTTATTTATTTATTTATGTGATATTATATAGGCTAAAGGCTTCCTCGTTAAATGAAAATCCAACGCAAAAATATTTTTTTCAATTCGACCCAGTAGTTCCTGAGATAGCGCGTTCAAGCAAACCCTTCATCTTTATAGTATTAATATAGATTCCATATTGTACAGATTCGTATACTCGCTCAAGTCCGTCTGTACTGGATGCTTGGTAATTACCCGTACTCTTATCGCGCACTTGTCCCTAAACTGGTGGAACTCCTGGGCTCTGTTGGAGACGGGGATGAGGGCCACGCGAAACATAAAGGTGCTCTGTGCATACTCCTGGCACCGAAAATGACGCCCCTTATCGCTAAGCAGGATTGGGAAGTGATACGCGTCATGTGGCCTGCAATATTAAAAGCGCCACTTAGTGAAAAACCTAGTATACACAGGTATGTATGTACTGAATATAAGTAATTTCACTGTCTCCTTGCAATATAGCTATTAGTATATACAATTGTCCTGTTACAGTGTTTGTGCGCGAACTCCCCTAAAGAACCGAACCGATTCAATGAAATTTTGCATAGACATTCTCTTGGTCGAACAATAGATTTTTTTGCCTCTTTCACTTATACACCAAATTCTCAGATACACACAATAATTTATAATAATTATTAAAATTGAGACATAATTTATATAAAAAATGTGTGGCGGATTAGCGAGTATATATATATTATATCGTTTAAAAAAAAGCGAAAGCCCGTTTCCCCCTCGTGGGGCATGGGGCGAACACATTTCTGTGTCCGTTGCACAGATCCGTTCTTTTAACGGGCAAGTAGTTGATCAGACTTCTGTGCCCTGCCTCACCGAAACAATTTTATGCTTCCCTGGGATGCGAACCCAGGACCTCTCTAGCTTAACGCAATGCTAGGCAATACGTTTAACCATTTGACCTACAGAGGCGGTAATGAATGAACTAATTTGAATAAAATTCATAAGACAATGTTTATTTCTAAAATAATTTACATGCTATTTAATCTTTGTCATTTCAATCAAAGTATTCACTATATTGTAATTTATTTTCAGACTAGAACAAGCCTTCAGTGACGTCATACATCGCCACTTCCCGGCAACGAACACCCGACTGGCGATGACGGATAAATCTGTGGACGCAGCGAGAAGTTTGCTCACTGACGAGGAGCTAAATGATCCAATATTCGTTCAGCAATTGGCGAAGGCGAAGGAATATGAAGAAAGTACTTCAGATAGATTTGAAAAGCTCTATCTGGAATTGATAGACGAATTGGTGGATATAGCTGAGTCGTCTAGTGTGTAAGTTGTGTTGTGTAGATTATATATATATATATAGGCTAATTAAAACTAAGATGACACATCGACGCACGTTTTTAAATAAAACTTTTGACGGTTTAAAACGCGAAATGTATTAATTTACAAGTCATGGGGAGACGTCTCACGTCTGCTGCAAAGCAATGACGGGCCGTAGTAGTAATTTGTATTGTTTTACTAATACATTTTGTGTATAAATCCGCTAAACGTGTTTCATTTAAAATTTACCTAATATTGCATCCGAAACAACAATTTCCAGAGCTTTCAGTGGTGTTTATTTCCATACCTTTTTCAGCCAATGGCGGCGTCTAGAACTGGTCATGCAAATGTTATTCTCCTGTCCATCTCTTCAAACCCAGTACCCTCCGCGCGCAGTGAAGCTATTCGCTAAAGGATTACTACACGAAAATATTGGCGTAAGACGGATAGCCCAGAAACTAATCCACTACGCGCTCAAACAACGTAAACGGAAGTTAAAAAAAATCGAAGTCGATCCATACGAAGTGGCCGGTGTCACTAAACCGGAAAAACATATACCGGGTAAGATAATCAATTAATAAACTTAGAAAATAACTATTGTTTACCGTATATTCGGAAATCTACAGACTGAAACCTCACACGACACGTGATTCGTGATTAAATTTCACGGTTTTTTCGTGACCCGAACGAACTTTAGAAATTCTTACCGCCCATTTATTATGGTTGAGAGAAATAAGTAAAGTCCTCAAGTACAACGATAGTTACTTCATATTATATTATTATTGTAGGTTACAGGAATGATTTAGAGTGGGCAACGTGGTCGAAAGATAAGGAACTAAAAACGGACGAGGATTGGGATAGACCATGGTTACGGAATTACACAACTGGATTTTACGCTTGGCCTAAGAAATTAGAGGTGCGTTGTATTTCTTAGGAATTAATTATCTGTGCAAGTAATGAATCCAAATAATATTTGGACAGGATTCATACAAAATACGTTGTATATACATAATTTTATTTAAATGTAATCTTAATTTTATATTAAACTTGTTACCTTCCACCTTTTACAAACCAGGTAGCAGCACCTCTGAAAGAACAGAACTTCGCTTGGGACACGAGCCCCGAAGACATGGAGGAAGGCGAAAGATATATTTACGAGTTCTTTAGCGACGAAGGGAATATCAACAAGCTCATTAATTTTTTGACGGTGGAAGAGAAAAAAGGAAAGGACAAGTTCAATGGAACGCGCACAACCATGTTTAGGGTTAGTACATCTTATATTGAAGACAATTAATGTACGTAGTCTAATACGTAGAGACTGTAACAAAACCAATTTTTTAAGTGACTTTGCGATTATATATTCCGTTTATTAAAAAATGTACAGTCAAAGCTACTATTCAATTAAGTATGAAAAAATTTAAATATCATACAATTTAAATTCTGTCTGTAGTTTACGCGAGTAGTACACATTGAAATAAAACACTTTAACGGTTTAAAACGCGATATATATTAGTTAAACTTATTTCACAATTATTAACCGTTAAAGTGTTTTATTTAAATTTCATATAAGTTGTCAAACATACGATCTTAAAAAAAGTTAATAGGACCATGATTTTTCAAAGGTAACCATTTTTTTTTTTGTTTGATATAGCTAGTTTGTTCATGTGAAGTGACTAAATAAACGTGTACAACATTATAGATGCTATTCGCGCATTACGGCCTACGCATTACGAATAAACTGATGGAGCATGCGATTTCGTGCGCGGGCAGCTCGGAGGAGTCCAAGCAGCGCTTTGCTGCTGAAATCGGGTGCGCAGCTTTACGAGCGCCACGTTATTGGAGACGTGAGGACGCGCTGGCGATACAGCGGGACGCAGTTAAAATTTTTACAGCGGGTATGTGTATTAATAACCGCCGTTAAACATTGCGTTAAGCACGAGAGAAACAATACTTTTAATAAGCTACTGTTAGAGGTTGAGATTACGTTGCGCGAGAGTTGCATGTATCAATAGGTTTTTTGTTTTCAGGATTAACCGCAGTGATCCCAGAAACACAAGAGGATTGGGGTACAGCTGTGGCAACGGCCGCCGACAAAATGGATCCCGTGCGCAACAGTGAGGTGCTTCGTGCTCTCCTACAACTTTGTTCGCCATCGCCATCTACCGGCGACACAACACCTGATAAAGAGACGTCATTCGTCGCTAGCGCAAGGCTGTACGCATTTCAGGTATATACGTTCAAAATTTTTTGTACAGTTCAGTAGTTTCTAAATTGACGAAAACATTAATAATCTTAGTATGCCTAATTCCACCTTATAATTTATAGCAGTATAACAATCCACTGGCTTGAAGGACCAAAAACAAAAGATTTTTCAGATTTTCAAATTCAATTCTGTATTTGTAGGGTGCCGTAACGACTTTGTCATGGCGCGCTGCTCCCTTAGCTGGTGAATTACTGGAGCGCTTAGAAGCAGCCAATTTTATTCAGCATCCTTTTGAGAACGTGCGAGCGACCGTTGGAAGGTAGTCAGCTACGATATAATTATAATTATAGTTTGTATTTCGTCGTGGTTTGAACAGCTGATATTTTATACAATCACGTCACGATAGGACTTAAGATGAAATTAGTTTTTTTCTTTTTCAGTTTATTGATGACAATATTCAACTTGGAGGTGGTGTTCCCTGGAGGCGAGAACTCGTGTATGGCACCAAGGCTCAAGGATTTCTTGTCTGTCGTAAAACCAAGATTGGCCGCCCTATACGATGAAAAAGGAGATATTGGTTAGTGTAACTGAAGCAATGTGTTTTAGATTAATTTGAGAGTTGTTATAAACCCATAACTAGTTCCGTGTTCTTGCTTCTAAAAATTTAATGTACATAATTTGAGAAAAAATATTCCAGTGATAAAATCAACAGCTACAAGACCCTTGGAACCCTGCAGCACTTCTGCTCAAAGTGGGCCGCGGCCAAGCTACACACTGATGCAGCAAATTCGCACACTTGTTCAGGCACATATGGAAAATTCGCATATGGATCATGCGCACACGCAGGTATTTCACTTTGTGAGAAGATAAACGAAAAAATTAAAATACGAGTACTAGAAGTTTCCTAGTGTATTTGCATTCATCTGAATAAAAAATAAATCAGCAAACACTAGATCGGCCGATAGATGCATCCATTATATAATTTAGCAAATTTTAATCAAGTTAATCAAGATTCAAACTCTGTCGTGTTTAGGTGGGACCGGCCGACGGACACGAAAGTGAAGTTCAAGGGGAAATGGAGGCGGAATCTCTAATCGAAAAGGAACGTTTACCCGAACGTCTTGAGAGTATGCTACAGTTGGCCGGCGATTCGACGACATCTGCGCACGCGCATCATGAACACGCCGTCCACCTACTGACAACAGGTATTTCAATATAGAGCGATAATAGACATAATTTATTTTCTTTGCATTAATTACCAAACTAGGTAGCTATTTGTTTATTTTTATAATATATTTTCTTTGTGATCAGTGTTAACTGGATGTACGGGCGTAACGATACGAGGCATTAACAGCAACATGGAGACTCAATTCGAGTTAGTCCCGATAGCGTGTGCGCTGGCCTCTCGAGGCACCACCCAACCACACGAAGAACTACCTCGCGCTGCCAGCGGCTTTCTTGGGTCGCTGGCTCAGGCGCATTATAGCGGCGCAGCATTTGATTGCATGCTTCGGATGCTAGAAGACATGGCCAACGGCAAATCGTGGTGGGCGCGGCTTGCCTGCCTCGACTTTGCCTTGCCCCTGCTGTTCTATGGGCTGCCGATGCTGTGTGAACGACCTGAGAGAGCGGTCAGAGCAGAGAACTTTACAATGAAGCTTATGAAAGATACGAGGGTTGAGGTATGTTTTAAAGAGGTTAATTTAAATATAGGATACTTATTGACAACAGAATATTGAGAGCAAGGCGGATAATATAAACACAATTTATTTTCGTTTTCCCTGTTTTCTTTATTAAAGTATGTACAATCGAACATTCTATGCATTTTCATAATTGTAAATAGGTCCGACAATCCGCCGCGAAGTTACTTACGGGTCTGATGCACTGCCGCGCTCTACTCGACGAGGAAAAAACACTTCGAACCCTTATCCGAAGCTGTCATTCCAAACAACTAGACGAACGTCACTGCGGCGTTCTTGGCCTGTGCGCCTATTTATCATCGCGGCCGTACAGCCTCGGGCCGAAATTAGGTGACGTGTTGACAGAATTGGCACGTCACACGAACGCGCCAGATCCTATACCAGCCACCATACGCACAGCCCTAGCTGACTTTAGACGCACGCACCAAGACGACTGGCCCAAACACAGGGACCAGCTTACAGAAGAGGAACTCGACCTGCTCGCTGATCTAACTTCTCCGCCCACTTATTGCGCTTAATTTTAGCAATTATTTCTTGGGAAAGTCAATCAACTTGCGAATATGTAAAGGAAGTTGAAGAGCCGTTTTTACCATGGTTTGTGACGAAATGTATAGATGGCGCCTCACAGGGTTTGGTTACTAATTTAATTTTCGCATACTGACGAGCGATTTTCTGGTGATTTGTGCATTAATAAATATAAACTGTACATATAATAAAGGTTCTATTGCGAAACAACAAGTTTAAGTTATTGAGATCCAACTGTATATTATCGTAAAAATAAATTACGAACCTTACTTAATGGTACTTTCTGTATTTGTATGACATGTATCAGACAGGTATCGTTTGGAGTTGGCATTCGTTTTTGGTATCGAAATTTGGTGTTGGGACTCACGGGGTATATTGCCATGGGTTTTATGATAGTGAAAATTAATAATTATATTCTCATAATGATTCCAACAGTTACGCTAAATAGAATCTTGGTAATTTTAATATTCCAATTGTTAAAAGTAATGAAAGCAAAAATGTAAGCTTACTGCAAGTTTTCTATTTCTAACTTTTGGACATTCTCAACATATGCGAGAACTAGATATGCGGTTGCTGTTCTTATAGAAAAATATAGCACATCACTGATTCTGTTATAGGAAAAAAAGTAACGATGAATATGTATCTATGTATATATACAATATTCTTAAGCTTACAGTTAGCCCATAGCCAAACACTACTGTTTTTATAAATCAAAAAAAAATATATTTTGCTATAAAATCATTTTTTTATACTGACAAGGGCAAATAATTATTTTAAGAGGTTTTTTTTTTGGAAAAGAAAATATTTTATTTTACTTAAATATTTTTCTATATTAATGTTAACAATAATTTCAGTACAATGTCAAAGTCACAAGTTAAGTTCAGATTGTAAAAAATACACATATATTTCTTGGATTGTGTTATAGTTGATTTTGTAAAATTAAAATATTTAAAGCATTGTGTAATTATTGTTGTGTTTACCCTTCCCTGTTTTATGTTAAAGACAATAAATATAAAATAAATGTACACTTATATAATTTATTTGAGATAATGTTTGTCCATGATATTACGACAATGCAAAAATAATTGAGGAAACCCAATATTTGTTGCTCCCCGAAGAATAATAACTACATGATATTACCTTCTATCTTCCACATCTGAAAAAGAGAAAAGTGTTTTAAAAACAACATACTCTTGAAGTATTCATATCACATCATATAGCACACAACAATTCTATGGTATTTTTTTTCAATTCCACTAATATGGAACATCCTTACTTCAACAAAATTTCATAAAATAGAATATGTAGAATCTTTATTATAAGTATGTATTTACTTAATGATTAGCCTTAGAAGCTCAGTGGTTAAAAATGTTGCCTAGCCAGGGACTTTTATGAATACTGCATATTCATAAAAGTCCCTGGGTCTCCCAGGGCACAGAAGTTAATTTTTATAAATAAAATTAATTTATGAAATGGATACAGAAATACTATCACCTTATGCCTAACAGGGCCAACATAATTCTACTTTTAATACATTATAAGGGATTTTACAATCTGGGGAAAATAACCATTTGTAGTAACAGGAACAATTACTCACTTTTGCCATCACAAGCCACTATCTTAACTTTATCCACTTTAGCTACCTCTTGAACTTCTCTGAATTCCACATCATTTAACATAAAAGTCCAAACATTGTCACAGAATCTAAAAAATAAGAAATACATTACTTCTTTTTTTTTTAAATACTGGTCATATATTAATTGAAATAACATGGCATAGAAAAACTACAACCGCCTCTGTAGCAATATGGTTATGTGTTACCCAGCACTGCGTTAAGAGCGAGAGGTTTGAGTTTGAATTCACGGGAAACAATGAATTCTTTTTGTTAGGAAAGGCACAGAAGGGTCAACCACTTGCTTGATTGATCTGTGGGATGGGCATGGAGAAAAGCGTTCACCCCATGCCTCACGAAGGGAAACGGGTTTCAATTATTAATACATTACCTATAAGTGTTTAATTTCCCAGCCTTGAAGGTCAGCCTAGATTTCACCCTGTTGGATAGTGCTTGATTGATAGACTTATCAAATTGTAATAATACTTTCACAGCCAATGTGGGTGTTATTTGACCATACTGAAAAATAAATACCAATGTTATGCATGAAATAGTAATATTAAAGAAAAAACCTTCAGCATTTTAATCAGGACATACTTGTATCAATTCATCTAGACTTTCTTGTAATGTATTTCCGATTGTAGTATTTCTGTATAGTTGATATGACATAACTAAAGCAATATAATCTCTAATATAAAAAGGAACAAAGTAACTTCACAGTATCTCGCAGAAATTAAATTATAAAAACACAAATAACATCACTTATTAACTGAATGACCTTTTTAGACATGAAATCAGAAATGAAGTTGACAACTTGTCAAATTCGTTGACATGACATGATTATAGATAATACGAATTATTACAGATTACTTATACGCAAGCATTTACACGTAGTTTTCATTCAAAATAATTCTTTAAAGAAGCGATTAATATCGATGGAGTAGCTAAAAATTATAAACGTACCATATTTAATACAATATTCCACTACAGACGTAGTATTGCAATTAAAAAAACACAATGACTGCACATTATGTAGATTTGGTCTTTATAGATCGATAATTTTGTACAGAATTCATACCAAATCATATTTTAAAAAAAATAGTATAGTAATTTATATTAAAAAAGGTAAAGTATAGTAATTTAATAGATAACAATGATGCTTATTATATAATTTGAAATTAATCAAATTTAAACGTTGAAGAGTTAAGACTTCTTGTTCATTTTAGGTAAAGTATATAATAAGAAAAAAGGCAGCCTAGTGTTTACAGAAGTAGCAAACGCCAAGTTGTGATTGAGTATGTGAGTGCTAATGATATCTCTAATTAACACAGATTACTATTGTATTACAATATTTTAGCTTAGGTATATATTTAGTCAATTATATGATAATAAGGCATATTTAAAACCTTAACTATGTTTAATTTTTTAAGTATGTTATTCGCACCATGAGAATCTCATGACTACTACGGATAACTTCCCAGACCATACAATTCGTCAACTTGTTGTTAAGGCATATTATATTAATAGGTATGTATAAAGCCTAATTCTAATTAATGTACATATTTGAACCTTGCAAAATTGTTAAACACATGTTGATTTAGTCTACTATACCTAGTAGGAAGGACAAGGAGTTACGAGTGGGTATATAGGTAAGTGTTGTGTAAAGGAAAGTAATAAATTTGTAAGTATTACATAAAATATACACAATAAACAAACACATGAGACAATACTTTACAATATAATGTCATGGTGTGATACAACTTCTAAGCGCCCTGATGAGATTGGTGGGAACTTTAAGTTCTTCAAACCAACATCATTTATAGTTCCTACGCCCGTCCGAGGCGCAAGTCTTCGAGAGTTTTTGCGCGAAACAAAAAAATATGACGAAATTGTGGACTTGTGTGATTGTTCTGTTAGTAAATCATGTTCTCAGTGAAACAGATGAAGGCGGCACGGTATGGCTTTTCTATTAAACAAATGAAAGCTCCGATCTTGCTATTATAAATAATATTGAGGATAGAGGATATTTTATTCCCAATATATAACCAAGTTTTTTTAAACTAAGTTGGCAAATTCAAAAAATTAGGATAGTAGATTTGTTATCCCACTTATTCTTTAAATAGCACATAGGAGTAATTATTGTGTTATACATATAAACAAGTCGTGAACTGGTCGTAATTTGGACGAACTTTCCTTATAGCTAAGCTAATCCAGTAAGTTGTAGAGATCTGTATAGATATATTATTATAAATATTTCTTTAAATTAGTTATCACTTATTCATTTATATGTACTTATAAGTAGGAAGATTCATAGTTGTATAATATATTTTTGTACTGTCATAGTTACTTAAGTCTGAAATACTTAATTACGCATAATTTTTAGTTATATATGAACTTAATGTAATGTTGTACGAATTAAATAAACAAATAAATAGATCTATGTTTACAAATATACCTTTTAAAAAATATGTAAAATGAGTAATATAGGCCTTAGCAATATAAAACAAAAACAAAGAGCTTTAGTGCAATTACCTGTGCAATCAATAAATTACCGTAAAATAGAATTGTTACGGATATAAAATAATATCAACGCAGTCAACAAGAAATATACATGTTTCCGTATTTCTTATTATCTCTAAACTCTTATTATTATTGTACAGATACAGTCGAGAACCTAAGTATTGTAAAGAAAGTTGTATTATGTACGAGTACGCTGTATGAGAATAGCTTTGCAACCGGATAACGTATTTCCAAGTTTGTAGATAGATCTTAATCTACGTAGTTAACAGCTTTGAGTTAGATACTGGAAAATGTATGCTCTATAATTGTATATAATTTTATTCATGAACATTAACAAAGATAAATAAATGAAACACATTAAACGGTTTAAAACGAAACATCTTAGTCGGCTTGGTGCAAGAAAAAAGTGTGTCTTAGTTATTTAATTAAACAAATAGCAAAAATACGTTTTTTAACGTGTTGATTTTAATTTTATTATCACAAAATATTGAAGAAAGTTTAATAACATTTTAGTACTCCTTTAAGATAGAAGACCACAGGCCAGCAGCCTGGTGTTTACTTGATGGAAGGGGAAGTACCCCAGCTATATAAACTCTCGCCACGATGAGAGATTCACCTGGTTTTGGTTTGGATATTAGAAATAGGCCTAACTACTCTGTGACTTATTTTTTCTTTAGTCATACATAGGGCGCCATTATTTTTAAATATTTAATACTAACTAGCAGTTAATAGTTATAACGATACGGTTTAGGTACGTCAACCAGCTCAATGAAACCCCATTTCTCATATTAAATAGAGCAGACATTTTGCTTCCATTTCACTGGACGATTTTACTAATAAATAAACATTGGACTATATTTATTGTACAACATTTTTCCGTCATTTGAGCCCAGCTGCAAGTCATGGAGGTTAGTAATAAATATGTTGGTTCAAAAATGCAACAAATCTCGTCTATATATGTAGTAAGGCATACCTTATATGTTGTACAGTCAACTTGTTGAACAGGAAATTATATCACTACACCTCTCGATAATAATTCATTTTTTGTCCACCATAAACGTGTTTAAGGGCTTTGTTCGTGTTCAAAACTGTATCATTCATTTCTTAGTAATAATTCTAGTTTGAGATTTCTTTAGGATAACAGGATGTTATATAAATATTAACGACGAACTTAAACTGTTATAAATATAATCACCAGTAAAAGTCCTACAAACTCTCTCAGTAAAAAAAAACACATTCCATCTATACTTCTATACTAATATATCAAACTGAAGAGTCTGTTTGTTTAAACATTAACAAATTAAAATTCTTTTTGTATTCTTTAGAGCGCTTATCGAGGAAGGCTAAAAGTTATAAAACATCGCGCAGTAACTACGAAGAAACGGGAAAATGTGGAAAAAACGGGGACAATCTTTGTAGGTTTCACATGCGTACGCTGCAAAAACGGTTCAAAATAATCAAAAAATATGTATGAAAGAATAATTCCTCTTTAAATGATCTAAAACAATGTCCTGAACACTATATGTCTATCTTTTAAGATTAACTTGCAATAACGTCTGGACGTGACCGACATAGTGGGCCTAAATCTATAAAGATGAAGGAGGTTTGAAAAACAAATTTGAATACAGTGTCAAAATAACTATTCTTCGCGGACGAAGTCGCTGGCACAGCTAGTGTTCGATACAAGTAGGACAGTCGTAATTTTTCTTTCGTATATTTACAAAAAAGTCAGAGTCCATCAGTTAATTATACATTAATTTCCATGACATAATGAAGATTAAGCAAGGGCCACAATTTTGTACACAATAAAACAGGTTCATAAATATTGATAGAACTTATTAAATTACAGCCTTAACGACCACCAAAGATGCACCATTGAATATTGGTGTCACGGTCGGAACATCGTTGATGCAGTTAATCTCCATAATTGAGCTTAACATGGGAAAATATATGGCCAATACGATTCAAGTGTAATCTGGCACATGAAACAAGATGAATCTCTTTATTGGTCTCTTTATCGCAGCGCAATATTATTATGACTGTATACATATTTTTTATGATATATGAGAGAAGCTTGGTGTTCACTCGATGGTACGCTGTCGCCCTATTTTGGCTTTAGATATTCGGAAATCCACTGACACTGAAACCCAAACGCGATTAAACTTCACGGCTTTTTCACGGTGGTTCTCCAGACGAAATATAAAAAAATATAAATTTATTAGAAACATGTTGGGCCTGGTGGAAATCGAACCACTCTCCGTTGATTAACAGCCATACAATGCTACCATTAAACCCACGAGCCCGTCAAACGATATCACGATATAATATAGTATTGTTTGTAATTATGTATTCCTCTTGACTTTGCAACAAACAAACTAAACACATAAGTAAATATCCAAAACAGCTAACTTGTATTGTTTTAAAATGGACTCAAACCAATATATTTTGATTTAATTGTTTAAAAATAAATTGTAATTGTTAATAATTAAATTATCGATGAAAGAATAAAATGTAACAAACGTTGAATCTACGTACAACATTTAAATATGCCCTAGCAAAGTTGTAGCCTTGACTGCATTTGTGCATATAAAATTTACAAGTACCACTTACGCTCAATATTACGTCACTGACATGGTCATTGTTCACAAAAAGTATTGTTAATTAAAAGCCAAAAGCGTTGGTTCCGCGTCCTTCAAATGTAATTGATTTTAGGTTTTTCATAAGGCACGTTCACCTTGCCTATAACATACACGTAGCCTCCATACTTTTAATTTAATTATTATAAAATCCGGGAGAGCAAACAGTTTCCTACCAAAATAACAAGTGGTCTCTAATTACAAACCATTATACATGTACAGTTATAAAATGAAAAATTGAGAAATTAATTATTATACAATTTGAAAAATTTGTTTTATTTTGTTACCAATCTAATTGCTTTGGATTAACAAAACACAAGACAGAACCAATATTTCTATTATATTACTAGCGGAGTCAGTTTGTATCAATTTTTGTCCTGTTCAACTTTGTAAATTGTCACCCAAGACGTCCGCGTCCCGTTGTTCTTGCAAGTTAGTCTTACAAGATAGACATATACTGTCTTTTTAGATCATTTAAAGAGAAATTATTATTTCATACATATTTTTGGGGTATCTTGAACCATTTTCGCAGCGTACGCAATGACCACCTACAAGGCTGAATAATTTCTCCTGTTTTTTCGATAATTCTCGGTGTGTCTTCGCTCCTAATCCTAAAGTCACAGATGCCTTCCTCAATAAATGCTCTGGCCAACACAAAAATAATTTTTCAATTCGAACCAGTAGTTCCTGAGATTAGCGCGTTCAAACAAACTCTTCAGCTTTATATATTAGTAAGATATCCCCTACAAGTAATTTATTATTTTATGGCTCTACGCTAGTTAAGAGCTATGTGACATTTATCACAACATATTAAATTATTGGATAAATCTTATATACCTAAGCCGATTCCTTGTTAATATAAACTTTACGTTATAATAAAATTGTTAGAATTCCAACCCATTATAATATGAAAACGTACATATATTTTACAATTTATACATATTATTATCGTTATAATTAGTATGTGGACATTTTACAAATGAATGAACACATTGCTTAGGAGGTTAATTACTGTTAATTTTAAAATAACGTCTAAAAAGCACTTAAGTTGTGTATAAGCAGGTACTTACACAACTTGAGTTAGGAATCTTGTGATAGTCATTTTGTCATTTTAAAGTTTAAAAAAAGACTACATAAAATAAAATAGATTACAATAGTCTACTAATTCTTTTTAAGACGTGACCGTAAGATTTGAAGATCTAATTCACTGTTATTATCGTAAACAGTAGTTAGGTGAACAAGGTCCCCGGAGCACAAAGAATAAATCGAGCCCTCATCCCCCCCTTTGCGCGTAGCTTGAACTTATAAAGAATTGTCAACTCAAACCTTTTACATTCGACAAACTATATTCTCAACTACCTACCTAAGTAATTTCCACCGGCTCTCTAGCTATAAGTTATGCAACTTAAAGCAGGTTACTCGACGATGGCTGTCACATATTAATGTTTATATTATTAGGAGGCTAGCAGCTTTGAGGTTAGAATGATTTGTGTGCTGTGAATTAGCAAACAACTGCATTCTTCGTGCAGCAAGATAATATTTTAGAGGAATTATTACAAAAGGACTTTACTATGTTTGAACTAGGCAAATATCAATGTTTCACGCTTAAATAGATTAAGACATGTCATTCGCCTGCATTATTCGTCGAGAAACCGAGAACTGTTCTTCTTTTCTCCTCTAAGTCCCGAAGACTCGCTCCACCGTGGTTGCATTCAATTCAACACATTCCTCATGTAAGACCTCAATATGAGGCTGCTGGCGGGAGAGTGGCCCAATAACAAAAAAATATAATTTTCAATAAGGATGAAAATAAAAATACGAATTAACTTACGTAAGGATTATGTTAAAAATTTTCAGTCACTGTGATCTTGTAGATTAACATTTTTGGAGTATAAAAATAGTCCAGACATAAAATTGAAGATAGGCTACTCTGCCTCTAGCGGCTTCAAATATCTTCCTTGTAGATGAACAATAATACATAGAATTGTTATTAGTGATAGATTGCTGAAAAATGTTTTATTTTAATATAACGCGAAATAAACGGTTTATAAATCGTAAAATATATACGTTTAATTAATCTCGTGTTCACTGATATATAGAGCTTCCGTAACAGCGGGTTTAAACGGACTTAAACATTTAAATGTATTTAATTTATGTACCTATGAAATATATGATTTATTCTATTTTTAATGTTTCATTTTATGTATTCACGGTTATTTCTTATAAACATTTAAAGCACTTGTAACTAACGACATAATGCTTTGCATCTATATTGTATTTTTTATTTTAGACGCTGTCACCAATTCTTCCTCAGAAACCGCTTACTTGTGTGATAGGAGCTGGTTACTCAGGATTGGCTGCAGCGCGATATCTCAAGGAGTTTGGCCAGAATTTCAAAGTGTTCGAAGCATCTAGTAACATTGGTGGTACGTGGAGGTTCGATTCCCATGTGGGTTACGACGAATATGGAGCACCGGTTTTTACCAGCACCTATAAGTATCTAAGGTCAGTTGCATTATTCTGAATGTTTTATTTAAGTCAGTATAAGGCAAATCGAGATGTTTCGCAGCGTTTAAAACATAAAATGGTGCATTTTTTTTACGACGCGACACCAAATTAGTAATTAATGTAATCTTAATACATGTAATAAGGGTAGGCTGATACAATTCATAAGTCAGGTGACAAGATTCCAAGAAATGTTTTAATTATTAAAAATATATTGCTGCACTAATTCTTTGTAATACCTAACCAATACTTTCCTAACTAGTTAAACGCGCAACAAAAGATAACGTGAAAAACGCCTGAGAGGCATGAGTTCGAAATCCGAAAAAACATAAAATAATTATACGCTATAGACAGTATAAAATAATTGCTTTGCTTTATCAATGGTCTAGATAAGTAAAACAAACACATACATGTGTCTACTCCATGCCCCGCATATGCGATACAGAGCTTTCTTAAAAATATAATCTAAGATGAACTAATATAGTGACACAAATATTTAGTTCGAGCAAATAATTAATTGCATAATTTATTTAATCAAGAGAAATCGTCTAACCGGTTTTATGTAGGTTTGACTTAAGTAAAGCAGTTGTGAGATCATTCCATTATGTGGATTACATGTCTCTCATTAGCCGGAGACTGAGATAAATGCGTCACAACACACCCGAAGAGAAAATATATAAAACTATTAATGTAAAGAATAAAGGAAACGAGACAGTTCACCCATACATGGTTCAGAAGTTAACAATAAAAAAAAACTGTTTGCGTCGAAGTTTTCAAAAATTTAAAATTATTTTTAAGGTAGCTCAATTGGTTAGCACGGAATGCTGACGATGCCGGTTCACGTCCGGCCCGGGTCAAAAATGTTTTCAATTTGTTTACGATTTTTTTTTTAATATGGTAAAGATCTTTTCTATGTATGTCGATCACTGTTTTAAATTTGTACTTTAAATTTTTGCTTTTATCATGTTGCGGACATCTTATTCGTCTTTTTCTTTGATTTTGGGTCGTCGTAAAGTTATTAAGTTATATTAAATTAGAGTATATTATTCTAGACAGTATCAAAATATATTACTAGTGACTAGGCAAACTAAACTTCTCTATACTATTACGAGAAACGTAATTAGAATTCCGTTTAAGTTTCCGAGTAGTGACGAAGGTCAAGCGTTTTATCGAAAGTGTTCTAGCTTGCTGAATGTTAATTTTGTTTATTAGGAAATGCGCAAAGCCTAATGCAAACAAGGTTTTGAGCTACTGGAAATTAGTGTAAACTCAAACTCTTTACTCCTATAAGGGAAATTATAATGTTTTAATTTTATTTAGATTTATTATTGCGTTTACAAAGCTAAGATCATATACGCGAACATAAGTCGTAACTTATGTCAGATCCTTACAATTCAAAGTACTCGATTCCTCGTATACGAAGTACTTGCTGACGTAATAGTATGCTACATACTTTTGAGGGTTAAGTCTCGTCGTATTTATTTACGTAGTTTACGAATGAAGTACATATATAAATAAAACGGTCGACGGTTTAAAACGCAGATTATATTCTCAAATTAAGTACAATCTATATCAAACTACTACGGTTGAATGTGTTTTATTTCAAGTTTTTACGGTTACCCAAGTAGGCGCACCCTAAAAACGGCACCTTATAACTAAGACGTGGCTCTTTATCTGGAATTGCGTTATATCAATAGTACTAACACATTAGAATAAACAAAAAACTTACAATGATAAGTTTGATTTAATAAAACAAATTTAACGGTTTAAAATGCGAAATATAATGGTTACCTTGTGTAAAATTTATTTTAACTACGGACCGACATTTCGGATGCTTTACAGTGACTTGATCATGAAAGGGCATGAAACTAGTATATCTATCGTTGTTTGATAAGTACGTTTTTTTATTATTTTCTCCCAACCGAGATTTAGGACAATTACAAAGGTATATGTACTAATTAATAGTAATTTTTGGTGATGTTTAATTTATTTTTTTGACCTAACTTAGCGTTTCCCACTGACAGAACAAACACGCCCCGTCAGACCATGGAGTTTAGCGGATTTCCATTCCCAAGTTCTACACCATCCTATCCGACAAACACCTGCTTCTACAAGTACTTGAAGTCCTTCGCAAAACACTTTCAACTGATGGATAATATTCAAGTAAGTGTGTTACATTTGCGTGGGCGAGTTTGCATACAACGCATTTTGTAAGCCGACTTTGTTTACTGACTATAATGACATTTATCAATTTGTTACACTACCTGAGAATCTTGTTACCCAATTTACTAATATAATATATAGTAGGTGTGCAAAAAAATTAACGATGTGTGGATGTCTCTTTATGTAGTTATTTATTAATGACTTTACTATACTTGACTCGAGTTGTACTGTGTTGACTCTAGAAACTAAATACTATTATTGTTTAATAACTTACAATATTAAGTATTGTCTGTAGATTACGCCAGTAGTACACACTTACCTAAATAAAACACTTTTAACTATATGACTCCATTGAAATGACAACAACGTTCCGGATCCGCACAGCAGCCGTGGCCACAGAGGGACTGAAGATGGCGCGTTAAATGTAAAAGTCAAATCTGCTACGCTATATGTTTTAGTAGTTGGTATTAGGTTGTTGTACTTAAAGCAAATAAAAATAAGCTATCCGATATATTTCGCGTTTGAAACGGTTAAAAGTGTTTATTTTAGAAACGAAAAACGCATAGGTTCTATTATTCTTGTTATAATTAATTTATCAACACAACACGCGGAAGTTGCTAGAGTTATTATAAGATTTATTATTTTAGAAATAATTAATTTTTATAACAATGAATATATAGATATGTATATTTTAAAAGGTATTGTAGTATAAAACATTTGTTTCTGTTAAGTAGGAAGACGGTAGCAAAACTTTTTCTTTAAGCTTTGTAAAAAGTTATTTATTGTCTGCGTAATCTAGATTATAATTCGACCTTCGATTTATTTAAAGAGACGGATTAAGGGAATGAACTGATTTTTTTAACAAAGAATACAATTATTCTTAACTATGTTAAGGCACAATAAGACAATTACGGGGCAATTAAAATATGATGTAAGACGCGTGCTTAGGTCATTTATTTTATGCGCATGCGTCTATAACGAGCTACATCCTATTTCTTAGAACGAGAAATGATAAATGAACTCTTGTTTATCATTTTGTATTGAGTGAATGGTTGTCTTATGAGCTTTTTACACGAGACCACGAATCGGAATTTCCATTGATTAGTCTTAATTTGTTTTTTTTTATTGGTAAAAATAAGTTGAATGTAATTTTCGGTAATAATATTTTTTCCTTCCGTTTGAAATTATTGTGTTATGTATTAAATTAAATTGTCATCTATTATACTGATGAAAGAATATTCAGACACTATTATATAATTTTTTTTTAATTATAAGTTTGTCTGTTACTTTGCAAGAACAAATAATGTATATAAAAAAATGGGAAATGATTATTCCACGAATTTTTTTTCCTATCTCTTTTTATTTGATGGGTTATTTTACAAATAAGGTTACTTTGTTTATTAAGTAGTTAGTAAGTTTCACACTTTTTGCACGTTGTCTATTTTATTTATTTCGTTACTTTCTAGTCGGGTTGCCTGGAAGAGAACGCTTACAGCGCTAAGGCCGCCCAGTGCACTCAATAGTTGTATAATTGAATTGTGTACTTTTATATTTTGTTTACCAAGTTATGAAATAAATATTTAATAGTTTTTTTCCTTTCACAGTTCAATAGTTACGTCCAATCAGTGAAATGGGTGCGTAACCACTGGGATCTGACGTACACCAAAACGGATGAGAGGCAAAATTATACGACTGAATGCGACTTCGTGGTGGTAGCCAACGGTCAATATGTCAAACTGAAGATGCCAAAAGTTCCCGGAATGAATACTTTTAAAGGTACGTTTCTAGGCTAAGCTTTCTGTCTATAGCATGTAGCTTATTGAACATCGTAGTCTTTATCTAGTGGTAAGCGAACGAATGTATATCATAAGGCTCCGGGTTCGAAACTTTTAAGAACGTTCATTTATTTCGAAGAGGCTTACCAACTAATTACATAAAATTAATTAAAAAACAACATATACATAATCCATCTCGTTAATGCCACCCAACCCGCATTAGAGTACCGTAGTGTTTACCAGTGGGACGTTAATCTATCGAGAAACACTAACAATGGAGATCCCAACTTAAGCTGAAATCCTTTGAATTATCTATAATATATATATATAACTACATTAATTAAGTTGTAACTGTCCTGTGAAAACAGCTAAATATCCGTGACGTCATGTCAAAGATAAATAATAAAAAATCGGAAAGCAAAATCGAAATAGAAAACCGATGAGGTTTTCGATTTCGATTTTGATTTCCGGCTTTTTCGACTGTGGGTCGTGACCTTTCGATATTCCTACCACCCATTTTATATCCAGGTTTCGAAGTCCAACATGCACTCAGTGGAGGTCGAACCCACGACCTGTCGATTATTAACCATATATTATGAGTCCGTAAAAACAAATACTTTAAAATATCCCGTTTAAACGAGTGTCATTATATTTCTTTACTATTATTTCATGTTAATGAGATGGTAATCGTCGCGTTAAAAATCATTTTGCCATTAGTTTTCCTTAAAAAATGTAGGTTGCTCGTGATAAGCAATAGATAACAGGTCAGAAACCTCGTTAAGAAGGCTTGAACGAAAGAATTTCCATGGCTCTCCGATTTTATTTTTAAATTTTATTTGCAAAATCAAAAAATCATTCAAATTGTTACGATCAAAACCATTCAGTTTCGTATATGTAGTATTAGAACAAGTTACCGAACGAATGTGTTATGTTTTCCCGGGATGAAAAGGAAATACCCCTCTTAGCTGCTTAAACCATTAATAAAAAAAATACTGTCTGTAATTTACGCGAGTAGTACATATTCAAATAAAATATTGGAACGCTAAAACGCGAAAGGTCGGGCCGTTGTTAAAATAATTTGTAGATAAGTTTAACTAATTAATTACGTTCTTTAAACCGTTAAATTGTTCTATTTATAAAAGTCATTCTTTTAAAGGTAAAATAATGCACAGCCATGACTACAAAGGGCCGGAGCCGTTCAAAAACAAGAAGGTACTGATCGTCGGAGCTGGTGCCTCCGGTCTCGACCTTGTGACGCATTTAGTGAACATCACGGACAAACTGGTCCACAGCCACCATTTAAAATACAACCAGCCGAAGTTCCCAGAGAATTTCGTGAAGAAACCTGACATGAAGGCGTTTTTATCGAACGCCGTTATCTTCCAAGACGACACTAAAGAGGACATCGATGTTGTCATATGCTGTACAGGTAACATGATATTATATTTTAATCAAAAAATCTTCGCGGTCTTGCATAATCTTTTGTCATAATGTGAAGATATTAAATGATATTGTAATAAATAATTCTAGTTCAAAAATAATTACTATTAAATTAAAAACCGATTTAAGATTGAAAAAAAATACGACACGGACAGGGCTTGAACCGGCATTCACAGCGTTTCGTGCTGTTGCTCTTAATTACTATTATGTATTTAAAACATATTTAATGGTTTAAAACGTGATTTAAAGTATTTAACTTATTTTTAACCGCGACCCGATGTTATAGATAAATTGCATCAGTCAAGTAATTAATCTTGTACTTAGAATATTATCGTATTATTAAGTAGATTAAATAGACAGTAATCAGTTAGAAAATTGATTAAAAGTTTAAAGGATCAGAAGAGCTTTTGAATATATTCACACATTATTATTAACTAGTTATGCCCACGGCTACGTCGGTGTGTATTAGACACTTTATGCAGCACTACCTGGCAAAGGTTCCTTTGCCATAGTAAGTATTTCAAACAAAAATTGTTTAAAATAAAAATGGTTCTTGTGACTTAATCTGAAAAGATAGACACATACTGTCGCGTTAAAAGTATATTAATTTTTTACATATATTTTCGGCGTCTTAACCCACGCCGCCGTTTTTGCCGCGTACGCTACGGAATTACTCAAAGATTTTCCCCGTTTTTTTTACATTCCTCACTGTTCCTATGTTCCCACTGTTTATGGAGTTTATGGACCATTTATGGAGTAAGCTCCATAAATGGTCTAACACAGAAAGATCGCGCGTTCAGACATACAAACAAACAAATTCTTCAGCTGTGTATGGATATAGATATATATATTTGGATACGTTATGGATTTTATTATCTTTTTAAGGTAATTCACCCCGAGATACCTTAATTCCGAAAACTTTATTTTCACCACATTGTGGCGTATTTTTTGTTTGTTGTTCTTTCGACCGATATCTTAAAAAATATTAGCGCTAAATTTACCTTTTTCAGGGTTAAAGTACTCTTAATGTATTTTGTAAAGAAATTTGGAAGATTTCATCTTATTTATTGTTATTGAAAGGCAGTTTTATGCGAAGGTCTTAGCTAATTTTAATAAATAACAAATAATATTGTGCTATAAATATTCGTTTGTGAACCTACATGTGGCAACATTCGAAACTTTATACAGGTTACCGCGAATTATAGTCAACGTAAAATAATTTACCACAACCATTAAAAATCGATGGCACCGGCGGGACGCGATCTCACGACCACAGATTTGAGTGATGTTTCTCTTATTCCTCCTGTTCCTTCCGAGTTATTGAATTTAGTCAATAGATTTTTTTATTATTGTTAAGCTTGGTCTCATTCTTCAGGTTATGAATACGACCACCCATTCTTGGACAAAAGCTCTGGACTGACGCTGACTGGAAAGTTCGTGTTACCCCTCTACCAGCATGTTGTCAACATAAGACACCCAAGTTTGACATTTATCGGTATAGCCAAAGGGATCATCAACAGAATGTTGGATGCACAGGTAGTGTTGGAAGCAATTTAAACTTACAACATAGAATTCTATGTTAACTAGCTGTGTCAGCGACTTCGTCCGCGTAGAATAGATATTTTGTTATAGAAATTAGTACTACCTTTGTAAAACAACAGAATATAATAATTATATTCATTTTGGCAAATCAAACTAAGAACGCAATAACGTGCATGTAGAAACTTAGCTTGTGCAACTACAATAATATATTATTAAGGAAGCGAAGTAGATTTTGAATATTCATGAAAAATTAAGGTCAAACGCGAATTGTATTAGCAGTTGCATTTCACATGTATATTTTTAATACATTAGATACAAAAATATAAAAGGTCATGCTTATCCAAAATCTCAACATGTATTAATGTCTACTCAGTCCTAACGTAAATGAGCTGAATTTTTTTATTAAATTATAACGCAGGCGAGATTTTATTTACCGACCGTTCAATGATTTCTACTAAAAACACAGGTCTAAATAATTTGTATATTGCGTTGATAAAATTATTGAAATTTGAGAAACTTTTAAACATAAGTATGTTCTACATATAATCGTCATTGGGTTCTATATGACTTAGTTTTTCACATGTACCTAAAGTACTTGAAGGCAACTGAAAACCCCTGAAAAATATCACTTCATCCACCCATTTGTCTAGGTACTACAAATATTAATGAACTATTACGAGCATTATATACCTTTTAGGCAGAGTACATTGCTTCGTTAATCGCCGGCAAATTCAAACTACCTGCGCAGGAGCAAATGTTGAAGTTCTGGCTCCAGCACGTATACGCATTACAGGATGAGAACAAAAAGATTGTAGATGTCAATCTAGTTGGGCCGAAAATGGTAAGGACTCTAACCAAATCATTTTGTCACTTTACTATAAATAAATGAGATTACATCGATAGCTACTGTAGCGCAATCATTGCATGCATTGCTGTAGAGCGAGAGATCTTGGATTAACCCGAGAAATAGTTAGGATCGAGAGTACCTACCTACCTATAGAAGTCTATATAACTATTTCATAGTAATTTAAATCTTTCAGTTAACTTAATGTTAATACAGAAATGTCTCTTACGCCACTTGAGTAATTTTAAATATTAATTCGCAAAACACGTTTAAATTTTATCCAAACAATGAGACTTAGTACCTACGTTCGGTCAAGAAAATATGTAGTTAAAATATGCCTGTACATTTGTAATAGTTTGTTTCAAAACTCATTTAATAGTTGAAAAGACATTACCTTTGTCTGGGCTCCCTTTAACATCTGTGAATTAATGTGGAGAACATTTTTGAAACATCAAACCTAATACCTATTACTAAACCTTGTAGCTTCTTATATATTCGACACTTAGGTATAATTATAATCATTTTCAGGATCAATACTTCGCGAATCTAACAGAAGAAGCAGGAATCACCCGGGCACCACCTGTTCTAACAGACATCAGAGATTTCAACGCCAAATACCGTTTGGAGGACCTCCTGAACTACCGAGATTATGATTACGAATTAACAGACCCTTACCACTACAAGCGATGGCATAACGGTGGCGGAGCTAGAGCCCAAGAATGCCCAATTGACAGCGAACCCGAACAGCAAAAAATATGACTTTAGATTTAAGGTTTCCACCAAGAACAGCAAGAATTTGACAAATAGCCTTAATTGATAAAGATTAAATTGAGAAGATCAAAGTATAAAAATATCTGTTAGAACAGGATAAATGTGTAATAATTTAGAAAATGTGGCTCAGTGTAGGGTGTATGATACTGCACACAACTAACTACCTTCAAAATCAGAAGTGACTCCTGTGACGGTAGTTTGATTTTTAGCCTATTTTTTTTGTTGTAATTTTTCTCTTGTCGATAGTGTAACAATATACTTTTCTTCTTTTGTACTTAAGTAGTTCCATTTATTTTTAATAATAGTGGTAAAAATGGTAGTGTAAGACTTTGAAATTATTATTTTTTTACTTTTATGGCCATACACATTTTTAGTATTGCATATGATTTTGTGTTGCTCTTATTTACTTAAAAGACCATGCCCATGGCCCAGTAATGTATAATTACAGTACATTAAATTATTCTGTGATGTTTAGGTATTGTTTAAGATATAAAGCATAATTTTAGGTCGATAAGTTTCAGCGGTAAAGCAAAAGTAGAGTTATGAGTGCCTGAAAAAATAGTTTCATAAGAGAGAAACTTTCTTTACTTTTTCTTGTTCTTTTTATCTCTAACATAGCTTTTATAAACGTTTTGTAAGAGTATTGTATTATATGAAATAAAATGACTCCAACCTCAAAAACATACTTGAATGATTTTCCACTTTCAAGATGTACTTAGCATATATATAATTAAAGTAATTGAACATATATTTAATAACAATTAAATCGCAATGTTACCATTTATTTTAATAACTGATAAATATATTATTAACATCACTACTTTCTTTAATTCAATCTTCAATTAATTTCAACAACAGTAACAAAATAATAAATATTGATTTTTATAAAATATTAGCTGTGCAACAACTTCGTCCGCGAGAATCGTTATTTTGGGCATCCAAATTAGTTTTTGCAAACCCCGTCATTTTTATTAAGATAGACATATAGCATCGTAGACTTCTTTAGATCATTTAAGGAGGAATTATACTTTCATACACATTTTTAGGTATTCTGAATCCTTTTCGCAGCGTACGCATGTGAGACGCACAGAGATGGAAAAATTTCCCACGTTTTGATCACATTTCCCGTTGTATCTTCGCTTCTATTATGCACAACGCGATGTGTTATAGCCTATAGCCTTCCTCGATAAATGCTCTACTCAACGCAAAAAAATTTTAGTAGTTTCCAAATTAGAGCGTTCAAACAAACAAATAAACAAACTCTTCAGTTTTATATATTAATATAGATATAGATTTTAGTACCCAAAAAAACAAAGCATGTTTTTATGTATCAAGCATCAAACTTATCATGCTATATTTGACAAATTATACGATGAAGTGCGTTAGCTAACTGAATTCGTTTCATTTTCCAATCTTCTCACAAACGTATTCTTATCTATGACTTCATAGACATAATTCCTGTATGTATAGAGGTTTTCTATCTTGGCCTCCGCGTCCGTATTACGAATTTTGAACATGACAGGCGGAACTCTTTCTATTCCGGACTCTTTGGAGAGTTCTTCATAATAGTCATCCTGGAATAAAATTAGTTCTCGCTAATTCAATTTTATACTTATACTATAATTATGTTAATGTGTAACCCGTTAAATTCAAATTGGTTATTTATATCACTATGTATTTTCTGTAGTTTACACATTTAAATAAAACGCTTTTAAAAGTTTTAGACGCGAAATATTCGCGTTGACTAACTTCCCCCCGGAGCCACGACAACTGCAGACCATTCGAAACATTAAAAATAAGTTAACTAATACCTATACTTGTTTATTTATACCATTATCTTAATTATAGATAGATTGATATTTCACATATACTTATATCAAGTGATAGTTCAAATGTTTAAAATGTGCGAATTTCCATACCCTACATGGATAATAGGGCAGAATATCTGTGTCTATCAGAAATGCATTTACAAGCAATTCCTTTAATACTTAATCATGAATTTTAAAGCTAATCGATTACCTCTCCTTCAGCTAAGAAGTGTAAATTCGAGAATGTCCGGCCACGCGCTATACACAAATCGGCCCTTCTCTGCCACTCCTTCATCATATCCTCCTTTGAGGGCAGCGAGAATTTTCCCTTCACCAATGCTGCTGTATACCGTGCCTTAAACAAATATGGCAATTGAAACTTTTTTCACAAGATTAAAACAAACTTACATATTTAAAATCACAGCAAATAACTATGTTGGACTGTTTTGTTTCAATAGATGAAAATTCATTAGAGTTATACGATTATTCTTATTGTCTCTTCAATCTTAACCATACCAACTTAATTCTAACGACCTGTTAAAAAACGTTCTTTTGCCGCATGTAGTATTTCGACGAGATTTTGTTAAAATAACGGGACTTATCAGTTAATCTTAAAAGATTGACATAATTATAATCTTCACAGCCTTCTTTGATTTTTGAAAGAAGAATTATTCTATCATACATATTTTCTTAATAACTTGAACTATTTTTGCCACCCTCTAAGGTATTAAGTATCTTCTATTGGTCTTCCTTATTCGATAAATGCTCTATCTAAGTAGTTCTTGAGATAAGCGCGTTCAAACAAACAAACTGTTCGGATTTATATAAGTGCGCGTATGATAAACATATTATTTATTAAAATGGATTAAAAATACCTGAGCTTCAAGAGCGATAGCGAGACACGCCTTCTCAATTAATCCAATAATAATTAGAGATGGTTCGTTGATGTTCACCATGAATTTGTGCAATGGCGTCACTGTCTTGGAACTCACGTTCAAACCGGCACTTTCATCCAGAAAAGAAAAGTTAAACAAATAACCTGCAAAAGTTATACCATGTTATACACTAATGTTGACATTATAGTCTTTCCTAAAGGAGATAAAGAAAGGTATTTTTGATATCCTATGTACTTTGGTGTATGACAAATTATTTAAATTTAAAAATTAATATTTATAATAAAAAGCGTTCCGTAGAACGGGGAAATAATGTTCTGTATTATGTTAGTAAAGGGTAATTGTATGGTATGCCTATAGAAGGTTTACTTTCATAAAAAACTATTTAAAAAAAATCTATAGCTCTGTTTTACAAGAAGATAAAATGGTACTATTTAGAGCAGGGATGCACAGATCACTCGGACAAATCATGAACTGATGGTGGGCAGCGAGAAGTAGAGGTAATTACAAGACAATAAAGATTTGATAATAATGTTTTACAATTGGTGTCGGCGCATGCGGCTTCTCTCTCTGATTTAAACGAATTGAAAAGCCAAATTGAAGAACGAAGAAAAATAAACAAATAAAAACCTCTATTTGTCAAGGTTAAGAAAACTTTTTGTTTAATTAATAATACTTTAATTAAATGACGTACCTGTACAGTAAATAACGTCATCTATGTCTTCATAAGAACCATCCACGAATGTAACACCAGTCTCATTATACTCTTTAATGTCTGGTTTCTTAACATAATTTGGCGGGAATTTCGTTTTAAAGTTCTGCGGTGAATGGTGACTGTGGAAAATAGTTTTTGCCACTGTGGCTACATCCATTGTTATATCTAACCCTGATGGTCCAGCTCCGACAGTTAGCACTCTTTTGTTTCTGTAAGGCTCTGGTTCTCTGTAATCGTGGCTGTGGATAATGTTCCCTTAAAAGATTTATGTGTATATATTATTACTGTTCTTAATTAAAAAAAAAGATGAAATCATTCAACAGAAAACTATCAAATTGATAGAAATTTTTGCAATATGATAAAATTATTGTATAAAAATCTATTTTAATGATTTTTTTTTTTTTTACATACTAAACACTCTAAGCTCTAAATTCTAAGTTTGCTAGATCCTGTCCATCCTAGAATTTTCCTAGACTTTTGTGTTTGAAAAATTACAATATCCACTTCTCAGTCCATGATTGTTTTTGTTTAAGTGTCTGTAGCTATATTTATATATAGCTAAATTAATGTTTTTTGATAATAATTTTTCATTTTACAAATATGCCCACAGCTTATTCTGATAGCACCCTGTATATTTATAATTGCTTGACTTCAATGAAAACTGTAGTGGTTAAAAGTATGAACAATATAGGCATATTTAAAATATAATATTTAAGTTCTTACCCTTAAAAAATTCTTCGCCTTTCATAACAGGACGGTTAGGTTTATTGAAGTGACCTGTCCCAACAATTACAAAGTCAAATTCATCTTCCATTTCTTCGCCAGTTGGTAGATATTTGTGTTTCACTCTCCATACATTGTTTATACGAGAAACTTTGATGACGTAATGCTGGAACTAAGACGAAAGAATTTTGAAGTCAAATTAAATTAAAATTTAACTTCAACCAATGGGGAACATGTTTGGGCTCTAAAAGTGTATGAGAATAAGGAAATTATTGTAGAGATTTCTTTATCCTTATATCAATACACAACCTTTTAAGTAGTGTTATAATTTTAAAGTTCACCATTTAGTGTTTAACGCAATGTATTAGCAAAAAAATTAAAACATAGCTTACCTTAATGTGCTTTTCTATTTGAAAATGTTGCACATATTTCCTTATGTAGTCATAGTAAACATCCCAAGTGGGGAAAGATGGGATATTACTAGGTATTGGAAACCCCTTTAGTTCCATTGTAGGTTTTGGTAAGTTAGTCCTGAAAAATAAAGTTGCTCTAAAGATTAATACTGCATTACTTTGTGTTAAGCTTGAGAGGTCCTAGGTTCATATCCCTGTGAAACAAAATAAATCCTATTATTCACCTCAAGCCGCAGGCAAAACAGAATTTATCATACAAACATTTTAGCTTTGGGTTTAAGTAGTCAGTAAAGTTTGTCAGTAATTTTAGCAATTTAATTTTTTTAAAATTAAAGCACAATGAATATTTACATTATTTCTGATGTACAAATATTAAACATTTGAGTAAAATTGGCTGTTTTTTTTCCATTTCAAAATGTTGTTAAAAATATATTTTATTACCACAAACATATAAACATACCGTAAATGTTTATACATGCTTGTGAACACAGGTAGACCATTCTCATAAAAACCAACCCTCGGCTCATATCTCCAAGTACCACCGAAATTGCTGGTGGCTTCCAAAATGGTAAAGTCGATACCTTCATCTTGAAGGTTCTTTCCAGTTGTCAGGCCAGCAAGACCAGCTCCAATGATACATACTCGAGGATTTGCGATTGGCTAGAAATGGTAGATTTAAAAATAGGTTAAATTTTTATAACATTTTAATTTTATCATACGCAGCTTGTGGAGTAACTTATCTAATGAGGATTTTTCTTCAGTTACTTAGGTTGCATTTAGTTTTAAATTTAGCTGGCAAGTACGCAACACCCAATAATTGTATCTTCTAAAGCGTTCTTAGACTTCTTGCTAGTTTTTTACTAAAGATATGCACAATGATCAGCTTTCACATACAAATTGTTATGAATAATATACAAACCACAATCATTAGTGATATATAAATAAATACAGAGTTCTGTTTGAATGACTATTGATATCTTTATCTTTCAATCCTCTCTGTTATCTTTCACTTATTCCTTAAATATTTGTTTACGTACTTATCGGATTAGAATTAAACTTCGAAAATATTACATTATGATTTGTATTTACCTCTTCATAACGTTGAAAAAAGTGTTACTTTTGGTGTTACCAAGTGAGCACCTACATATATCTATAGTTATTCATGAAATATCTATGAAACTCTTATTAAAATGAAAAAATAAATTGATGGGCTTTTATTTAAAAATACTTATCTTAATGAATGATTGAAAATCAATGGAATAATAAACAATACTTATTTAGAGTTCATATCATATTACATACATATCTGGCAATAATAAATAAATGACATTTCACTTTTCACACATTCCAATTGACATTTGACATTAAAATGACAGTTATTTATACGATTATTGTTTTACAGAACATTACAAGTCCTAATTACGTATTGTTCAATGCTTTATGTCGTAAGGGTGTTTCGTCTATATCTAATTACTAATTAATTATTAACTATCAACAATATACGTATTTAGAATTAACTTCTATTATAAGATAATTATTAAGAAAACGTAAACCAAAGCTATCTATTTTTATGAAAATAGTGCAAATAACTCACAACAGTATCGCGTGTCAGTCTTACCATCATAGTCCTATTGGATATGGTCCTATTGCACCACTGTAGTTTAATTAAAAACACTGTTTTTATACCAAAATTACTGCAACGTTTATAGAACATGCAAGGAGGAATAAAATAATTATTTAGTATCGGTTAACTTTTTATATAGATTTGATATGTGGCGGAATATACCACTAGACGATTGTTCTAGAGCTGTCAGAAGTCACTACAGAATGTTCTCACAAAGTATAGTAATTAATATGTAAATGAGAAAATGCCAAAAAATAATAGCGATTATTTATATCTTTACCATTCGGTAAAAGATAAGAAAGACGTAAAATTATTTAAAATACCGCAAAAAATCCAAAATAATATCCGAATGTCTGTTTAGCGCGGACACCCTGAACTTATTACACAATCGCGCGCTATCAATATGACAAATATTATGCTCATCGTGTATGTGCAAAAAAGCTTATCTTGGGTATATCTAATAAGAAGAATGTATGATAACCATCAATGTGTATTTTCTAAGCTAACTCCATTTTCTAATTGTATCTTTTTTGCGATTTACTTAATGAATATTAATGTGAGACTATAGTAACTTAGTAGAAGACATACAGTCTTATTGTATAATACTTTAATTGACATGGTTCAAAATTATTCTCCTACACAGGTCACGAATTAATTGTTTAGATTAATTCAAGTTTTTAGTTTTAAAACAACTTGTAGATAATTGTTAGAACTTTACATACATTTAATACAACAGCCGTTTAACTAATTAGTATTATTAACTGTTACAAATAGTACGTACAGTTACTTCTTAAACATATATAAAAGTTTAATGCTTACCTTGGAAAGAATATGGCAGTGAACAACTTCAACACTTAACAATAAATACACTACCACGGTAAAAGATGTAATTTTGGTCATAATTGTCGTAAGTAATTAGAAATAATTATAATAATATAGACAGTATTTATTTATAAATAAGTCATTCCCGTTTAGTGATAAAATCAGACTGTTTCTCCATTACGTAACCAGACTAACATAATTGACCTTTAATCAAATATATTTGCGTAAACACAAGGGATTTTAATCTCTTGGATGGAAGCAAGTAATTAATATTTGACAGGGTAAAATTTATTGCTGAATTACATAATGTTATTTAATTTAATTCTCTTAATAAACGATACAATACAATTGTCTGTTTGTCCTATAAGTAGTAATATTTTTAGGGAAACAAATAACATTTAATGAAGCAGAGACGTTTCGCTGCTTATCTGATCGATTTCATTGTACGATTAGTTGTCTAGGCTTCTGTTCCCGACTATCTTCCGAAAATTCTGACTATCTTTGTCGAGTTCGTGGTGCTTTGTATTATTATCAAATAAATAATATACATATTTAATACAAAGGACTTTATAGGAGTAAAACCGTGACTCAATAACTAGTTGAAAAATTGTCGACAGACTTTATGTAACCAATAACTCGTAAAAGATATTTTTAAACATCCATCGCGCTGTTAGCGAAGCGAAAATTGAATTTGCAAGGGGACATTCAACACGACAACTGAATTATATTTTAAATTGACCATGTAAAAGAGAGATGTGAAGAGCCAATATGGCAGTATATGGAATAATGTGAGATGGAGTAATATAAAAAAATGTTCGCATAACATCTGTATTGTAGTTTTTAAACATAACTCTACTACTAACTCAATAAGAAATATTGATATTTTATCTTCATACACTATCTCTTATCTTATGCCGGGAAATTATGACGTACATCGTGTTGTTGTAAGTCTTTATCAGTTTTAAGCAAAAATTTGTTTATAAAGCCTCTTGAAAATGATAAGATCAAAACCAAGGGTTGCGTATGAAGAAATAAATAAAATTGTTTAGTTATTTGTCAATATCTTAATAGTTACTGCACTTTCCAACTTGCTCAGTGTATATATATGGTATTTATGCGATGTTTTGTCACGGATTTGGAAACGCTAATTTTTATTTTTCATTTATTTTTTATAAAGGTCTGCTATTGCGTGTCTGTATATCTTCCAAAGATTTTACAGCGAGTAGTACACGTTTTACGGATAAAACTCAAAATTTATTAGTTAGCTTAAGTTTTAGTTGTTTCATTAATAAACCAGCTCACCGGTAAACGAGGTAAACAACGTGTGTTAGTTCTGCAAGGACCGAGCCAGTTTCGCCAAATACCAACTACGGTGTAACAGATGGCGCTATCGTTGCAGTTTTTTACCTAGAGTGTCAAATTTATTAAAATGTTATAGGTATTGTCCTATATTGTCTATAGTTTAAGCGAGTAGTACACATTTAAATAAAACACTTTAACGGTTTAAAACGCGATTAATTAGTTAAACGTATTTGCTGGATCCCCGTGACCACGGCTGCTGCAAAGCATTTGAAACGTCGGGTCGAAGTTAAAAATAATTTTCAAATAAGTTTAACTAATATATCGCGTTTTAAACCGTTAAAGGTATTGTTCTGTTAATTTTGCCTATACTACTTCTGCTTCCCCTTCTAGATTAGCCCGCGCAATTTGAGGGTCAACGAATCACCACGTATTGAATAACTCGTGTCAGAATTTAGATACAGATAACATTCGTAAGGTATCTTATCTTTGTATTTAAACTTTCCACGAAGACGAAAACGAAAATCTTGTGTTTTTCTTTTTTAAAATTTTCTTTAAGCAATTATAGAACCAACCAAAGAATGTCTGTTGAAAAATCAGTACTAAGCTTCATTGATTCTAAACAAATTTTACCAATTACAACGCAATTCATATCACGCACTAGAAAATACCTTTTAAAAAGATAACCTTTAACGTTCCTTAACTTAATTAACATTTAATTATATCCCTAATTGGTTATTATAAATAGTCATGACTTTTTATCTCACTCTTAAATTTGTCAAATATGTCAAACGTCCTCGAATTTTAGCATTTTGCGTGCGTAGGTGTCAAAATATTAATCGATACACACTTTGACTCAATAACGTTCGCATTCTGAAGGTAATTAAGGAGGAATTCACTCTGACGCTGGCAGCTGGATGCTTGCTCTATTAAATTTTCCATTAATTGATAAATACTTGACCATTCACGTGTATAATCGAATGTTCATACATCGTTCGTTTTATATTTTATCAGAGACAATACTTAAACAATGACATAAAAACTATCTTAATCAATCGTTATGTAAAGCCGTTATAAAATTTGTCACAATGCGATTCAATATTTGTTTTTTTTTTAAAGGCCAAAAGTTTAAACGATGATATTTGGCAAAAATGCGTGTAATGTTTGTAGTGTCGCGATATTCGACACTTAACAGTTTAAAACGCCAAATATATTTTGTTACCTAACTAAACTTAATTTGAACTACGACCCGACGTTACATGTTAATATTTTTATTTATTTGTACGTGTGTGTAAAATTTTGCTACTACTAAGACCTTATCAAAATTCCTACTCTCAATATTAAAAGGTTATTGGAAAAGAATCCAAATAAGTTTTCACACAATCGTACTTATGATAATAATAAAAATTGTTCTACACACTATAATAGTGTAGTTATGTTATATAAGCTATGTAGAACACACAAATTTAATATTAGAAAAACGCGTTTTAGTTTTATCTTAAAAATCATATTTTACGACGATGCAGGTGATCAGGAAACCAGGCAAAAGCTAATGTGACAAAGACGCTCTGAAGTTTTAAACAGGCCATTAAAAGCATGACAGTCATGCGTAAAACTGGACAAGCCACAATGATGCACCCTTTGTGCGAGCTGACCGATCGCTAAAGGAGAACTTCATACAAATATTCACGTTCACAAGCGGAAAATAGAACGCTCAACCTCCTTAAATAATAAAGGCTTGACAATTAAATTATACATTGGGCATTATTACTCCTATTATACAGGATGGTTAAATACTTTTTCGTAAAAGTTATTTTAAATATTCCCAGTTATTAATTTGTTTCCATTGTGACTAGGACCTTAGTAGGTATTCTAACACGCTTGAAAATGTGTATTGACAAAAATATTTTTAATTAAGTTGGATTAGGTTTCGACGCCTCCCGGAGTTGCCAGACTTCCAGGCGCGTCCCCAGGTGGCGGATAGGGGAATGGTCGTCAGATAATGACGATTATCGGCAGTTCGGCTGCCGGTGCGGACCAAATCGGCCAGTAGCGTTTCATCGCTCGGGCGCTCGCTTCTACATATGGGTTGCCACTTGAGCAGTCGTTAGAGATGTGTCAGTTTAACACCGAGCCGTACCCAGGGAGGCATTTTCCGCCCGAAATGAAACTTGCCTGTTTAAACTGATCAGTAAAACGGGCAGAGAAATGTATTCGCCTCATGTCCACGGGAAAACGGGATTTCATACTTGATTATGCGCAAGTTTCTCGACGATTATTTAACATACAGCACACTTACTAACAGAAGTCAGCTAAATACCACTACATGAACCTGAGCTACGATTATAAATACATATTATAATCACATAAATAAATAAATTTATTTATCCTAAAAATAGGTATGAGCAAATTGTAACAGTTTAAATAAAATATGCTATTATTTCTTTATAGAGTTAAAAACGTGTAAAGACAAGACATTAAATAATTCCATAAAATATTGTCAAGAACCTAATAAATAATAAACAGACAGCGAGACTTGCATTACCGAGGCGAGGGTGCAATTTGTCCCTGTAATGGAAAAATTCCATGGAAATCGGCTGACGCCCCGCACCTTATTACCACAGTTGTCTGTCTGTTTTCAATCAGTTGTTCAAATCACAAATTATCTGTGAAACGTGTTTCAGGATGCACATTTATGGTTATTTTTTTTTACTATAAAACCTTTATTCTTCCTATAAACTTCTATTTTTGCGGGGTTTTTGTTGCTTCTTGAAAAAAAAAACTTGTTTGTGTGGATAATGAAAAAATGTACCAAAATTTTTTAACTTTCCCAAGGCTATGTTTGACAAAGGATAATAAAAACTATTAGGTACTTATCG